ATTCTAGATTAAGCAGAAGTATTTTCTTTGGAACAGAATGGACTTGTTCGGAAGTCTTCTTACATTTGACATTCTTGTCTACGAATCTTGGCGGGAAACCGGTAATTGCACAATGTCAATCTTCTTAGCTATCATGATGCTACTTTGTTTGTTTTATCCATCCCCCTGTTTATTATGGCATTCTAATTCCTAATTTTAATTTTTACTAATTTGACCCTTGACCGGATATTATTCTGGAACTTTCCCATCCATTTGATATAAATACACGAATGTACAGCTAACTAGTTGATGACTTCGTGGAAAAGAAAATTTTCTTCGCTGCATTTGTCTTCTTAATAACTCCTATGACCCAGTGTGTATATTCCGTGAGTTTTGCATTAGTTACCGGATTTCATCATGAGCTGACATTAGTTAGAGAACCATGGGAAGACCTGGGAGTACTGGATAGCTGTTTCGTCCTAGTTTGGGACTCTTGACTAGTACGCACCCACCACAAGGTTTCAAACCCAGGACGTTCTGATTACAGGGCCAGATAGCTCGCAGACCATTAAGCCACTAGGACCCGGTCCACTGGCCAGCCCATGAATCCCAACTTCTGCCAATTCACAATGTAGCGCGCCCCATAGCCAATGTCTTCGGCAAGTATTTGTCTTCACACCCGACCTGCGCATCCTACTGGTCACGACTTCTCACTAGAATCCCAGGTAACTACCTTCCTGAATAGGGCAAGTCGCTAGTGAGCATCTCATCGATATTCAAGTGTTGGTTTGTAGGGATTTGATTGGTTACAGGATTTCATCATGAGCTGATATTAGTTAGAGAACCATTGGAAAACCTAGGAGTACTGGACATCTGTTTCGTCCTAGTTTGGGACTTTTCATCAGTACACAACTACCGGGATTCGAACCTAGGACCTTTTGCATTAAGCTTACTTCGTCCAAATAGCCTACAAAGTCAGCATTAGAGAGGTTTTTCTGTCATCCATCGAGTACAGAATAAACTATCGAAAGCCTCCAAATATCTAACACTCCAAACAGCAGTGTCCACTACGATTCACCTAAAGTGATGTGAGCTTTGTGTGCAAAGGAAACTGCAGGTCCAGCCACTAATGCTACCCTGGACTACTGTTAAACCTTTAAATTCATAAATTCCGTATGATTTTCATTAATTTAACTGGTATTCAGTTTGGTGTTATATTGATGCATATTATCACTTACAAATACTTTTGAGCCGTAATCTACTGATTTTATTGATTCAATGTAATTTAAAACCTTAATGCTGTTAGTAACAATAATTCTTTAACTATTATGGTTATATGACTATAGAACGTGTCGAAGAAGTCATCAAAAAGAGAATTCTTTGTTTATTAATTAGTCTTTTAAATGGTAGATACCTTTGCTGGTAACATTTTATGGATCCAGGCATATTTAACTTCAACACTTTCTGTAAGGAGGACTATTTAATTATGTTTTTATTATTTTTCTTCGTGGATCGATACATTTTGCTTAATTTATTTTTAATCTTTATCAATATTTTGTATAATATCGGTTGCAAACTGTTAATCAATCGTCTACATACTTTGTCTTCAACCGTATGACACAGTTATAACTTGTGGAGATAAACTATAGTAGTCATCAAATAGTATTGAACAACAACCTATTTGAATGAAAGACTGAAAAATCTTTGAGTTTATTGATAAACTGTAAATTCAAATTGTTTAAACTCCTTAATGGAACAGGGATGCATTCACCGTAACCCCTTATCCCTAACCTAAGGCTATTTTTAGTCTACCTGATAATTTTAATCTAACCCTAACCTAGTGATGTTCAGCTTTAGACATCCAACAAACGTGAACACACCGATGACCTTGGAAAGCTTAGTGAGAACAACTCACTGAAACCTGGTAAATAGTACTGGATTCATGAAAATAACTGTTGCATAGGGTGTTATGATATTAACCAGGATATTTAGTTAGTTTAAGCTTAGGTTAGAGAGAGAGAGAGAGAGAGAGAGAGAGAGATTATGCTTGGGTTCGAGCTAGGGATATGTTATTATTAGGCTAACTTAAATAGTGAGATATTAGGGCTGGTTGAGGATAGATGAAGGCTAATTTAGGTGCAGATCAGGATTACGGTTAGGGTTGAGTTTTGGAGTCCAGATTTCATTTATAGTTTAGTTCCACGTTCCAACATCATTAGTGCATTCTCTCCTTTTGGCGTTTCCCCTAACGTCTAACCATGAGCTTAATTCCTTGCGCTTAACTATAATCTACATCGAAAAACTTAGTGAAGCTTTTTAAGTGAGGGCAGGAGTAAGACAAAGCTGACTACTGTCACCGATGATTGTTTCTAATTGTGGTGGACTGGATTTTGCGGCCCACCATACCTGAGGATTGAGAAGACAGGAATGCGTTGGACCGATAAGAGGACTCTACAAGCTCTGGATTTCGCGGACGGCTGATATCTAATGTCATACCGACTCTAAGATCTACAGATGAGGACTGAGAAGTTGAAAGCAGAGAAGACATGACTTCAAGTAAACACAGATAAGACAGGGGTGATGAAGTTACCTAGCCAACAACAACCACAAGCACCAATCACAATTGGAAGGGGAAATTTAAAGAAAGTCAATCCTTCCACTTATCTAGACAGCAGCGTTTCAAATACAGAATGAGGATCAGAAAAGCAAAACAGATCTTAATTGGTCTGAAATCGGTGTGGAACTCTGTTGCACTCAGTATAAAGGATAAAATTCAACACTAATATCACTTTGCTTCTATATAATTCAGAGAATCGGCCTGCCACCAAAAGGATTTCCAGAAAGCTTCAGAATTTTATTAACAGCTTCACTTCCCGTCTCGATACTGAAGATTGGATGGCCAGCTGGAAAGAATTAGCAACAAAAAACTCTGGGAACAAATCAATCAAGAACCTATCGTTCAACAAATATTCCTAAGAAAATGGGGATGGATTGCACACTCGCTATGGAGACCGTCGAGTGACATCACGTGCCAAGCCATTCACTACTCGCGAGTAACTCGGATGGGAAATGAAGAGTTGAGCGTGGGTCCGAGGATCACACAGAGGGGACCGCGTGGTCAGTTGTGGAGCCAGATGAGGAGTATGGCAGAGAACAGAGTGAAATGAGGATGTTCTGTTGAGTTCATATGTACCACTTGGAACCCAAAGGGATAATATAAATAACCTTAATCTTAAAAAGTGAAGAGCATTCATCACCATCAGGTTTTTAGTGGCCATTGTAGTTTGTCTTCACCTTTTTTTGTTAAATGTGGTCTATTTGTTTCTCATTATTATTATTTCAAAATAGCTTCATCTTAGATATAACTAATGATCTCACAGATTAGTGTGTTTGTGCTTACTCATATAAATTTACTCGTTGTTTTGTCCTTTCTCTTCTATAGTAAGAACTATAATTTTAAATAAGTAATTGTTTCTAAGACTGTCATTCTATCAGGGTCGCATTTTATCTAATGTAATCATTGTATGACGGAAAAATAAAATTCAAATGACACACTGTGACAACTGTTTATAAAAACGTACTCATTGACAAGGAATCTTTCACTAAACAGACATTAGGATATGAAAAATATGCTAAAGAGATGATACACTAAGTTTTTAGCAATCATAAAACATTATAATAACATTTCGCACATTGATGGTTATTTGAGAAAGTTCAAAGGTCGGATCAGAATTATAAGCTTAAAATCAGTCTAGCTTGAATGAAGTAAACTAGTTATGACTGAATTGATTTGAGTATGGGTTATTCATGCCGTGTAACTGGGGTGGTGGTCACAAAGTGATTATTCTGGAATAAATAAAACCACTGCTTATTGGTATGATCCTTTAGTGAAAGTCTGGTACTTCTCATTTTTTATTTTATTCACTTGCGTTCCGAGTAGAACATAGGGCTTCAAGCTTGACCGCTGAAGCCATCTTACCACTGGCTTAGCGGCGTCGCGCAGTTCGTCGGTAAGGAATCTAACCCTAGACTACTGGAGGCGTCATTGATGAGCGTTCTACCACTGAACCACCGAAGCAAGATGTTTCTCACTAGGAAGATCAATGATTGTTGACGTTGAATTACACTAACGTTGTTTTACCTTCTTCATCCATTTCAAACACATTTTTCTTACAGTATGGTAAATAATCTCCTGCTTTGAGTTACAGCAGTTAGACTTCTACTGAAGTCTACGTAACACTGCCAACCCAGCGTAGCCTGAGATGTATAAACTTTGTCCATGAAAAATGAATCTGTAAAAGTAGTAAAAATAATATATCTGTTTGCAGTCCTTTCACTGGCTGATATCAGTTAGAGGACCACTGAGGACCGGGGAGTATTGAACAGTTGCATCATTCTTGTTTGGTGCTCTCCATCAGTACGTACCCGTGACCTCGCCAAAGATAGAACCAAGACTTCCAGTTTATCAAGGGAAATCGTTAACCATCCAGCCTATGCGATGAAATTCAATACCCCAACAGTTCTGATTTCAGTCAAATCGCGATTTTAACGCTATCACCAGCCAATATCATCGGTGAGTACTCGCCTTCAAATCTGACCTGATGAACTCTACTGGTCATGACTTCTCACTAGAACTACCAGACAGCTGCGTTTTATAGTCAGTCAATGGTGAACATTAGATTAATTTTCAAGTGTTAGTTTTTAAGGACTTGATAGATTTTAGAAATTGTAGTTTATTGGATGTCATTTCAGTGGTTGAATGTTCAACGAGCTCACCTGTATGCAGAAGATTTTGGTTCGATCGACGGTGAGTGAGCATTACTGAAGAATCGTGCACTAGGACAAAACAGACGTCCAGTGTTCTCTGTTGGGTTTTATTGGTTCTCTAACTGATTTCTCATGAAGACCAAACTGGAGACTAATGAAATCCCTACAGACTAACATTTGAACATATTTGCTTATTTTTCATTTGTTTTTTTACTTGAATAACTCATACATTTTACTTTCTGCATAATAATTAGAAGATTTCACAAAATGTCAAAACAGTTGTAAGCGTTCCAATGAAAATTTGCATGAGCCTCAAAATTTGCGTATATCATCTGAAAACAATAAAAATAATATTCCTTCGTGTACAAATTTAATTACATCTGGGCTGGATTTGAATCTGTCTACTGATCAACCGTTTTCACATTGGCGAAGAATGAAGAAATTGTGTACAACAAATATAATTCGTAAAGAAATTGATAGTGCAACCATTACTGGTACTCCTGTATGTCAGACAACTTCAACAGACAATCCTGATAATGCTACCACTATTACAGCTTCTAGTATCACTACTAATTGTGAAGTGAATTCAGTACTTCCCAGCTCTACAAACACTGTCAATACTACTTGTCATAATACTTGCTATGACAGTTCAGAGATATCTGGCTTTAATCTATCATCAAAAAGTAGTAGGATATATCAAAATTTCTCTAATCCAACCTCTTCAATTGTTCCATTGGCTAACAATTCTCTCTTGTTAGAACCAACGAGATTTAATTCATTAAACTCTACTGGAACTTCTATAACAGCTACACTGACAACAATGAATATGCAACAGAGATTTAAAAAAGCAAGTCTATTTTCTTTGTTTCATTGTAAGAAGAATGTATTCTACAGTGGAAATTTGTTTTTCATCCTTTGGAGTTTTAAGTTTAACATAGGGCTATAAACTTTGAAGTTTTACTAGAGTTTGCGTTGTCTTGTTTTTTTTTCACGGGGTAGGTTTGCTAACCTCACAGTTAACCTGTCCTCTATTCACGGCTCTATTCACCACTGACTAAACGAGGTTAAGGAGTGTGTCTGCTTGAAATCCATCCCCGACCACATGGGTAACTCCTGGGTGGTGAGATGTGTTCACTGTAATTTGATATTATTTTAATTTGGTTCGTGGCATTATGTTACACTGTTTCATTCAGGAAGAAAGTTTTTCTAATAAGTTCTGTGCATTTTCTGGAAGTTCTGTTTAATTGGGGGTATTTATTGGGTTTTATTTCATTTTGAACTTAAAAAAGAGGTATCTGCAGTTTCGAGGGGAATTCGAAAACATCATCTATCAATTCTAGCATCATCAAGCGACTGCTGAGTTACAAATGTGACAAAAACATATTACTACCAGCAAACAAACATTCTTGTAAAGCTAATGGTTTGCATTTATTTCTCTTTGAACTTACTACTCATAAAAAAGAGGTCCACAATATGAGTCACCTGATAATGTCTGAGCTTTCACACACGTTGTCGTATACTCATTCATTATTTAACAGTTGCATAACTTTCCATTTAAGTGATGTGCTCTTTGAATCCCTGCATTGAATTCTCTTTTCTTTATATTTTGGACTATGAATGAATCATACACAGTTATATGCAACTGATAACGTAGTTCTCAACTCTAAAGTTTTGAATGTCAACTATGTTAGCGAAATACTACGCGTAAAGAACTGCATGTCTTGTGATTTTTGAGCTTTTAAATTCCATACTCAGATACGTATCAGTTGAAACTGAATGTTCATTTACACTGATTGAGTCAAAATATTAATGTTATTAATCATATTGGTTAAAACAGTGATAAAGCATAGTACCCCTCTGTTTAAGGATTGAAAATTCTAATTGACTTTCATAATTTTCTCATGAAATTCTTAAAGTACATTTATTCATACAGAGTGGAGCATAGGGCTTGAACAACACATCTCCACTTTCTTTTATTTTCTGCCATCCTCTTCAGCTGGGTCCGCGATTGCCCAAATTCTCTCATCTCTTCTTCACATGACCTCCTCCATGTCACCTAAGGACGACCTACTCTTCGCTTTGTGCGTCGATAACATAGTGGTTAGGACGCTCGCCGACCATGCATATGGTCCGGGGTTCGATCCCCGGCCGCCAACGCACTCCTTTACCTCGCTAAGCCAAAAATAATGCTGGTAAAGAGGAAAGGTTAGACATGAGGCTAGCAACCCCATCCTGTAAAATAAACACTGCTACGGAAACTTCAAAGCTCTAGCTTGAAGCCCTATGTTCCACTGGGAAGGTGAAGGGAAAAAAACTCTTCGCTTTCCATTTTGATTCCACTTGAGAGCCTGGCGCGTGATGTCATTCAAACAATAAGAAGCAATTAATTGTTTTTTTTGAGATAATTAATTGTTTGTTATTAATCCATTGGATCCCAAGTAGAATATACGGCATCAGCATCACGTCACCATTTCACTCCATCCTCTGTAGTCCCATTTAGCTACCTTCACGATTGCCCATACAATCTCTTCCATGTCACCCTTGGACATCCAGTTCGTTCTTTCCCATTTGAGTTCCAGTTGAGAGTTTGTTTGGCAGTGTCACTTAACAGTCTCCTCAGAGAGTGTCCAATCCATCTCTTTTTTTAAAATAATATTTGTTAAGTGATAGATTCTTGATTTGTTCATTGCCATATTTCCTTGTTGACAATCCTTTGCAGCTACCTGATCTTCGGTATAGAGCAAAGGAAGCTGTTGATAAAAGTATGAAACCCATTGAAATAAGTTTTGGAGACTTCCTTCAAAGTTATTCTATCGAATAGCTCAGTGGTAACTTCTCTGATCGCGTTTTTTAGTTGACTAGAGTTCAAATCTCAAAACGGGCATGAGTCCTTTCAAGGTTGCAGATACGCCTTGCTGACTGAGTGAGTGCCAACTAGCACGAAACCTAGGATAGGCAAGGCTTCTTGCCTATTGCCTCCAACCATCTAATACCAGCGATGATAGTTGTCAGCTACTTTGCTTACTGAGTTAATTTAGCTTCATAATACCTTACAGAGAGGCATTCGTAACTTGATTGGGTGGTCGGTAAAAACCGCTGACTTATTTTCTCATTAAAACAGATCCAACTCAGACGAAACGTGGATTTGCGTAAGATTATATCTTGGTAGCGAAAGCCTATTGGTTGCTTATATTTAATACTCTTGGAACCTTTTATTTTTTCAGAGAAATGATGATCATATACCAGTTCAAATTAGTGTTAGCGATAACTATTAAACAGTAACAACGAAAATTTAATAATCTAAGATACTAGTATATATATATATATAATGATTTAAAATTTGTTTTTGCACATATTCTCAGGTAGACAGCAGTGTTTTTTGTTTGTTGTTGAAATAAATAGATCTCTGCGTATATAATGTTTCAAATTATTCAATTTTTCGGAGTAATCATCTCATTTTGTGATTATTCATTAAGGGGGATGTTGTTAAAACACCGAATGGTGTAAGAAAAAAGTTTAATGGTAAACAATGGCGTCGTTTGTGTAGTCGAGAAGGTTGTACTAAAGAATCTCAACGACGTGGATTTTGTTCTCGTCATTTATCAATGAAGGTAAGGCGCTTTAGTTTGATTGATTGAATCTGTAAATATTCTTATGTAGACTTGATGCTCGCTTAACTTTTTTAAGGAGTCAAAATTTTTGTCGAACTTATCTGTTTACTTATAACAAGCAGTTACCTTGCGTTATTAGTACATACTACTGATTAACTTATATGAGTAGTTAGAAACCACCACTTACGTCAGACAGTAGTGCTTGCTAACCCGATTGAAGTGGTGTGAACACTGGACGGTCGTTTCGCTCATTTAAGGGCCGAGCATATCAGCGGTTGCTAAATCTGAATCAGTTAGAATCACCAGGAAACCTAGCTAGCTCGATAGACGGAGTAGAGACAAATTCGTCATTTGAAAATTGTACGGTCCAGTGAGAGAAATCACTACAGATACCTTTAGAGACCAGAAATATTCAGATGACTACACGTGACGTGAGCAATAAACTGTGCATAATGTGCGAAGGTTTAGGAGACTCTCTTTTCCGCTGACTCTTAAAAGTTTATTATTTGGTTTGAATCTAAGGCTCCGTGGGTGCTGTATCTTCGAAACCTAAATAGATCGGTAGATGTCAGCAGACACATAATGGAAAAATTACAGGTAGTAGCATTTGCAAATAACTTTATGGCGTGCCAAATACTACTGATTGGCTGATATGAGTAGTTTGCAATTAACACTGATATTAAATACTAGTTTTTGCTAGCCACAGAGAAGTGATGTAAACATCGGACGACTGTTTCTCTCAAAGAAACACATTTATTTCCGAAATCTATTCACTATCACGCTTTAAATTTTATCATTGAATAGTTTTATTTTCATGTGCAGTGTATCGTAGATTTTTTTTTATGGTAATGAGACTGAAAATATCAGACTGTTTTTTGTTACTTATGGATGCTGAAAAGGAAATATGGAGTTTTTATTTAGATAATTCATGAAATAAGGTACTATTGTGAAGAACTGATTAACATCAATACTACTGTAATGTGTTGCTAAGGTTCCTGTCTTCAACACTGAAGGATTTAATCTGAGAAATTTGAGAAAGCATGATTCCCACCACTGTTAACTTTCCCTACAACAATAATTGTATCAAACAAGACTCATATTTTAATACTTAACATGTTTGAAATTTTATTCTGAAGGTTCTTGGGGAATTGATGCGCTTCATTTACTTTAAAAATGAACTAATTCAATTAAGTAATATGTACAGAATTATTTCTTGTGTACTAGATAGCCCTTTTTCTCCACGTTTTGAATAAACATGAATCAGACTATGGATTTTTATAGGAATATGAATTTATCGCAGTTTAGACGTCGTCATGAATCAACATTAGTTAGAGATCATTGAAAACTTATAATCTTTATATCAATCTCCAGCTCGCTGCTGGCTACTTGGTGGATTTCCTGAAGCTGTACTGAGAAGTTGTGGCCAATAGAGTCCATCATATCAGGGTGAAATAGATAATCATCGAAGCTATTTGGTTGTGGGTAGTATTAGATCAAAAATTGATAGAAGTGAGAATTCATAGGTTACGGAATTCCAGTCCAGGTGGATGATGAAATGGTCAGAGAGTTCAGTGTTGTAACCTGAAGGTGTTGAGTTTGATCCCTGTCGGTGCGACCATTGATGCACACTGTCAGAGTCTCAAAATAGAACGAAGTAACTGTTCAGGTCTCCCCGGTTTTAATGACCTCACTAGCTGATATTGGTTTATGACGAAGTCTGTATTAAGCCTTGTGTTAACTAATATCCAACCGTTAATTTGTACTTTTAAGGACCTTTAATTTGTTATTTACTGTATTGATCTTTAAATTTTAGGGAAAAGAAATGCGTGTAATGGGTTATGCTGCTGCTGTAGCTGCTTTAAACTCTTCAGGGGATAGTAAATATACTGGATCATGTACATCTAAAGAATCTGGATCAAATCGTAATAAGTTACATTCTTTAACATCGCCATCTTCTTCGTTATTTATTTCACCTTCAATTTTTTCACCATACAAACTAACTCCTTACTTACCGTCATCTGTTATATCATCGTCAACAACAACAAACACAGTTGATACTGCCTTATTCACATCCAATTCTTCTGTGACACTGACCTCAGTTACGGGAGTATTTTGTCCCAACAGCCGACATTTCCTCTCCCATTAGCTTCACTTCAATTTCATCCCAACTGTAGTTCAAGTATAACCCCAACGGATAGTGCTGGGACACAAATGACTTCCTTCTCTCTCTCAAGTATGTTTATGTTACTTTTTTACCAGTCGACGATTATCTTGTCTTTTTGATATTATATGAGTCTATTCAATATCAATATAAATGTATTATATACATTAAACCATTGGTTATTAACAGTACTTAATCACTGTTGAGAGCGTAGTAATCTTAAGGTCCACTCCCCACAAGCCTTTGATTTCTAGTCTGATCTAAAACGTAGTGGATCTGCATTCCCATGAATACCCGATGACCAAAACAAGTCCACACAATATTCGATCTGTTTGGATTCTAGGACCATTGTACATCATACGTAAGGAATCAAGGTTTTTCAACTCCTCTAGTTAGATCTACATATCAAACAATCCCATTGTAAGCGCCAGGAATTAGTAATCTTTTCATTTTTATGGGTAATGCAGCGGGTAAGACTTACCAGGCAAAGGCTGTGAGCACGTGGCCTTATGAGGTCGTTTCGATAGGAAGATCGAAGGCTATCTACCCTTGACCATGCCAAGTCGTTTCTCGGGGCAATATGTTCTTGACTAATTCATTCCGAAAGTTTTTTGTTGCCTATCCTTTCCGCCCGACCATCTTGTCCTCATTAAGGAGTGAAGGCAGCTTTAGATGAAAGCGTATAGTTTCTTAAATTGACAAACTAATAACCTGTTAATGAGTCTTGTGCAATCAAACGGTTTTCTAGATTTACGTTTTCAACACTTTTATTAGCAATAGACAAGGTACATCTTCCACTACACTTTTGATATACACAGCTGATTCTTTTCAGTCCTCGTATATGTAAACTGGAAAATTTTAAGATCACTATATGTATTTCTTTTGTTCTTAATTGAATGCTTCTGATGCTATTATCCCTTCTCCTTTTCTAACTGAGATCTCTCTTTACCCTTTTCAGATCCTGGATTTACGCCTATATTGTTCAGTAATACTACTGCTGGACCAATGTCTCCTATTCCTACACCTCTTGCTTTACTTCCTATTCTTACAGACAGCATATCTATGACTGGTAGCTCTTTCAAGAATCAGAGGTCATCAGGACTTTCTTCCGATCATTGGGATAATTCGGAGACTGATACTAATAACAGTCATAAAGATAACAGTACTGCTAATCAATACTGTGATAGGGGTTACAAAGATTCCACTCATCATGAGTCGAACAACAATAGTAATAATAATAATCATCAGTGGCCTACATTGTCATGTTCGATTGAAGCAAAGGACCAAGAAGACATTAAACAAATAAAACAATCGATTAATACAAGTAAGATTTCGACACAAACATTCAGTTGAACAAGGTTTATAAAAATGTCCCAGTTGGTTGTCTGCTCCACTGTCTGTGAATCGAACACTCTACTGGGATTATGAAATTTAGGAAAGTGTTACTTTTCAGCTTGTGGTTAGTGCGAAATGATGTTTCAAATGTCTTTTAGCGGGTAAATCTTAATAATTTGAAGACATATTACAAATATAATTTTGGAAGTTTTAGGTTCAGTTTAAAAAGTTACCTTGAGTGTTGATCTTATTCAAAAGTAGGTGTAGCTACTTTTTATCAAACTGTTGCTCAATTTATCTTAAGGTGTAACATTTGTTTTAGTTACCTGGGTTCTAGTGGGAAGTTGTGACCATTGGGGTACAGGAGGTAGGGTGTGAGGACACATACTGGCCGATGACATTCGCTAGTGGTCACGCCATATCATGAATTAGCAGAAGTTGGAATTCATGAATCATTGGACCGTGCCTCAGTGGCTTAATAGTCTATAAGCTCGCATTGTAACCAGAAGGTACTGGATTTTACTGCTGAAGAGTCCCGAACTAGGACGAAACAGCTGACTGTCCAGTACTCCATGTTGGTTTTCCAATGGTTCTCTAACCGATGTCAGTTCATGAGGAAATTGTTCGAGTGTTCTAGGTCTCACTACTGGTTTATTGATCAAGACTATATGATCCCTTAGTGAGATTACATAATATCATCGCCTTCTGCCTACTACAGGGTTCCACATATTTTGGCTACAAAATAGTTTTCGTAGGAAAGAAATTTAAGTATTTCTAGATGTGTGAAGGTTTTGAATTTTTAAATGTCTGCATCGAGGACGATAATAGATAAGGACTGAAATTTTTAACACACACGTGTGTTTGGGATATTTGTGTTTCATAACGGTAATAACAGCTTTATTCCTCAAAAAATACATTTGTACACAATACAGAATTTTCAGAGGGTTTCATTGCAGGGTATTTACCTCTTGTACACAATCTTCAAATGACATAATAATCGATAAAATATCATCGGAAGCAGTATTGTTTTCATCTGCGGTATGCTCCAATGCTATTCTACAATACTATTCCTCCATTTCTTCAGAAAATTTCTAGCGGTTGGTGGAAATGTTATTTGAAATTGTGCGCGAGTATGGTTCCTGACTAATTGTGGTAATTAGAGGATTAAAACAACTCGAAATGAAGTAAAAACTATGCATTTTGATGGAGGGAAAATTCATTTAGCCCTGTGATTGTTCCATCAGATCAGCGTGTCTGACAGGATAACCAGGAAGTGTAATTGACCTTCTAAAACTTTTTCAATTTTTAGATTATTAGGATGACATTCACTGCACTCGGTTATTGTATATCGTCAAGTTTAGCTGATATAAAGCCAAGGGCAGGGTCAAACCAAAACATGGAATCAGTCTATAGAGTCTTTGACAGTTGGTTTGAGGCACTAGGAAGGTGTAGATTGCCTGTTTAGGGTCCTCGGGATGCTAAGAATTAATGACTGGGGACTATTGGTGATATAACTCCTAATCGTTCTGATTGGCGCAGATGTGTTTACTTTTTGTAATGTTCCATATGCATTAAATCTTTGTATTTTTTCATGTTACTGTTCTTTCTCCTGTTCATTCCTGCTACTTCTCTACTTTTGTGTGCTACATGGAGTTCGGCGACTTGAATTGGTATAGTTTTGTGTATAGTTTTGAAACTCACTCAGGAGATCATGGCTTGTATATCGTATAGCTCAAAAACAAATTGTGATTTATTGACCAGCCTATTATCATGTTGATTGACAGGCTTTTAGCATTATAGATACCACGATATTTTTTCTTCACTGAATATTGCGATTATATGGAAAATCATTGATTGTTGATGGAGCAATTGACAATTCTTTCTTTTTATAACTTGAGGCTGTACAGCAGTGCGTATACCAAATCCTACATAGAATATTGTCTAAAACCTCTAAATCCCAGTTAGTATGTATTTCGAAACCCCTATAAACTAGTAATGTAGTGAAACCATCATCCACTGTTACAGTTTGGGCATTTACTCTTATTCATTAAGTGTATCATCATCGGTCACTTCTGATTTATTCATTTTCGAGTGTTGGTATGCGGGAACTTAATTTCTTTCAAGTTAGACCACAAAATGAAATCAGTAAGAGGACCACTGAATACCGGGAATTCATGCAGAGTCTTTTTGCCCTAGTTAGGGACTCTTCAGCAATACACAATCATAACCAGATGAGAGATGGAAACCAGAACCATCAGATAACGAGGTGAGCCCATTGATCATTTAGCCACTTGGATGGAACTCTATGGCTCGTGAATTCTAACTTCTGGTTCGATCACGAGCCAACATTAGTTCAAGAACAACTGGAAAATCATAGAGCACTGGACAGCTGTTTCATCATACTCCGAGACTCTTCATCAGTAGATACCCACCAAGGTTTGAACCTAGGATTTTCTTCTACCAATTCATCATGTATAGTGCCACCTACATCTAATGTCACTGTCGAGTACTCGCCACAACACCCGGCTTAATGGACCTCACTTGTCATGACTTCCAATCAGAACTCCAAGCAACTTCATGTATTAGTCAGCTACTGGTGGTTTGTTAGGAGTTCACTATCTTTAGAACTATTTTTATTGATGAATCTATATTATGTACTATGTCAGTTTATCAGTTTAACATAACATATGGATTTTAAATTTCCCTCTCCTTGTTTTGAACTGTTTTAAAAATTTAATCTAATAATCATATTGTTTTTTAAGATCACATTTATCATTACGATGCAGAACTCACTCAAAATTCTAATCTGATGGATGATGATGATGATGATGATGATAAGTCAACATTACCATCTGGAATATGCAATAGTTATGGGGTAAGTATTGAATTCATTCATTCATTTTATTTTATCTGTTTATTGAATGCTGCTCGTAGATTAGAGATATTATTGTACACTGATTGAATTGGGAGTGTAAAGTTTAAACTGGTCGTTTAAGTGAGAAAGATTTAAAATCTACTCAAAAATTGTTCCTGTTACTTTTTATTCAAACAAATTTTAAATGATGAAATAGGTTTAAAACTTTCAAGTGCTAGTTTGAAGTTATTTGAGTGATTATAATTTAATTTAAAGAGAAAATAGTTGGAGAAACATTGAAAGTCAAGGAGTATTGGGAAGCCGTTTCGTTCTAATTTGGGACTCTTCAATAGTGGTACGCGCCCGTTGAGGATTGAACCCAGAACCTTCGGGTTGTAAAGCAAGCCCGAAGGCGAGATGGGTTTCTTTGAGTTATAGTGAGAATTCTTGACCGTCAGGTCACTAAGTTAGGTATGATGACAGATAATCGTCGATGAAACTGACTTACATTGCCGCTGTGTTTGGCCAGTTGTCAGGAGGTAGAATTCATGAGCTACTAGGCCATATCATAGTAGCTGAGTGGTAAATGGGGTCGTCTCTTAACCAGAAGCTCCTGGGCATAATCCATGGTGGGGATCATAGGTATGTAAGATATCTATTCATCACTGAAATGAGAGAATTTCATAAAATTGATTGATATTGACATTTTTCCCCATAGAACTTCGTTTTTTATTATCCGGAATTACACTGGGTGGCGTTTGTACAATTTCTCAAATTAACAGAAGTTAGAATTCATGGGCTATCGGAATCCGACTAAGTGACTGCACGGCAAATCACTCAACCGATAGCCAGAATGTCCTGATTTTCATCTCTGATGGAGTTACGAGTTTGTGCTGTTGAAGAGTCCAAGACTAGGATGAAATGTCTGAACAGTAATTCCGAGTTTTCATTGGTTTCCTAACTTTCTTAAAATCGTATACTTATCTATCGGATATTATTCCATGCATTTTTCGTCTTACATTGTAGTGAAAAACTTTATGATTCCATTCTGTATAACCGATCTAAATTATTTAGGAATGTTAGCCTACTCTATCATCCTAATATATTGTACTTTTGTCTTCATTGAATAATTTCTTTCTCACTAACTGCTACCTAGTGATCAACATACAGAAGTTAGATTAATGCAGTTGAGGTTAATGTACAAGAAGTTCTGGAATTAGGTTTCGTACATATTGACACTTGTCGTCGAAGAAACCAATTTCCCCTCATGGGAAATCTAAACCTGGATCACCCGGTGCTGCAATCACAGACGTCATTTCACAACGCCAGTTATTTTGAGGTTTCAGATACACCTTGCTGGCGACTGTCAATAAGTACGAAGCTTAGGTTCAGGACTTCTCATCAATCACCTTTAATTGCTTAGCATTTATTTTAAACTACACCATTATGGTGGGTAATTTAGCTCAATGATCATATTGTAAACTTGACCGTTAGAAATCAGACATCACTAATACAAAATTCTAGACATGTGAAATACGACCACACCCTGGAGATCAATCAGTGTATACGAAATTTAACTGGTAGAAAGAGTAAAGAGTTGAATAGCTTCAAAACTGACCAATCATACACCATATCGATATCTTCAGTTGGATTGAGTTTAGTATAGTATTATCGTTTAGTCATTCGTTAGATAGGAATCAAATAATCAATTATTCATTCCCCTCTAATTCCTAGTGCATTTATTATGGATTAATGAGGGATATAGTTTCATGTTTTCAGGTTCATTTTGTATTTTCTGTTGATTAGTTATGTTGTTGAACCGACATATGTCGGCTCCTAGTATGGACGCTCTAACACTGTCTTACAATTAATGTGAAGTTATTTTAGTTGGTAGTAGTATCTGACAGGGGAATCTATGATTAAAACTTCGTCCTACTTAGGACTCGTCAGCCATATATATATATCTGCATTCATAGTGATTGACTGATTGTGTCCCTACCGAGACTCAAACCCTGCACACATTGTTTTTCCCTAACCTGGTGGACAATTCTTTGAGGGTTCAATTCCCGGTAAATGAGTCATCACTCATTAGGAATGCAGACAATGAGTCTCAAATAGAACGAAATCTACTCTTTGGATTCCATTGATAGCCAATACCAAAGCAAAGTAGGAATATACTTTTATTATAAATCTGACTATTCAGTTTCGTCTCGTTTTTGAAGTTCATTACTTATCGCCTAAGAGAAAATAATAATAATAATAATAACAATACTAACAATAATCAATCTTTGATTAAATTGGGAAGAGAAAGACGATGTCGGGAAAATATAAGTGAAAAATAATCATAAACATATATCTAAAATGAATGAAGCAAATAACAAGGATATATGCACACAGATACACTTAGCAGCAATGAAGACGCATACTTGACCTATTCTCTTTTTTGTCAATGAATCACCACTCCTCTGCGCATACAACCAACACAACTCCCGAGATATCTTTTTGTCAACAAATGCTTTAGACTCGTCCTCCTCCTCCTCCTCCTCTTTTGTGTTTGAAGTCATTTTAGTCTACGGGGATAACAATAAAAGGACGAAAAATAATTTTAACCTTTTGTAATGTGTCACCATGTTTAGTTTACTTTTTATTTTATTTGTCTGTTTACTTATTTATATTATTTATTCATTCATTAATTTATCTTTCCTCGAATAAACAAGGTGATGATTCATTCAAAGAATCATCATAATATAGCTAGATAGGTAGTCAGTCATTCTATTAATCAATTAGATATTCACAGAAGAACCAGAAAAAAAGCCTATCATACGACAGGAAGTATGCATTAAATCTACTCGGAGTTTCTATTTTTCTGTCTATCTATCTATCTATCTACCTGTCCATCTGGAGCAAAGCAACAGCCAGCTTCATCACCTCACCATCCATCCATCCACTCAGCCTCACCAACCCCCGCGGTTGCCTATTCTTTTTTTCTCCTCTCTTGTCAATAGGATAAATCAAGTATGAATAAGGGAATAAATGAAGTGTTCTAGGTTTGATTTTTTAGCACTGTGATAGAAAACTTTATTCATGTGTTATCGAAGAATTCATTAGTTAATCAATTTCTCCATCTTTCTCTCTCTCTACATCTCTTTGTCTCGTTAACTTTTCATTTACAGGATATTTTGCTTAGATTATGCTTTAGCAGTGAGAGAAGAGATAAACAAAACAAAAATCAATTTCATAAAATAAAATATAAAAATCTTGCAATATTCCATATTAGATAAGTTTATTTTGATGTAGTACATAATGATGCTAAAGTTTTAATAACTGGATGTCATTTCGAGCACAATTTATAATAATATAATATAATATATTGATTCCCGTCTGTGTAGTAACACACCAAGTGCACAAGCATGCAGAAGTATTATTTATAAATAATAACAAATAATTTTTCCTTCACGTCCCCACTGGAACATAGGGCTTCAAGCCAGTGGCTCGAAGTTTCTGTAGCAGTGTTTATTTTACAGGATGGTATTGCTAGCCTCATGCCCAACTTTTCCTCTTTACCAACATTATTTCTGGCTTAGCGAGGTAAAGGAGTGCGTTGGCGGCCGGGGATCGAACCCCGGTCCATATGCATGGCTGGCGAGCGTGTTAACCACTGTGCCACCGACGTACAGAAGTATTATTTAAATTACATAAATTTGGTTTATAGTGTGAATTTACAGGGTTGCTGTTTGTTTGTGTGTTTTGTTTGTGAGAATAATCTGTTAACTAGTCATTCAATTGAGCACATTGAGAAATATAGGGATACAGTCTTCACATTAACCAAAGGGGTTGAAAGAGTATGGACTAACATGGATGCAGGTGAAAAGTACATCAGAAGACAGAAGCAAGCGGAGACGTGCAGTTGAAGCCCTATGTTCCACTAGGAACCCAAGGGAGCAATAATAATAATTAACCAAAAAAAACGCAAGTATGTGTCAGTTGGATTACAAAGGCTTTGGAAAAAATAAAGCTTGAAGTCAATTCCCCCACCCACATAACTTTGGTGTGTAAGGCATCGAATCTTACTCGTGATTTTTATCTAAGTTGGGTATTCATTTAACATAAGTGATATATTTGTATCACTTTCTCAGCATTGTCGGCGTAGGGTAACATCAGAATTGAATTGTACCCCATGCAGACTGATATTGGGCATACCCAGACAAATTTGTTTTACTGCACCGAGGTCAGCCACCATTTGTAGCTGCATGGTGTTCTGTACGACTAAGTTGAGTAATATGTAGGAAAATGTTTGTAAATCAGTTGGATCTTCATTTTAGGTCATGCATACTACTCGTATAGTATGTTACACAGCCTCGTGATATGGTAACAGGGGATGTTTCAAGGATGTTGAGTTATTAAGAACCAAAGGCTTGGAGGATAATGGGGCAGATTTAAAGAAAGGGGCTTCAAGTCCTGTTCAACTTCAGTATTACCATTAGATTTGTGCAACTTCCACAATTGCTGCTCATAATCGTATCATTACATTCATACGGCTTCATAATTTGCTTTATATTACTTTCCCCCTTGTTATTCACTGTAATTTTCCATGCATCCGGTATAGGTGTTGCGTCATCATTTCGATTGCATGCGTTTGTTGTTGATTTGATGAACAAAGACTCCTGTCTTCCCATATGATTAATATTACTTTTTAATACTTCCACTCTGTCGCCCTCTATTGTTTGATTATACGCAACAGAGTGTATTGCAGTGGCCAAGCTTTCCTCCAAATTATTTAACTTAACAGGGTCAATTATTGTAGATCTAATCTAATCTAACTGACCTCGATCTACCAGTTTGACCTATGTAATTGACTTCACAGTCATTATATAATATTTGGTAAATTATATTATTTTTCCCGAGTGGATCCATTAGGTCCTTAAGCCGAAAAAGTTTGTCTCTGAGTTATTTGGTTAGTTGAAATCCCACTCTAATTCCAGCCTCATTAAGAAAACTACGTTGGGCTTCTGATGTTCCTTCTTTATGTGGCAGTACTACAGAGGTTATGAATTCCATATTACTTATATTATTTTCTTTATTTACATTACTACTCTTGTCCTTCTTATGAATCTTCACATATTTTTGAATAAATTCTGGTGAGTAGTTATTCACTAGAAATGTTTTCTTATTTGCTTGATTTCATTATTTAAATCTTCTGGCCTACTAGTAAGGCCCCTGGCCTGATTATTTAGACATTTAACTAAACCTACCATTACCGATTTTAAAAATCGGATGAATTAAAGTCTAAGTATTTATTGGAGGGTGTCAATTTCATATAACTGCTAGTATCTAACCCATCATCTTGTTTTCATTCTATATTACAGTCTAACATGGGTAACTTACTTTGTTCACTATCTAACTCAAAAGTCAATTGGTTTGAGTCTACTAATAAAAGTTTCCATGTTTGAAGAATAGAGGGATGTGTTCTGATTTTAACACAGTGAAGGTGCCATTCGCATATCTTGACCATAATCTAGGAGCAGGATTAAATGTTCTAAGGAGATTTTTGTTCCCAATTATTCATAAATGTGTCTGCTACTATTGGGGATGTTGTTAATTGTTACGTTGAATTGAACAGTTAATAAATTAAAACCAGAGGACGTCATTCCTAACATAGAAGCATCACTAAACTCAATAGATAAGACTACAGCAGAAGAGGTTCGAGCACGATGTTGTTAATTCTATTCCCGCCACATTTGTCTGTTTGTATATTTGATTTTAGAATTTGAATGTAGTGGAGGTTAGGCATAACTGTACGCCTAGTATTATTTCATCAATTGACAACTAGGTCCCATTTTTGAGTTCAGAATCAATGTCTACTTTATTCCTAATTGCCTTTCTACTTTAAGTTCATCTAGCTTTCATTTCATTATGTATGAATTATAGTTAGCTTAGAATTACTGTGTTACATCAAATAAATAAATAGCATGAAGATACATTCTATCACAGTGGTTAAGTTCTACATTTAAATTAGCTTATAATATTGTTTTGCTCTTCTAAAAGAAACTCTCTTCTACTGTGTAACGGGAGAGGATAAGAGTCCGAGTAACGGAATGTGTATTGATATTTTGACATATACACATAGAGAAATTATGCATCCCTTATCTGCAAATCGTTATTTGCACAGATCTTCTGTGTTGTGCTACTACTATCCTTTGTGTTGTGTTTCTTTGTCCTCTTCTTTTCATGTGTCCAATGTTTTACCGCAATACTGGTTCATTCTCTCTCTTTGACGTTAAATCTATCTCTCTACTATTTGATACTTGTGTGTACCGATGAACGTCTCTTTACATACTACTGATGACTCTTGTCAGCGGTATACGCCACACTACTACCGTAACTAAATATTTTGATTGGACACTAGTAACTAGTGCAGACTGAATTCTATCAGTCAGGTTTTGCAATTTGGCCACCATTCTAGGTTACTTGGGTTCGAATCTCAGAAGGGACATGAGTTCCTTCAGGATTGCAGATACGCTTCGCTGATGTGTGCCAACTAGCACGAAACCTAGGTCTAAGGCTTCCTGCCGACTGCCTCCAACTATCTAATACCATAAATAAATATGTTGTTCAGTGGGAATATCAGGACGTTGTAATCATATGTATACATAATACGTGTTGGGAAAAATTACACATTATTACGACATAATAACTATTCAAAGTCTATCACTAAATGAGTTCTTGTAACTTACTTTTCAGAATCAAGGCGTTATATATATATATAATATACATATCTGTGTAACTTTCTACTTTTATTGTCATTTTTCTCAAAGGCAACCGCTACCACTACTGATGAACAGGTGATGACTACTCCAAACGCAGTTCATTCAGATCTTTCAAAATCTATCAGTGCTCAAGATTTAAAAGAATCAATAAATTCAATTATACAGAGATGTAAACTTTCTTCACATAGCACAACTGCAACTGCTACTGATTATAATAGTAGTCCTCTGAAAGATAAGAAACATGTTCGTCGTCCAATGAATGCATTTATCATCTTTTCTATGCGACATCGTAGTGAAGTGCATCGTTTATATCCAAATAAAGATAATCGTGTAGCAAGTCAAATTTTAGGTGATTGGTGGTATCGTTTAAATGCATCAGAGAAAGCACCTTATCAAGAACTGGCTCGTGAAGTAAGTTTTACTTTATTTAATTTTTTTTACTGCATAACCATTACAGTATGATGATTAATCTATTTGTATTATTCAAGTATTGGTTTGTAGGGATTCGGTTGATTGATTACAGGATTTCATCATGAGTTGACATTGGTTAGAGAACCATTGGAAAACCAACTCGGAGTACTGGACAGCTGTTTCGTCCTCGTTTGGGACTCTTCAGCAATACGCACCCACCGGGATATTGGTTGGTGGTTGCGCTATATCGTGAATTGACAGAAGCTAGAATTCATTGGCCATTGGATTGGGTCCCAGTGGCTCAATGGTCTACGAACTCGCCTTGTAACCGGAAGGTCCTGGGTTCGAACCCTTGTGTTGGGTGCGTACTAATGAAGAGTCCCAAAGTGGGACGAAACGGCTGTCCAATACTCTCAGGTTTTTCAGTGGTTCTTTAACCAATGCTATCTCATGATATTTGTATTATATTGTGATTGTTCACAAAAATGTGTATATTAAGTGTTTTTGGTCATACAACTGCCGTATTCAACGGAGGTAAATCATATCTTTTCAGGTTAACAGTATGAAGCGTGCTGCTAAGTTATGGAAGCATACGGGTTCATTATTGAATCTGAATTCGAACACACATTTATTCTAATGCATTTGAATAACCTCTTCCAAGTCACTGAATATTCAGCAGGCTCACCTTGTAACCTGAATGTCTTGGATTCGATCCCTAGCGATGTCCTGGATGTATAATGCTGAAGATTGCCAGTGCTTCAGTACTCCATTTTCATGTGTTGCTGATTCAATAGTAGACGGCAGTGCTCGTCTACCACACAGCTAGCCAGGGTTTGTTTCCTGCCCAACGCACACGTAAACCAGTAGAGTAAGCCTGGGAAAGAAGAAAAGAGTGAGCAAGTCAGCTGTGTAAAAACAAAACAGTCATTACTGAAATGTTAAAACTTGAAGTTCTGTGTTCCACTGAGGACACAAGGGAAGAGAAAAAAATGGTTTGAATAGTCTAGAGACTTGTCTCGCGCACAGTCAGTCAATAGACAACAACAATGTATTATGAAATATAATGATAAATGAGACAATGAAAACAAAACAAAAATCCTGTAACAAAAGAATTAGCAGAATAGTTATTAAATAAATACATTAAAAAAAAATAAGGCTTTTAAACAACATAACGTCTGCTTATTAAAAGAAGATTATTATATGTGAATACATCTACTCAACCTGTTGTTGCTACTTATAACAATAGACGTCAGGAGCAGTGGTACAGTATAATTCCATCATAGAATCCTTGTGTTTTTATTATTTATTATTATTTATTTGCTGAGGACGTTTTGAACACAATTCACTGCTCATAATCTCATATCAAGGTACTTACATAACTTCCGAACTATGGTTATGTAGTTCTATTATCCATATCTTTGTTACTGACATTATATTGTTCCCAATGCATTTGTTGGGTGAAGATTTAATGAAGAAAGATTCATTGATTCAGTGTTGTAGCTTACTTTTTTGTCCAACTACATTCCTGATGTATATGTGCACAGGCTTACGTATCATAAAGTCATTCAAAAGACTCCCTTTAAATAAACGCATGTTTCATCAGTTTTATGAACTTTCCATTCATTGCTAAAAGTAAAAGGTTCTGTTTGAAAAGTTGTTTAAGTAGGTCAACTCAGTTGATCGACTTATGATGAAGAATAGGTTGAAGATAGAAGGTATTGGAAGGTATTTTCGAGCATTGTATAGCAAATGCTACAATAGATTTTCCAGGTGTGCAAAAATGATGTTGATATAACACCTTTGAGACAGTCAAACGTAATATCTGATAGGATTAATACAGCGTTCCTCTAAGCACGTAATACCGAACTACCTGAAGAAATGTAGAATCGCAATTAGTCACTTCTAATCTACCTATACAAGTATACTGAGACGAAAGTGTGGCATATTTGATTTGTAATAGCTTATATCCTCCCTTCGAAGAATATGACTGAACTGAGGTGGTAATAAGCATTCGTGTGTCTTTGAAGGATGAAAATCTGATGAATATGATGAAGATGCTTGGACGTGTATGATAAAGCCTCTCTGGTCTTTGTATTCTGATTGTTACCACTGAATTTCGTTTCACCGTCTTAGGGTGTTATAAATCCTTGAATTCTGAACTGTATCAGTTAGGCTAATAGTTCATATGTATTGATTACTCGAAGTTATTTATTTATTTGTACTTATAATTCATCAGTAATTCTCATGCAGGTATTATTGAGAAGGACAAAACAGGTAGTTCAGTAAAGAGGCTATTTTCAGCAGTTCATATCCTTTAGCTGTATCTTCTCTAGGAAATCTTCATTCAAAATGGATACTCATCGAGATTTTATAGAAAGAAATATCAAGCCAAACGTTCACAGAAATGAAACATTATTTGTACCAAAAAAGAAACTTTATATGAAGCTTGAATTTAAGGGAGAGTTAACCTGCGATATTTCCTAGAGAAGGATCGCATCATCTAAGAGAAGAATTTTCTTCTCAGCAACGCTAAGAGTAGTGTTCTACAGTAGCCCAATGGTGTGTAGAAGCCATAAAGACAATATCTAGCATCTGATCACATCTGTGTGTATTTATCAGTTCACTTGTTCCTTTGGAACCGAGTATATTGGTTGTTTGACGCGTATCCCGTCTAGAAGGGTCCGAGAACGTTATCCTGAATGATTGTGGAAAGGCTTTTCAAGAAGTGCTATAACTGGACACCTCTTCAGACTATCTGAACAAACTCCTTCCTTTAAAGTAATCTGTTGAGTGAAGCACAATCTGTCGGAAACAATACTCTTCTGTCTCTTCTGCATCGCTGAAGCTCTGGTCATTCAGCCAGTGAGACTGCAGCTCTGTATACAAAAGAAAGTTATTCAACCGTTTCTATTATCTTGATAACAACGTTGTTGTTTTCTTCCAACTCCATTTTGTTTCTAACTCAATTAAATTACCCATCTTATTGCGTAACTCTAATATCCTTATTCAACTCTTCTTATGCATTGATGAATATTAACAACTACGATTATCACAACTTACCACTTTTGTTATAACCCTATTTCGTCAAAAAACTGTATTTAATTGCGATTGTGAAACCAAAAAAATGAATTCACCGAAAAGAATCTCTTCACCGAACTGTTTGTTTTGTCCTTTATATTTATAAATCGATTAGTGACAACAACTGGGATCTATTCTAAGGGAGGATATTTAATTCCTGTTTTTAAACTGACAATTCAATCAGTGTTCATCAAAGTAAAAAGGGTGAGGTTTGCAGTATGATAAAATATACACAGTTTATTTTAGCGGGATCTTTTCATCTTCAAAAAGCCTAAAATATACATAGAATTAATCACATAAGAGCATCTCAAACCAATGTTAGCTCATGAAGAGATCCTGTAACCAATCAGTCAAGTCCCTACAAACAAATACTTAAATATCGATGAGATGCTCACTGGCGACTGGCCCTATTTAGGTAGGTATTTACCTGGGCGTTCTAGTGAGAAGTCGTGACCAGCAGGCTGCAGCAGGCCGGGTGTGAGGACAACTACTCGCCGAAGATATCGGCTAGCGGTTACGCTACATTGTGAATTGGCAGAAGTTGGAATTCATGGGCTGGCTGTTGAATTGGGTCCCAATGGCTACTGAATGGTCCAACTTGAAAGTAATCAAATCCATACAAACTAACACTTGAGAATTAACCTCAGTTTATTCTTGTAACAATATTTCTCCAGCTATTACACAATCATGTTTTATACTACAACTGCTAATATTATTGCTGCTGTTTTTTGATCTACTGATCTTAACTCACTGAAGTGATTTCTAATCATTTTCACGTGATCTTCTTCCTGTATGCCACTGGTTTTAGTTTTGTAAATCATATGATAAAAATCCTCTAGTCTCTTCTTCCAAAACTTGTCATATATAACTTGATTCTTGTCATATTCATTGTAATAGTTATGTTGTCATATAGCACTCGTTGCTGTTTCCGTGATCTATGATCTTCATTCTCAGTTTCTGTTCAGTAGAAAAAAAAGATGTTCTTATACCAATAATTCTGTGTATATTTTAGGTTGTCTGCAGTTGAAGAGAACCTTCAAAATAGAAAATATGCACGTTTCATACTGTGAATCTTGTTCTTCTTACTTTGATTTGAAGATGATAATCAAGGCAGCAGGTTGTATAGGATTCATTTAATACTGAGGTGGTAATATGACTGAATGAATAATAATGTTGAACACCCAAGAGGCGTGAAGGTACCAATGATCTTAAAAAGAGCCATACCTCTGAAAGGGTAAATTCGTTCTTCTAAGCCTTACCCTAAATCTAATCTATATTTAACCTAACACCGAGTTTAATGCACTCAGAGACAACCTTAATATCTCTCTAATTAGGTTGACCTGACCCTAATCTATTTCTAACTCAAACCTAGCCTAAAAGTAAGCATATATCACTTTTAGTATCATGACACTTCATTTGGCTTCGTTAACTTCCTCTGACTTAATGCTCTCAGGTCATTGGTACACTAAAGTATAACATCAGCATAAAGTTAACTGAAGACTTCTGATAAGTCTCATGCAGTATGATATTTCAGTAATTTACTTGTATCTATAATAGAATAATGTTCTGATTACTATTTCTGCTACTATTGATTCTCTTTTTATTTAGCTTAAAGCTGCACATTTTCAATCATTTCCAAATTGGAAATGGTCATCTAAACAAAGACGTAATTCAGGTAATACTGTTAATAACAACAAAAAGGCGGATACAATGGATTCTTGTCATTCTGATTTAAAAACCTCAACAACACAACTTACTACTGACTGTGATAAACTATCAATGGATGAGAAGTGCTCCGTGAAAAATATTTCAAATTTGAAATCTTTGTCCTCTAATGAATCTGACAGTTTAGTCAAAAAACAATCTTTAACAAGCTTACCATTAAATATGGAGTCAAATGAAGGTATGTATAATGAGGATTAATCATCTTGACAAATTTATACTTACATTGCTTAAGTTCCAAGTGGAAAATCTATGTCACACCATTCCATCGGTTTATTACTTTGAGTGGGACTCGTTATAAAATGTCAGAGATTTTACTCAGTCATATTGGTGTCTATCCTTTTTGACTTCTGTTAAATGTCTCATATTATTGTTATATCTTCGAGTTCCGAGTGAAATATTGGTCTTTAGCAGCATATCTCCATTTCATTGGGTTCTCTGCAGTTCTCTTTACCTGATCCCACGATGGCCCAGAGACTGGAATCTCCCCAACACACGAACTTCACCATGTCAACCTCGGACACACATCTCTGTCACACACTCACTTTCAGCAGGATCGACAACTACCCACCAGCTTTCATTTCATCTTCACATGATTTCCCCCATGTCATTCTCACACCCACGCTCAACCTGTCACTTCTAATTCCGGTTCCATATTTTTGTTAAATCTTCTTATGATGTTCACATGGTTACTATATTGTTTGCTTTAATGATTGAAAAATTGAGAACTGAAGTTAGACGACATGTTCGTAGGCTGTTCAGATACTTTAGAATAAACGTATCCAAATACTGGTTCACCCATAATCTTATGTTTTTTGAATAGCTTAGCAGCATGCCGCTTACTTTCAGTCTAAATTAGGTCTCTATTAGTGTAACAATTGTCTCCCATAGTTTGGTTTCTAAGGGTTAATTTTGTTCTTCAGAGTTGATCACGGATTGATATCAGTTAGAGAACCATTGAAAACCAGGGAGTATTCGACAGCCATCCGTTTCATCCTAGTTTGGGGATCATCGCCAGTATGTACCCACTGGGGTTCGAATCCAGGACCTTCCGGTCACAAGGTAAGCTCATATACCATTTAGTCACTGGGACCCGATTCAATTGCCAAAACATGAATTCTAACCTCTACTAATTCGTGATTTAGCGCGACCCCAACCATTGTCGTTGGTGGGACATCCATCCACACACGTGACATCTAGATGGACCTCACTGGTCACAACTCACTAGAACTCCAGGAAATTCCATCCTTTGGCAAGTCACTAGCGAACATCAGACTAATTTTCTATAGTTTGGTTTGCAATGGTTCTCTAACTGATATCAATTTGTAATCATCTCGTAACAATTGTCTGTTTATTTTTAATACGGATGATTTTTGTGACACAAATAGGTGGGGGTAGGTATATAGATGTATACATTTCTTAAGCTTAATTCATGTCTACCTGCTTTGATTGGTAGTATATTGCACTACCAATAGACAAAGATGAAAAATTCAGTTATTTTACTCAATGTAATAATTTCCACGAAATTCCATCACCTGTCTATGCTAGACACTGAGGTTCAAATATCTAGTCGGAACGGATAATCAACAAGGATGTCTGGCAGAGAACCAGTCACAAATCTATGGCTGACCAAACGAATATACAGAAGAAAATGGAGATAGATTGGGCATACTCTAAGAAAATTTTCAAGTGATATCACTCATCAATAAAATTCTCTGAGCACGACCCGAATGGGAAGCAACATATTGGTCAAAGGTATAAGGATAACACAGAGAAGATCATGTGAAGAGGAAACGAAAGCTTGTCGGCAGATGTGGAGCAAACTGAAAGGAGTGAGAGAGAGCCAAGTGAAATGGAAATGCGCCACCAAAGCCTATTGTTTCACTCAGAACGCGAGGAATGAATTGGAATAATGTGTTTTAATTATTAAACAGTTCATATTATATGTCAAAGAGATCAAACATTTAGTCCCATGAACAAACAGGAAATACGAATTAACTTCAATAATATTCCTAATTTCATTGAACTGGTTTATGCAACAGACTGTGGAGGGCGAGAAGACAGGAGTACGTTAGACTGATAAGAGAACTCTAGAAGATCAGGGCTTTGTGGATGATTTATGTCTAATTTCAAACGAACTCGAAGATCTACAGGCAAAAGCTAATACACTGGCAGAAGATGCAACAAAAACAGTACTTCAGGTAAACACACAGAAGACGGATTTAATGTAGATAACTAACCGAAATCAAGAAAGAACCACTATTGAAATTTGAAGAACTTTGAAATAGGTCACTTACTTCACTCATCTGACCAAACAGCATTGTCTCAACGTCGGTTAGTACGGATGAGGATGTCAGAAATAGAATCAGAAACACAAGACAGACCATCATACCTTTGAAGTCAGTTTGGAAATCTTTTGAACTCGGCATAAAGAACAAGATTATGATTTTCAATACAAATGTGAGGTAACTTCTTCTATATGTGTCAGAAACTTGGCCAACGCGTCACGAAAAGCATTTTCAACAGGTTGCGGACTTTTATCAGCAGCTGACTTCTCTGACCCTTTACTGAAGATCAGATGGCTCGAGAGAAAGAATTAGCAACAAGAAACTCTGGGAAGAAGCAACGAAGAACATAGTGCTGAACAAATATTCCGAAAAAAAATAGAGATAGATCAGATACACACTGATGAGACTTCTGGGTGATATTGGGCTCCTGGCGGTCACTGTAGTGAAATTGGAAACGACGAGTTGGGTGATATGAAGGAGATCTTGTGAGGAGGAGATAAGAGACTACTTGCAATTGTAAGGCCAACTATAGAGGATAACAAAGATTAAGATAAAATGGAGATGTGCTGTTAGTGCCCTCTTTTCCACACAGAACCCAAGGGAACAATATTATTATCATTAATATTATTATAACGTCAATACAATGCTTGACTAGTTAACGAAAGGATATTTACCAATTGACGCAACACTAGAGCATAATAATGGTATGCACTTCTTGTTATTCATTTATGATTTAACAAGAGAAAAAAGACGATAACAGAACAGTTCATCAGAGAGCTTTTTAAATGCAAGGCTTGCAATCAATCATTCATAGAATAGGTAATGAAATGGTAATCTTTAAATGCAAAAAGAAAATCGCCGCCAGAAAACTAGTTCAGTATTTAAGTACATAGAAATACGTTGAAGGATGTTAGTTAATCTTGTGTAATAACCAGTACCAGTTTAACTTTAAATTTTTGTGTTTTTTGAATTCTGTAACTGTCAAAAAGCATTAATATGATTTACGTAAGTCAGTGGTGTAAAGGTATAATGCTTGTAAACAGAGCAAATTGTCTGTGGTTCGATTCCACGCCGATGAACACGCCTAAGCCGACAGTATGCCTGGAAAACCGAGGTGTGGCATGAAGCTAGCAACTTCATCTCGTCATACAAACAAAACCACGACTATCGGGATATTGAAACCCTATGTTTCACCTGGAACGCAGGGAATGGAAAGGAAAAATTCGGTTCCGTTTTTTGAAGCATAGTGAATAATTTCTCAATAATAATACAAAATTTCAAACTGAAGGTTATTCTAGTTTTTCTTAATAGATTTCGTCACTTACCAACATCAGTTGGAGAGATCACTGCAAACCAGGGAGCACATCGGACAGCGCACCTAAGATTCCATCAGGGGTCGAACCAGGGACTTTCACGTTATGACAGTAGGTTAGTTGACGATTCGATCACCCGCAAATTATAACTTTATCGACCCATGATTTTTTGCGTCACTCTTACCTTCATCTTCAGTGGACATCCACTGAATGATCAACCTGAAGGTCTCAGGTTGGATTCCTGAAAGGTTCATGGGTGCACACTGTTGAAGAGTCCTAAACTAGTACGAAGCAGGTGTCCAGAGTTCTCCCTTGTTTTCAACTATCTGTTTAAATGAAGTTGATTCTTGACGAAATCTAACACTTGAAATCACAATTAATCCTAATCCCCACAAATCCTATAATCTAAAGATTAGGCTTATTTATTTGATACAAATATTCTTATAATGACAAAATATTGTTTCCTCTTTTTTAGATTGTAAATCTATCGTAGAAATTGAAGAGGCTAACAAGCATACTATTAACGAAGAGAATGATATCATCGGTGATGATTCTAATAAACTGGAGCCGAATTTATCATCAGCTTTAAACCAATGTCAATCAAATGGTTTGTATCTACTGTTGCACGCTGTTGAATATTTGAATAAAAATAATTATAATAATAATATACCAGTGAATGAATTGTTGGAAAATTCAGCATTGGATGTTAATGTTGGTCTTGACTGTCAAATAAATACTGATAAATCACATACTGCCTCGATAACTGACTGTGATAAATGTGACAGTGATGGGAATGACGGTGTTGATAGTACCAAAGGTAACACAGTGGATCGCTCAATTTTCTTTTCATCCATTCATTAGTTGTGTTGATCTTCTTTGTTATTTTTCTAATCCCTTGCATGTGGAGATATACAGTCTTTATTTCAGCTTAGATCATGGAATGATTTCATTTAGAGAACCATTTCGACACACTTTAGCGGTACGCAAACATGAGCTTATTAAAGGACTATTGAACTCAAGACCTTCGGGTTACTAGGTGAACTCGCTGACCATTCAGTTAGAGAGGGGTAGGAACCAATTACCCATCTGTCTATTGCTCCTTGGTTTTCAATGATTCTTTAAGTGATATCATGCTATGATTCAACTTGAAATCAATCTAATCCCTGAAAACTAACACTTGAAAACTCTCCTTGTTATTGGCAAAATGATTGATATTACTGACTAAGTATACTATTATTTTTTATGTTTAATTACCATTGTAAGTGGGGAAAAATCATATTATTTAATAACACTTCTTGGGCTTCACACTGTGTGAACAAAGCTTTCGAAGTCAAGTCTGCTTTAAGGAGAAAATGATTTTGGTACTTGTTCATGGTTAGTTGTTCAGGAACTCTTCTGAATGAATGACTTGTGATTTATGGCTGCATTTACCTTTGTTTGTTTGTTTGCTCGTCCAAGAAGTGTTTTTCTGAGGTAGCATTATTGAAAATCTTTTTATGGCTGCTTTTGTTCCTCCTGTTTAGTGCGATGTTTTCATCTTGCCTTCGAATTCAATAATTGGATGGATTCTATCCTTCGACTTAGAGTAATTAGTTAAGGCCGCTCTGGATTCTTGTCTGAGATGCCTACTTTAATAGCTTCTCTGTTTCGTTTTGAGGACATCTTATATTCGAAGTTACTTTAATAGGTTTTATGTCTTTGAAAACAGCGTTTCTAGGGAAGATAGTAGGGATTTTGAGCTCATTCGATGAATCACTTTCCTGGTTCACTGATATGATCTAAATTCTCTCTGTTAGTTACTTCGAGTTGGACTGGTCATGAAATATCACAGATTTTAATCCGTCAGAATAGTGTCTATCCTTTCTGACTTCTGTTGAATGTCGCATATAATTAGTATTTCTTCGAGTGCCGATTAGAATATCCAGCTTGGGCAGCACATGTCTATTTTATCTTTTTCTGTTCAGTCCTCTTTACCTGGCTTCACGATGGCCCATAGACTGTCATCTTCGCACACGGACTCTTCCATGTGATTCTCGGACACACACATCGTCCTTCCCTATTCGGGTCCTAGTTGGAGGCCTGTCGCATGATGTCACTCATCAGTCTTCCTAGCGTATGTTCAGTCCATCTCCATTTCTTTCAGCATATTTATTGAGCGATAGCTCCTCGGTTCGTCCTTCGTCAGAGTTCCTTGTTACTTAACCTTTATGACCATCTGATCTTTAGTATGGAGCGAAGACAACTGTTGATGAAAGCCTGCAGTAGTCTATTGGGAACGCTTTTCTTGATGCATGCGGCAAGTCCTTAAAGCATATAGAAACAAGATAACATATAGTAATGGTAAAATAAAAATTCTTACATTGAAACTTCAATTTATATATGGTCTTCGTATTCTGCTTCTTTTGTCTTCATTTCATGCTTTCTATGTGTTGCTTTACAACAGTCTTCATTTCTCATCTTTTCAGCTCAACCCAAAACTTTGGTATTCAAGATTCTAGCAAAAGATGTCACCAATAGACTAATAACAAATTTCTGTCAGTAGCGTGTCACCCCATTAGATTAAAACTAATATAAATAAGCATAATATAAAGGAATAGGGGGTTGATATTCATAATTCACCGTGTGATATATTTAATAAACAAATTAATAAGGAATTGCGGTATCCTTTATTCCTGCCATTATCAATTATTCTTATTGTGACTAATCGTCTTTGTTACATTTCTTCATAACTCTTTCCTCCCCTGTTCTTTTGTGAACCATAATATAAAGACTTTTTGCATTCTACTTTTAGTAGAAATTGAAAGCACTACAGTATTTGGAAAATCTGGGAGTACTGGACAGCTGTTTTGTCCTCGTTTAGGACTCGTCATCAGTACGCACCCTCCACAAGAGTTCGAACCCAGGAACTTCTGGTTTAAAAGTCCAACGAGCTCGCCGACCATTAAACCACTGGCCAGTGCATGAAATCTAACTTCTGCCGTTTCGTGACATAGCGCGACCACTTCTCAATGCCTTCTTCGATGAGTTACTGCCTCACATTTAACCTGCTGCACCCTACTGTTCACGGCTTCCCACTAGAACCTCAGGTCATTGGCTGTATATGGCCAGTCGCTGGTGAGCATCGGATGAATTTTCAAGTATTGGTTTATGTAGGAAGAAATCCTCCATCCAATCAAACTAAATCTCTACAAAATCAAATGCTTGAAAACTACAGTATTTGATAATTTGACAGGTCAATAGGAACTATCTTCACTTAAAAAAATATTTTTTTCAATAACATACGTCACATAGCTTAATATTCACTAGGTATTCGAAGTCTATGAAATTTGTGATGTAATAAAAATTCAGTGAATGATACTTTTTTGTTGGCGACAGCACATTGTTTTTAGCATTATTATTATTATCATTTCATTGGGTTTCTAGTGGAACATAGGTCTTCAAAGACGCATGTTGTTCTCTGTAGTCTTTTTTAAAACTAGCTCCATGATTGCCGATAAGCTTTCATTTACTCCTTTGCACGACCTCCTCCATGTCACCTTAGTACAGCCAACTTGTTGTTTGATATTTGGATTCCACTCGACTACCTAGCGCGTCTGGTCACTTGAAGGTCTCTTCAGCGTATATCCAATCCCTTTGTATTTTCTTCTGTATATATCTGGTGGGCTGCGGATATCTAAGATGTCCATTTACTGATTGTATTTTGAAAGGCTTTATCTTTTGTTATATGCATATAAGACAGTGTATTTGCGTTTCTAGCTTTCCATATTTTTCTTTTATTTTCATTTTTTTTAGTTTCGCAATTGGAAATACTTTCACCACCAACTTTGACATCAGAATCTTATGATGACAAATCTTTACCAATGAATACATCAGAAAAATCTCTTTATGTAGATTCTTCTGAAAATGTAGATTCCACGTTATTAATTGACATTCCATCTGTGCTAAAAACTTCAGACGATTGTGTTGATACTTCAAATACTCAAGGAGAAAATCATTCATCTCAGATACCTAACGATATTGCTTTCTCACATTCAGTCGTTAATTCATCAAGGTGAGTTATTTCTTCATTGTGAATTTTGAATATGATCAAATGGTTATTCGATTGACTGCTTTCAGTTTTATGATAAATCACGTTAGTATATTTTACTTGGCTGCTAGCGTTTGACGAAAGAAGATCAACTATCTTGATATCCTAGAAAGTTGTTAAGGTCTTTTCAAATTCATCACTTGAAATTCACACAGTTCGAAGAGCTGAAAAATCATCACTTTCTTTTAGAGTTCAAAATTATTTAGATCACAGTGTAAGTGATCTGCTTGATAATATAAACAGTAATCAAGAAATCGTACATAATAGCGTGTTCTTATATTATTATTTCCTTTAATTCCTGGAAGAACATATGGCTTCAGCTGTACGTCTCCAGTGCGTTCGGTTCTCTGCTACATTTTTCACTTGGCTCCATGTCTGCCCACATGCTGTCATCTCCTCTTCACATGACCTCCTCCAAGTCACCCTTGGACGACCAACTCACCGCTTCCCTTTCGGCTTCCACTCGAGCAATGGCTTGTCTAGTGATGTCACTTGATGGTTTTATCAGCGTATGGCCAATCCATCTCCATTTCTTCCTGCCTATTTGTTTCGCAATCGGTTCCTGCTGGGTTGGTTCGCTCCCAGAGTTCCCTCCCTGCTGCTGATCTTTTCTAGCCGGCCATCTGATCTTGAGTATTGAGCGAAGACAGCTATTGATGAAGGTCTGTAGTTTGTTCGAAGTGCTCTTCATGACGCGCCAAGTCTCTGGTCTGTATATTAAGTAGCACTGACTTCACATTGGATTTGAAGATCCGGGTCTTATTTGTCATGCTGGGTGCTGTTGACCTTCATACATATTTGAGAGAAATGAAAGCTTGTCTTGCTTACCCGATCCTTGCTTTGATATCCTCGTCAGTTCCGTCGGGCTCTAGTTGAAACGATGCTTCCCAGGTAGGTAGGTAGGTAAAGGAGGTTGTTTCTTTCAGGTTCCTCCCATTTAGGCTGATTGTTGTCTGTTGTTGTTGTTGCTGTTGGTGTTGCCCAGGAATCTATTTGATATAAGTAGTTGCATACTACTAACCCCAACCAGTAGTGCTTGCTAGCTAGATTTAAGTGATTTAAACCGCGGGTGGAGGTTTTGCTAGTTCGGGATAAAGCCCATCAGTGATGTGGCCGTCCGGGTTTTAGATCATTTAGATCTGGCTGACTAGCAAGTACTACTCGTTGGTGTGAGTGGTATACAGCTACTCATATCAATCACTCAGTAGTATAGAGTTGAAGTCAGTAATAGAAGTTTTTTTCATGATGTGAATTATAATCCACTTCAACTAATGAAATGTTTCATTGTAATCTTAATCTTTATTTCATATATCTTTGTTTACTTCGCTTTATTTTTGGTCTTTGTCATCCTGCTGTTCTACAAAGTTTCACTGTGTTACTTTTATTTTGTCCTTTCTTCTCTCCTATACCTTCAAGTTAATGTGTAAATTTAAATAACTCTATGGAAGACTATATGGTATTGTTACGTCCTCAAATATTTATCTTTCCCTGAGTAATTTTCTTCATTCCGTAGGCAATTAAAGTCACTGAAGTTAACCTTGGTATTCGTTACCACAACTATCCACTAGATCCGGTGTTTTGTAATGAAATGTCTTGCATTCTGAGTGGAACATGAGACTTCCAACTCTAAAATCTGAAGTTCCAGTAAGGCTACTAACCTCAAACTGAACTTTCCAACTTTCTCAGGCTTACTCTTGGTTAATAAACGGGTTAAGAGAATCAGACTTGAAGCATCTGATAGGGTGGTAAGCATGCTAATACTGAATCACTGGCCCATACTGCCTTTGGTTATTGTACTGTTTTGTGTGAAATTTCGTACATTTGTTTCTTAATTTATAACATGGTTTTCTAAAAGTGATAATTATAAATGCACGGATCATTAGTTGGAGTAAATTACTCTGAAGTATGGCAATCTCACTAAAAGTCTATAGTATGGATTTGTGGGGGTTTGGATTAATATGCCTTCGATTGTTACATTTCGTCACGAATCTACATCAGTTAAAGAGATCGTTGAAAACCAAGGAGTACTCTACAGCCATTTGATCCTACTTTGGGACTCTTCATCAGTGCGCATCTGACAGCCAAGGAATCAGTCCTGAGACCTACCGGTTACGAGAACAAACTCGTTGACTACTCAGCTACTTGGGCTGGATTCTAACTTTGTCAACTCTTGACATAGCATAACACTCGTCGGTGCCAGAACTTATAAAGCATTGAATTCCGGCTCATTGAGCCCTAGATCTTGATCTTTGGTAGGTTTGTGAGTGTGCACTGTGAAGAGTCCCGAAATATGACTAAAGATCTATCCGCTGCTCCCTGGTTTCCAATGATTTCGGTGATTGATGTCGGTTCTTGATGAAATCTAACAACTAACAACTGAAATTTCATTAGAAGTTGTTTCATGGTGTTATTCAATTGCTCAGTAAATTCTTTAGATATTTTACTTCGTGGCTATTATCGTTGGGTCGATAGAATAATTCCGTATTTGATGTATGCATCTTTTCGTGATGCTTAAAGATTTATACTAATTCCCGGTTAAGTAGGTGATTTATTGCGACAATAAGAATCTCAAATGATAAGAATTTTCAAATGTTAAGATGATTGAATACGCTTGAAATGGTTATTAAGGTAAATGCATTGGCACTCAGATCCTCTATGTCCGCTAAAAAACCAAACTTATTCAATATTGGATGCTTGCTGTTGGCTAATCATTAAGTATGATTCTTTCCTGGTATGATTATTTCAGTAATTCAGTTTCAGCCTAGGTGGTCACAAATTTTAGTAGTAAGCTGAAAAAGTAGTTTCACTGCCTTCTCTCTCTCTCTCTCTATGTGTGTAGATGTATCGTTGAGTCTCTAACTTTTTCATAATATGTAATTCGGCTGTCGTTCTGTTTGTTTTTATGTCTTTGAAATGGGGCTGTTGAAAGTGGAAGGTATGAAAAGGCTAACTGTCTTTGATCATAGATACTTGTGTTTTGTCTGTCGTGTTAAGTGGTATAGTGTGGTAAATAATAAAGTGGTTATGGGTACAATGTCATGTAAGAAAGAAACGTTCTTTGATGAGGTTATGGATTCACATCGGTTGAGTTGGCCAGAAAGCATTTTAAGCACACCAAGCCATCTCACTTCGTCATCGAACAATGTCAAGTGACATAGGATTAGGATGAAAAAGTGTTAGAAGTGGTTAAATCAAAACATCACACCAATTATAATGAATTCTTTGACTGTTGGTTTGAGTCGTATAGGGATATGTGAAGTGTGTGGCTGTGGTTGTAGAAATGCTAAAGATCAATAACTAGAGACTGTTGATGACGTGGAATAAGATCATTTTCAAGTATTGGTTTTGTAGGGATTTTGTTTGGGTGTATGAAGGATTTCATCATGAGCTGATATCAGTTAGAGAACCACTGGAAAACCTACAAGGAGTACTGGATATCTGTTTCGTCTTAGTTTGAGACTCTTCATCAGTACGCACCCACCGGGATTCTAACCCAGGACCTTCTGGTTGCAAGGCGAGCTCGTAGACCATTGAGCCACTGGGACCTGATCCAATGGCCAGTGCATGAAATCTAACTTCTGCCAGTTCACGACACGGTGCAACCATTTCGCAATATCTTCATCGATAAGTTACTGCGTCATCTTCGACCCGCTGTACCCTACTGGTCAGGGTCTCCCACTAGAACCCCTCGCCTTGTAACCAGAAGGCCTTGGGTTCGAACCCCGGTGGGTGCGTACTGATCACGGGTCTCAAACTAGAACGAAACAGCTATCCAGTACTCCCAGATTTTCCAGTGGTTCTCTAACTGATGTCAGCTCATAATGAAATCCTCCATAGAATAAGATCATTCTCAATGCTACATACACATTTACTCTTCTGGATCTCCCAGATCCATTGGATTCTCAATATTATCCATATATCTATTCTTCCTCCTGTACATCTCTATTTATTCTTAAAAATTTGTTTGATTTTTTAAAAATTTTTCTCTAACTCTGTTTGCTTTTATGAAGTGTGATGTCTTGAAATGTTGCAATTTTGTGCAAAAGTTCCATTTGTACATTTTATACTATCCAATCTTGCCATTTAGTGTTGTTGTTGTTGTTATTTATTGTTTTATTCATCAGTTTTGACCACTCTTAATTAAATGTACTAACTTAATTCACGTTGTGACTACTCCCTTGTTTGTCTTCTTTGTTTTGTTTTTACAAAACAACATAATATTTTAGTGTTTATCCTGTATTAATACTACTTTGTTTTGTTGTTTGTTTGTGTTTCCCACCCCTCCACCCCCCCTTAATAACCTTGGATCGTGTTCCGAGAAGAAAATAAAAATAAAGAATATTTAAAGAAAGCTTTCTTTGTCTCCATTTGAAATTGTTTATTATCATCATCGTCATCATGATCATTATCTAAGTTACTGTTCCATTCTTGTTTACTTCATAGGTGTGTGTGTGTTTTATTTTTTTCCTCTGTTTATGCATTTTTACCAAAGGAGTATGGTATTTATCAGTCGTCTTTCTTTCATTCTGCCTTTCTCTGTGTTCCTCTTCCAGTCTCTCTCTCGATCTCTCTCTCTGTGTCTCTTTGTGTCTCTCCATCCTTTTTCTATTACTTACTTAATGTAGCGCTTGAGGGTATCATGTGTCTGTCGTGTGATCCGTCCTCTTTTCTTTTTTCCTAATCATATGATATTCTTGTAGAGACTTTTTAATATATGGTAATTATTGTTGAACAGACTAATAGCTAACATTTTTCTTGATTTATGTACTCTTAGTTTATTTTAAAGTTTGTCCGTTGTTATTACTTTACACATAGTGTTCGTGTTGTTTTGTTTTTTTTGTTGTTTTTTTTGTATTATCTCCAACTTTGCCAACGATATTTTGCTAATTCAGACGAAAATAGTTAGTTACATTATTTGAGTTTCTTTCCTATTTTATTCACGAGTAATTCAGCCTCTGTACTTATTTATATGTAGTGAGAGTGTATTATTGATAAGAGAAATTGTGATTTTAACGCGATAACGACGAGTATTTGTCCACACGCTCGATATAGTGGTGGATCTTACTGGTCACAACCTTTCACTAGACCTTTTAGACAACTTCATCCTATGGCCTACTCACTTAATAGCGAGCATTAGATTAACTTTCAAGAGTTAGTTTGTAAAGATTTCATTTGTTTCAAGTCTGATCACTATAGAAGTTAGAATTTTTAAGTTATTGAATTGAATCCCAATGGCTAAATCGTCTGCAAGCTTGCCTTGTAACTGGATGGCCCTGGTTTCAAAACCTAGTAGATGAGCTAATCCAAAGAGTCGCAAACTTTGGTAAGCGAATGAAGAATTCTTATCAATAGAGTTAAACAGGTTGTAATCAGTGTCATTACAATCCTCTTCTTTATTGTGCCTAAATGAATGATTCTACTACAGCTGTTTCGTTCTAGTTTCGGATTGACTCATCAATAGCATACACCCATGACTACTCCACAAAGCAACTGTTCAGTATACTCCCCCTGATTTTCAATAGTTCACTTACTAGTGTTAATCTGTGATCAAAGTTGAGATCAATCAAACCCCTGAAAAAGTAACACTAAAAAAATATCAATTTAACTTTTAGGATAGTTTCAATACTTTTATGGTTAGAATGTTTTTAACTATAATTAAGTTGATACATACATACTGAAGGACTATTCAAGTACAGTGCTCTATTCACCAGCTATTTTCTTCAATACAGTGTACTTTAACATCCCATTATTACTGGTTATTTAGTATTGTTTGAATATTGTGATATATGTATGTATTTGTGTATCTCAGATGGCCAACTGAATTAATGGGCTTGTAAAATTATGTTATCTAAGGTCATTTTTATTTTTATGAGCATTGAAATACCAGTTCCAATTTGGTATTTAATGAATGAAAACAATTTTACTCTTATGAATCCATTGTACTGTAATTCTAATTTTATTATAACTAAAATCTATTGAAATTTATCTATGGTTTTATTGTACATTCTTTATGATTATTATGAATGTTTTCTTATTCCTCTGAGTTCCCCGTGGAACATAAGGCAACAAGTTTGAACGTTGAAGTCTCAATAGGAATGGTGCTTATTTTTTGTGAGTTCCAGATGCTAGCTTCATGCTCAACCTCCCCTCTTCATCGGGCTCACCACCGGCTCGTAGAGGTTTCGGAGTGTGCCGGTCGCGAGTCGGACCGTGGACCACGTACTTAGTTGGTGCATATTCTACCTATGAGCCATTGTCACATTCTTTATAATAAAAAACAAAATACAACTAGGGATAAAAACTAACAAATCAGATTGAATTAACTAAACATTAAGTAAATAAGCTTCTAACCCAACTACCTGAAGATGCTTTGGGTGTTTCAGGTTTTGTTTTAACGGGTTAACACACACATTCACTTACACAAATCTTCAGAGTTCATGGTTTAGTTACAATAGCTGGATAAATCTCAAAATAGTCTCCTAAATTAATTTAAACATTTATTATGTTTAAATATTTTTCTCTTCACAGCATATTTTCAAACATCTGAGCCTTTTTGATCTATGTTTTGCTATCAGCACTAACAGACTAAGTAAGGTACTTGAGCACCTGATATTTGTTAAGGTTGATAAAGTGTAACTTATTAACAGCACATCTAGCACCTAATAGCTGAGCGATGTTTCTCATTGTTTTTCTGGGTTATATAAGATGCCAAAATTATATGTGTAGTTGAAAAGTGAAGGATTTTTTCTAAACAGAAATGGATAGACTATATATTTATAAATTGTGCTCTAGTCTTCTAAAGATTACCCCATTTTTCAATTGGCATCTAACCATTTTACACTCTGATTTTCTTAATCATTATAAAACTTGTTTTTACCAGCTTGACCACGGAGTGAAATCAGTTAGGGAACCAGTGGAAACCACGAGAAGGAAGTGGACAGCTGTTTCATCCTAGTTTGGGAGTCATTGTCGCTACACACCCACCAGCTAGGTTCGAACCCAGGACCTTCCAGTTACAAGGCAAGCTTTTATACCATTAAGCCAATGGGGCCCAATTCAATGGCCCATGAATTCTAACTTCTATCAATTCGTGATTTAGCATCACCACCAACCAGTGTCATCGGCGGGAATTCCATCCTCACACTTGACTTGATGCACCTCACTGGTCACGACTACTCACTAGAACTTCAAGAAACTCTGTCCTTTAGCGAGCATCAGACCATTTTTCAAGAGTTGGTTTGTAAGGATTAAATTTGTGTTTACGAGTTTGCCGACGGATTGATATCAGTCAGATTCATTGGTTCTCTGAATGATATTAATCCGTGGTCAAACTCGTAAAAAAAACAAATCTAATCCTTACAAACCGACCTAATTGAATTTTAGATTTTCCCGTCAATTGATTGGACCGAAGTGCTCGGTCTCAGGTTGACATGTCAGCTTCTTGAGCAGATGCTTCGATGATGTCTGGGCATTTAATTAGTATTTAACTGGTGGATGGTGACTAGCAGTGGAATCCAGGATGCGCATTTTGTCCTGTTTGGGACTCGTCATCTGGATGTACCTGCATTCCGCAGTGAGTGGTGATGTTCCCACCAAGGCTCGAACCCAGTACCCATAGTTTCAAACGCCATAGCGTTATCCACTAGACCACTTGGGCCACGACAGCCACTTCTGGATTACTTAAAATAACAAGAAAGAAAACACAGTTTAATGGAGAGATTTCATTTTTAATGAATCTGTTGAAATGCGAATAGCTGAGTGGTAACATCTGTGACTTGAGCATTGATTGACGCTGGTTCACTTCTCCTAGATGTGAGCATCAATTTCTTCGATCTTACAGATACGATGTTTTGACTAAGGTCAATGAGCACGCAAACTAGCTCTAGGGCTTCATGATGATTTTCTGCAACCATTTAACATCAGCTAGGCATAAGTGGTATTGATTTCAGTAGTGAAATTAGTGAAAAAGATCTCTTCACTGAACTTCTGTTTTTTCTTACTTCTATGTCGAGACGAGTTTTTTTCGCTAACTGACGTAAATCTCAACCAAATTCCAGTTTGATTTCTATTTTTTTTGTATTTGAATATTCAGAGAATAATTTAACCTCTGTGTGTTTTTTCTCCTCTAGGATCGAGATTCTATAGATTGTATTGAAGTTGTAACTCTTAACTTATATTGCTAACAATAAGCTGCTTTTCAGATAAATTACAACTTGCCTAGATATAACGTTTTTATGAGTAGAAATATTCAGTGATAGATAGATACATAGACATCAGTCTAAATAAAGCAGGTTTTACTGTCTAATGGCTAAAGTTGTCGTATATCACATCTACACATCAACTAGAAAAGGAAAGTAGACAAAGAAATGAAAATATATTATCTAATGAAAAGGATATAACATTTTAAGATTCTACAGAACGCTAAAACCAAGGAAGTAAAAAGGTGTATATAATACTACTACCATTAAAATAAGGGTGTGAATGTAAATTATTAATAGATATTAAAATAATGTGATTCCATTCGTGGTAGGCTTGGAAACCACGTGGGAGGTCCGGAATTCATTCCCAGTCGATGCATTTCTAAACCTCACATCATTTACTACTAGCTTATAAGCCGCAGAACACCTGGAAAAGACGGAAAATTCAGCATGAGGCTAACAACTCATAGCTTGTGAAAATCAACGTCACTGCTACTGAAACTTCAAAGCTTTGTGCCTTGTATTCCATTCAGAATGTAATAGAATTGAAAAAGAACAAGTATATTTCAGCAGGGTAAATATAACTACATATATTTAGTTTTCTTTGACAGAGGCTTCAAGCTGTAAAATTTTACTGATGTTGTTTTTTTAGGTTATAGTTGCTAGCCTCATGTCAAACTATTCCTGTTTTCTAAGCTTCCTAATGATTAGTAAAGTAGGTGAGATGTTAGCGTGTGTCAGTCGGAAATCAAAATCGCAGACCACGTGTGTGGTTGAACCATTGGAATCAAATTGGAGCTCTTAGAACGTAAACAATCGATAAATTTACCTTTTTTGCTTTTTCTATCTTTCCAGTCCAATTGATGTGAAAAGCTCATGCAGTTTGACCTCAGAATTGTCAAGTGAAACATCTAAATCACCCGAAGCTTCTGTACATTCAGGCGGGCCTTTAACTGAAGCACAGGAAAGCAATCTGTTGTATTCTTTAACAGTTAATTCTAAACATGTGTTACCGGCTGTATCAGTCAAGGCTGGATCATTTACAGGTATGCCGTTTCTATTTACTCGTTTTAATGTTCATTGCTTCTATAATACTGCATAACACTAAAAGTGGTTGATATATATGTATAAATTAACTAACAGACTTCACCCTGATATTGTGATCCGTAATGCCTGTCTCTTCACTACTCGAAATGTCCACCAGCATGGCCATGTGTATGAACTACATTTCTCAGTTCTGTATCTTATTGGCGCTATTTTCTCGACATCGTCTTAGTGAAACCATGCGTCTGTTAAACAGAAATGCGAGTGTCTTGTAAAGAATACTTTTGCAAAAGCAGACAGATATACTTATTTACGATCATGTCTTGGTGCTAGTTTACATGAGTTAATCAATTAACTTAATTGAATGTGGCGATCTTACAGACAGTGATGCACTATCCACTGTAAAATTTCTCTATAAACAGGAGAAAAAAGTCTAACTTTTGTTTCACCAACCAACGACATATGTAGTACTGCAATCAACAAACTGAATCCACACGAAAAATAAAATGCATTCTTAGAAATTGAATTCGCCATTTGCAAAGTAAACACCTTGAGACGACAAGTCACTACAGTTTCCTTTGAAAATATAAAAATATGTCGATCACAAAATGTTACCCTGTTGGTAGTATAAATAAAAATTACAAAAAGCCGCTACATACTACTGATTGACTGATTTGAGTAATCGGCAACCATTTATGTTGAATAGTAGTGTTTGCTAGACAAATCGAAGTTATCTAATTACCGGATTCCCACTTGGGACTGAGCTTGAATTGATTCAACTCTGTGAACTTAGTCGAACTGGGTACGCCGATGATGTTCCTGTCTTCAAGTGAGTAAAGTGGCCACCCAGTGTTCAGGTTGCTTCAATGTGGTAAGCAAACACTACTGTTTGACATCAGTGGTTTTCAAACACTCATATCAACCAATCAGTAGTGTACAGTATTTTCTAAGTAATATTGCTTCACTCTTAAAACAAACTTTGAAAATGAATATTATAAGAAGGTTGGGAGCTTTTTGCTGAAATAAATCATGAAAAATTGTTCGTCAGTTTTAAATTAAATTTTATTTACAAATATTAGGTGTTAGGAAGAGCACCTCTTAAAACCTGTAGTTGCCAACTGTTCAGAATTCTACTTAAGTCTCAAGTAAAGTATTTGAAAGTTGCCATTGTGTCTAAATTCACTGTTGAATAGCATTATGGTTCAGGGTTGTTATACTAGTTTTGAACACTGATGTTAAAATCTATTCCTTGCATTCCGAGTAGCACATCGAGTTTCAGTGGTATATTTTTACTGGTCTTGATTCTCTGTCATCATTTTCACCTGGCTTTACGACTGCTCACAAGCTTTTATTTTTCTTTATGATCTTCCTCATGTCACCTTTAGGCGTTCAACCCATCGTTCCATCTTCGTGTCCCATTGAATATATGCCACAGTCAGTGTTTGACGTCATCTGACGATTCCCTCAATGTATAACCGATGCATCTTTATTTCCTTCAGCATATTTGTTGGGCTATAGGTTTTCTGGCTTCTTTACTTCTTTTATTGTAGTTATTCCTAATTTTCTTACAGCTTCATGTTGCATCTTACTCTGTATAAGATAAATAAGTGATTATTTGAGAATTATTTCACACATATTTATGATTTCATTTGATGATTTTAACTACTTTCACTAAAAACCATGTTATTGGTTTCTGACAGAATGAATCACATCTACAAGATGTTCTGAAGAGCACATCAGTTAGGTACCTCTTAACTATCAAAGTATAACTATGTCGAAATGCTCGAACAGTTTACTTGCAGCTTTTTTCTCCATTAATCTTTTTAACCATAGTTTTTTGTAAAGTCCGAATTGGAGCAAGAGTAAAAGAGTCTACGTAATTCTAGTCATCTGTTTGTGGCGGGCTAGATTTAAACAGTCGAGTTCGCTGTTTGGTCACCATGGTAGGTGGGGCTCTCTATCATGGTGCAATCAGGTCAGCCGTAAACCTGAATAACTCAGTAGTAAATTCGCTTACTGCATTACTAGGTGACATGCGTGACATGACTTATAAGGGACATGAGTTCCTTCAAGATTGGAGATAGGCCTTGCTGATGAATGTCAACAAGCACGAAACCTAGGTCGAAGGCTTGCTGTTAATTGTCTTCAACCAACTAATAAGAATAAGAGTATACATAATTTACTTTAATGCTAAAAATAATGCAAGAATGAACCGTACTCTTTGTTTTAGTTACATTAGAGATTAATTGTAATGTTAAGATAATGTAAAACCATGATGAATATAATAAATTTTATTTTCACACCGGTGTTTATTCATTTTTAGAACCTGACTATTCAGTGCCAACTGAAAATATTCAACAACTGAAAGAAAATCCGTATGAAACTGTGATATCTAAACGGTGCAATAGGAGTGACGTAAAATCTTTAGAAGATGTTAACATTATCCACAACCTGAAGTCAAAGAACTGTACAACGGTAAGATATATGAATAAGTCTGTGTTAGAAATATGTGTAATTAAGTTGTCATGTTATGGTAATTAAGATTCCTGTATAGTTTTATATCATTTTTGTGGAAATATGTAACTATATTGGAGTCTAAACTAATGTCTGTGATAGGTGGTGAAGTTTGAGAGGCAACCATTTTAATATTGTCCAGTTATGTTGACAACTGTCTGTTTGACTGACTATAGAGTAACATGAACAACAGTTGATGGGCATTATACCACTGATTCTTCACACTAATGGATTGCTGATGTATACTGCAATCACCATCCAATGTCAGCGGCTAATGACTGTTCCCTTATCTGACTTGGTGGAATCCACTAATCACGACTTCACACAAGAACTCCAGGTAACTTCCTGTATACAACCGGAAACTAGTGTGCTTCAGATCAATTTTTAAGCGTTGATTTGCAAAGATTAAATTGGTTAAAGGTTTTCGACCATGAGCTGATATCATTCAGGGAACCACTTGGAAACTAGGGAGTACTGGTTAGCCGTTTCGTCCTAGTTTGAGAATTTTCGACAGTACGCACTTGCCGTTGTTTGAACCTCAGGTCTCCCATTTACAAGGCTAGCTTGTGGACCATTCAGCTTCTGGGACCGGACCCAATGGCTCTTGTATTCCAGCTTCTGCTAACTCGCCATTGAGTATGTGTTTACTTGTCTGGATGTATTTATGAGATGAAAAATACATCATACAAACACGAAGGAGTTTGTCTACGTGTGAAGGTGAGTATTTATTCTGTTGATCACAAGATATTGTTGAGTTATATAAACAAACTCATGCTTACTGTATCGATTAACGATGAATTTATAAATTGTCTTCGCGTTATGCACCCAAAAACAGTTCACTAAAATACAACTTTATAAATCATTTAAAGTTAATCAATTTAGTGGTTATAAATATCTAGACTACAAATGATGCAAATTTTCTGTAGTAAACTGCCCTCCAAGTCTGACTGAGGCATAATAAAGTCGTTAAATAATCTTAGAGTTTTTAGAAAATTAAAAGATTCTTTTGAATGTTTTGTTGTTTAAGTCACAATTTCTTCAGCAAAAGCCACTATGATGAAATCTTGCTTTGATTTTCTAAACACATTGGGATTATACTGTTGATCATTATGTACGTCATTGGTTCAGAGGTTGAATATCTACTAGCCATTCCCGCGGTTTTGGGTTCTATTCCCAGTCCAGGCACTCCAAAACCTCACCTTACTGGTAATAAACTGGGAAAAGAGCGAAGGTTAGATGTGAGGCTAGCTTTCCCACTACTTGAAAACGTCACTGCCTCTACTGAATCTTCAAAGCCTCAAGACTTGAAGACCTGTGCTTCACTCGGAACACAAAAGAATGTTAAGGATGATGTAAGTGTTTCATCATATTGTTGACTACTACCTTACTACCTTATTACAGTGATATTTTTGCTTCAGTCTTATTCAGTGTGTTCTACTATTATACTAAAGTGCACCTTATTACTATTGTATATCTAACAGAATACTACCTCTGCGATGAACGCTACAGTTCAACAACTTTCTTTAATGGAAGAGACGAAAGAAAAAGAAGAAGAAGAAAAAGAAGAGGAAGGTGAGGAACACTCAGTGCTTGACAATCAGTCTAAATCATTTACCAATGACAATCATGATTATCATCGACAGACGACTTCATCAAAACTACGACCACCTCCACTAAAACTACAGTCGTCTACCTTATTCGATTCTGAAAATGTTAATCATACTATTAACAATAAATACTCTGAATCAATCTGTGGAAAGTCTACGCATCGTACACCACTTTCAGCTGATGCAGCTAATCGTTGTTGTAAGCGTAAATTTGATGAAAATATGGAGAAGTAAGTTTTATCGCATTTTGATGCAAATTTCTGTTGCTATTTTTTTAAATACACTTGGAAGGAATATAAAAAACAAACTGTATAAATCAGCAGTGGCTTATGCTGAACCTAAAAGTCAACAAATACAGGTTGGCTAAGTCTAGAGTTAAGCAAATATATAGTTATTATTTTATTTTATCCCTGTATGTTCCCAGTGGAATATAGGGCTTCAAGCTAGAGCTTTGAAGTTTCGGTAGCAGTGGTATTTATTTTTTACTGGATGAGATCGCTACCCAGTCTCATACCCAACCGGCTCTCTTTACCAGTCTTACTACTGGCTTAGAGAAGTAAAAGAGTGCGTCGGCTGGGGATCGAACCCCTTAACAACCTGCGTGGTTGGCAAGCATTCTACTGCTGGGCCACTGACGTACCAACATATAAAGTAAGAGTGCTTAAAAGAAGAAAATTATGGAAGGAAGTTATAATCGCAGCTAGTATACTACAGTTGAAGTGAGTTCAGAGCGTGTTTGGCTTTCACGAATGGATGACACCTAGAATTGATATCTTTATCGATCTATGTATGGTTAACTGGTGTGGTTTGATGATCCATGTTTATTTTGTTGTTGTTGTTTAATTATCACAGTATCTTAACACGAATCAACTTTCGACGTCGTTTTTCATATTTACCAAAATTTAAACCAAATTCCACCCATGAATTATTGTCACCAGTTTCTCCTAGTCAATTTCCTCCCATGAAGACTACACAAATTAACTCTCAAACAGAAAGTAAGTAGTGTAAGCAGTTTTCATACATATATTTATTAAAAGTTTTTTTAAATGTTTTAGTGATTCGTGCTTCAAATTGACTGGATTGAATGCTATTCAAGAAAGAATCTTTTAAAGTTGTTTTCACTGAGGTAAGGACAAAAAATGAGGAGCTGTGTCACTGCAGAGAGGCGGCCAACAATCGACTATTATTGTCATTATTGCTCCCTTCCCTCTCTCCCTCACATGATCTCCTCCATGTCACCCTCGCGCACATGCCCTACTCGTCATTTCCCATCTGCATTCCATTCAAGCTATGGCATAGGGGGTGGCGATGTCATCCAAAAGTCTCCTGAGCGTGTATCTGACTCAACTTTTTTTTTCGGAATATTTGTTTAGCATTAGGTTCTTGATTGGACCGCCTTCTCTAGAATTTCTTGTTGCTAATACTTTCGAGCTATTCGATCTTCACTATACAAGGCTGTTGATGAAATTCTTCAGTGAGCTGTTGGAAATGCTCTTCTTGACCCGCATTTCAAGTTTTTGATCCATGTAGAAGAAATAACCTAACAACCTACTGTCCAACAAATATTAAGAAGGTAATGAAGATGAATTACGCTAAGAAGACCCTTAACTATCTATGATTATCGATTAAATGTTCTTAATTCTATCTGACATTCAGTTTAGTAGTGGATTTTTTATGATTATTATTACGAGCGATGATGTAAGTTATTTCAAATCAAACATACCACTCTTTCATCTCAATATTCTGGTATACGTAGATTGAAGGTGGTCACTCACGACTCGGATTCTTTCGGATAGTTGTAGCCGGAGGAATACCGTAATCTCATCATCGCATCATATGTTACGTTTGGCTGTTTCAAAGGTGTTATATCACATTTTCTTACACAGCTGGAATATCTATTGTAGTGTTTGTCATACTATGCACGAAAATACGTCACGATGGCTTTTGCCTTCATCCGTACTGAGACGGAAGCGCGCTATAACAATTTATACTCTCGCCTGCATATATATATATATATATATATATATATATATATATATATACATATATATAACTATAGAGCCAGATGAAGAGATTATCGAGAAAAATATTCTTCATTCATTCTTCTTTCATTGTATCTTCTAGATGTCTAAATGGAAACTGTCACTATATTTCTTTTCTTTCTACTATGATTTTATCTATATGTATATCTTAGATGAATCAACTGGTCAACCAGTGAATACAGATGCTAATCAACAACAAATCTACATACTTACCTCACCAACTTCTCATCTCAGTGACTCTGAAAATATTCATCAATGTTTATCACCACAGAAATCGGTGAGTAGATTAATTAGAGAGTTTGTTTATTTTTGAAATTTTTTCGCTCACTATTCTTAGCTGTTTGCTATCATTTTTTTTGTGCTCATGTTTGCTTTTATGTTTTAAGCAAAGATAAGTTTTGGCTCAATTAGGATTTCATAAACAAGTAGTGAAATCCATATATACTCAAGAGTAGGTTAATTGTGATAGATTAACTAATCAGTCCAGGTGAAGCGTATGTTGTTTGAATGTTTAAACAAGCCATGGGGACCTTAGAAATTCATTCTTCCTTAGATTGGACATGTGATACGATAATAACTTCTATACAGAGGCACAACAGCAGATTCCTGATGCAGCTAAACACTGCATAATTATAATTTAGTGGATGGTAACAAGCAGTGTGGAATCCTGGATGCGAATTTCGTCCTGTTTAGGACTAGTCAGTTAGGCACAACTGGCACTACCCCATGAATGTGTTGGTGTTCCCACTGAGGTTGGAACCCCAGCACTCACCGTTTCAAATGCCGAACACTTATCCACTCTGGGTCATAAGTGTCACCTCTTATAAGATAAATACCACCCATAATTGAAGTTCTTTTGTATTCTCTATTGACTGATTTATATTACTCCGAAGTGCTCGGTCTCCGAAGATAATTCGGCTCCCTGATACTTACGCTTTGAAGATGTCTGGTGGCCAACATGATGTTATCGGCGATAAACTAAGTGACATCATGCTAGAAATCGAAATTTCAATAGAGACCGAGCATTTCTGTCTGACATAGATTAGTCAACGAGAAATACAAAATAACCTAAACAAATAATATATACTGTGTGGCGCTGTATGCCATTGATTGATTGATTGATATGAGTAGTTAGACACTGTTTACATCAGCTGGCAGTGCTTGGTAGCCACATCGAAGTGGTCTTAATATCAGACCATCGTTTTTCTCGTTCGGGGCCGATCTCATCAGTGGTGCAGCCGGCCTAACTGAGCGCAGACGATCGAAACAATTTAGACAACCCGAATTCAAATTGGCTACTTGGCAAAGCTGGTGTCATGATTCTCGACCTGCCTTCTTGGTTGTTATTTGTAGTGATTGAGTTTTCTTCCTTTGAGAACCTTTATGGATGTATACTATAAAGATTAAATGTATTGATGTTCAACAGTGACAAAACCAGTATTTGACTACTGGTGAACACCGTTCGCAAAACCAAAGGTGGTATTTGACAAATGTTTCGTCCATTTCATACGTTATATATGATGCTTTGAGACTAATTTATGTGAAGACTTCAACGTTTTTCCATTGCTTGTGTTCCGATTGGAACATGGAACTTGAAGTTTCAGGGTTTCAGTAGTGATGGCATTGTTTTATTATAGGTTAAGCAGGCAACTCACTATTCAACCTCCTTTCTTTGTCGGCTTACTACAGGCTAGTAAATTAGGTGAGGAGAAATCGAACTCGGACCACTGATGCATAAAGATTTAGATTGTTATTACTATTATTTCTTTCAGTGGAACATAGGGCTTTGTTAACAAATCTATCTCAGTCTTACTCTATTCACTGTAGTCTTTATTTAGCCTGCTCCACGATTTCTTATAAGTTTTCACTTCTTCATCACATGATCTCCTCTGTGTCACCCTCAAAGCGACGCTGAACCTGCTGTTCCCATTAGGATTACACTCGGTGTCATTCAACAGTCCTTCCATAGTGTGTTACATCCATCCCCATTATCCTCAGCATATTTGTTGAACGATAGTCTCCAGGTTGGTTCGCTTCCAGACTTCCTTGTTACCAAATCTTTCTGTCTGGCCACCTGATCTTCATTATGAAACTAACGAAGGCAGCTGTTGATAAAGTCTGAAGCCTTTTGGAAATACTTTTGGTGTCGTGTACACTATCTCTGAACCAAAAATAAAAGAACTCACTTAACTTTAATATTGAAAATCACAATCTTATTCCCTATGTCTAGTGTGGAAGATTTTCAAACTGGTTTCATAGTGACGAAGGTCCACTTTGCTTTTCCAATCCTGACTGTCTCTTACATCCTCACCTGTAACGTTACCTGTAATTGAAATAATGCCACCTAGTTAATTGATTGAAGTGACTTCCTTCTAAATTCCCTCGTCGATATTGATTGGTGGTTGTTGTTGTTGGTTGGTTGGTTGGTTGGTTTCCTTCATCACCTCTGTCTTCGCCAATGTTCACTTGAAGTCCTATCTTTGCTGCCTACCTCTTCTGCCGACATGTTGGTTATCGCCTGCAGATCTTCAGGTTTATGTGATAGTAGACATTTTATATTACAAGAGAAGATTAAATGAAATACTTTAATTTGCATTGACTTTACTTTTCTTTTGTTCTGATTCTTTGTCCATTATTTACAGGATAATAATAATAACAGTAATAATAATAATAATAATAAATGTATTCAATACGAAGATAATATGTTTTTTGGTAAAAACTTCCCAAATCCTAATGAAATGAAATGGATCAGTTGTAATAGTTCACGTTCACATCTATTGCCAACTTCTTCACGTCTTTTAAAAAATCAACCAATTGCACCAAAATCAAATCAGTTAAATAAAATGTCAGTGATACCTTCAAATATCTTTGATGTAAACACAATCAGTTCTAGATCAATATTACATATGCGTCGTAAACTTGTACTAGATTTATTCCAGGAATATGGTTTATTTCCATCAAGTAAGTTAGTTTTATTTCTTGAATTTAATCTACTGTTAGATTAATCATATTTTTATTGAGTAAGTAATTAGTGATAATTGAAGGGGAAATGAAAATTTGCATTGCTACAAGATTCGAACTAGCATCGTCTGAATTACTAGTCCGACGCTGTACCAGCTAAGTTGCAACAGCCAACTGGTAACCACGTTGTAAGGTATTGGTTATGCTATTGATTAACTACATTATATCAGCCTTACTGAGCGTAATATGCATAATTAATTAATACACTACACCTCTATTATAAGTAATGATAACAAAGTAAACATAAAAAAGACTAATTTACTTAGGAACGTGCTCTGGTGAGCAGTATATATAAACAGAGTTATTTTACGGAAACGTTATCTGACTAGTATGGTTGAACTATAGACTCTGAGGACATGCGTGTTTAACAGCACAAGGAAGGAATTCAAAATGATGTCTGAATGTCATAAGGTGCCTATTAGCTAAAAACAAAAATTAATACAGCTAAATGCATCAAAGATAGGACTCCAGGTAACATGGAGAAAACAGAGGTGATGAGGATTCCTGGACAACACCAACAGCAACAACAACAACAGACAACAATCAGCCTAAATGGGAGGAACCTGAAAGAAACAGCCTCCTTTACCTACCTACCTGGGAAGCATCGTTTCAACTTCAGCCCGACGGAACTGACGAGGATATCAAAACGAGGATCGGGAAAGCAAAACAAACTTTCATTACTCTTAAGTCTGTGTGGGGGTCAGCAGCACTCAGTATGGAAAATGATATCCGGATTTTCAACTGCAATGTGAAGTCAGTGCTACTATACGGATCAGAGGCTTGGTGCGTCATAAAGAGCACCTCAAACAAACTTCAGACCTTCATTAACAGCCGTCTTCGCTCAATACTACTCAAGACAGTTAGTTAGCCAGAAAAGATCAGCAAAAGGGACCTCTGGGAGCGAACCAACCAGGAACCGATTGTAAAACAAATATGAAGGAAGAAATGGAGGTGGATTGGCGGGCCATACTCTGAGGAAACCATCAAGTGACATCACTAGACAAGCCCTCGAGTGGAACCCGAATGGGAAGCGGCGAGTTGGTTGTCATTATGAGGATGACTTCGGGGAGGTCATGTGAAGACGAGGTGAAAGCATGTGGGCAGACCTGGAGCCAGGTGAAAACTATAGCAGAGAACCGAACGCAATGGAGACGTGCAGCTGAAGCCCTATATTCCTCTAGGAATTAAAGGAAATAATAATAATAAATGCATTCACAGTCAGGCTAGACGTTCATTTAGTTAATATAAAGTTGGGCGAAAGTTAAACTTTTGACAGCCAGCAAGCGTAAACTCACCGATGACTTTGGAGAGTTCGCTCATAGTAGTACAGTGAAACAAAGCCAATGAAACTAAATTTATGAATGAAGTGTAAAGATATTCAACGGGATATCTGATTAATTTTAGTTTAGCTTAGGGAAAGAATTAAGCTAAGTTTAGGCTAGGGACAAGTAACGGTTATGTTAACGTAATAGGGGAAATAATAATGCTAGTTAAGAGTAGACGAGGGTTACGTTAGACAGATTGGGGCTGGGGTTGAGTTAGGGGACCAAATTTTTCTTTTAGCTCTATAAGTCTTTCCGAGGTCATTGGTGCATTCGCCTCTCAGGGTCAAGTGATTTATTTTAATCTTCAACAATTAGTTTGTAGGGATTCTATCTGTTTAAGGTTGGATCACGTATTGATATCAGTGAGATAACCATTGCAAACCAGGGAGTATTGGGCTATTTCATCCTAGTTTGGGATTCATCGGCAGTACACACCCACTAGGTCATGGACGGTCATGCTGGCTGATGTGTAGATGCCTTTTGAATGAATGGTACATTATAGATGCATAACTTCAATTTCATCAGTTTATCTTGTTGAAGTTTATCGTGATGTAAAGTATTTTTTATGGGATTAGATAGTTTTCCTACTTTAAGAGATAATGGATGTCCACTGTTACTCAAGATTCACTGTATAAAAACGCAAGTTTCTACCTTGTGACTCCAAAAGTATTGGTTCTATTGAGACCGGAGATGAATTAAAATAACAAATTAATCGTCCGAAATACGAGGTGTATTTAAGGATCGGAATCGTAGAGCTATGACGATTACTTAATTAGCTAGGGACGAACGACCAAACATAAAATGACAGTCTGCCAAATGGTATGAATGCTTGACCATATACCAATAAGTTAATGAGTTGACTTAAAAAGTGAGCTCTCGAAGAAGGTTGTAGTCTGTCAATTTTGGGGAATTATTTGCAGCTACTTTTAATTTCTTTCTAAGCTGTCCTGTGTTATACTTTCTTTTGTGTTCGACTTCATGCTACTTGCAATTAGTAAGTAGTGTGAATTATTCTGCTCCATAAACGCGACTTTGTTAAGGTTTAACTCACTTAATGTATTTACGCTCTATTCGATACACGGTAATTATTTTCTTATAGTCAGACATTATCTGCTGTATATGCTTTATGAATGTACTAGTTAATCCTGGACACTTTTCATTCGTACTCCCTTACTCCGTGTCTGGGAATAGCGTTCTGTTTAAGTAACTCATGGATCGTCTTTAACACAGCTTTGCTGTTTTTACGTATTGACGCACACTGACTGCGCTTTTTTGGAGACATTCAGCCACAGACACTTCACAATTGAGGACAATATTTTAGACAATTCGTGCGTTTTCAGATTTCACGTCTTACTCAAAGTGTGGTTTTAATAATTATCCGATTATCGTCCTCAATTTCTTTTGGAAGAAATTCAGAGCTATACTACTTATGCGTTTTGCTTTCCATTCATTTTGAATATGTATATTCATATATTTATATTCATATTTTCCTTTAGTTCCCGCAATTATTCGTTTTCAACAATCCTATTCCTACTACTTTCCAAATCGTCAATCTTTACAATTAAAAATACGTGAAGTTCGTCGACGAATAATGCAGGTGAATTCACCATCGAATTTAAAACCTACTGATGCGTATTTTAATCAACCAGTGGATAGAAAAACATTTAAAGATGAGGAAGATGATGTTAAAGATAATGATGATGTTGGTGTGAAAGTCAACAGTGTAAAAGTTTCTTTTAGAACTTTAAAGCATTCCACCTATTCATCAATGAAGTCAACAGTGAATCGTCTCTCTGATTATACTAATAAATGCTATAATAAGAATAGTAATAACTCTACAAGTATAATATTATCATCCTCGAATCCATTGGTAGTATGATCAAGGTAAATACACTGGTTGTTTTTTTTACTTGAAATTACTCAATTCTCCTCACCCCAACCTCCTGTCTTTGTCATCCTCCCTTCATCATTCGTGACGTAACATCATAATATATCCACACCTTTGATTTATGCACTAATCAGGGTAAATTTCTCCTTACTTGTGAAGTCTCATAAAGTTCCAGTGAAACATACCTTTTTTGAATATTTATAGCTTTGTTGTGTATGTATCATTATATTCAAAATAGTCATTTTGTCCCCGTTCGATCTCTCCATATTAATATTGTGGATGCATAACAGTTTCATATGTGTGTTTCACACGCACACACATACCTGTTTATTAATATCATTGTCATATTCGAAATTTCTTTTTCCTCTATGCTCTTTCTTCCATTTTCTCCGCCAGTCAGATATTTTCTTTCATGTGATTCGTTTAAAACACACATCTTTCAGTGCTTACGTCCAAAGTTTTGTGTGCAATAATGTTGATCTTTTTTTATTTAAAAAAATGTGTTTAATTTTCTACATACTACTTATTTGACTGTTTATATATCTCTATCAAAATTTTGTTCCATACTACCTTTGAATAAATTATGCATAATTTATCCAGAAATAATTAAACAAACTTCTCATAGTAGATTCGATTCTTAATGTCTGGAAAAACACGTTAGTTCATGACTTACCTAAATGCGCCCTTTTGATAGATACAACAACTAGTTGTTTTTAAGAGTTTATAGACCATTATTGGATCCCTTCACACTGGCTGATTGGCTAACGGATGATAGGCCCTAGTAATCTAGTCCTTGTGTTTGGTCCCTGGTGGTGGTGTTATAGGCGTGTACTTAAGTGCAGTGCAAGTCGTCAGACAGTTATCCGAAATAGTAAGCAAAACACACGTTAGCAGGGTGATCATACAAGCTGCATGTGATAAGAAGAATGAGGACTGAAGGTCAAAGACTATGTTAACGACAAATCCTATTAGAGATAGGTGAGGGAGGTCACTTGTTGCGTCATCTTGGAATCCTAATCCATGCACGCCGTGCAGTCGACTTGAAATCAGACTAGCATACTGTTTAAACATACGAAGACCGCCTGACCTAATTTGCTTTATATATGAAGAGTTCAATATTAGAAAGAAACAGTCGTTCAATAATTCCTGGTATTCAGTGGTTTTCTAACTGTTGTCAGTCCACTACCTAACTTGAAATTTATCAAGTTCCTGCAAACTAACTCTTAAAGACTGATCTTACTTATTGAAATAATAATCATTTTCAGGAGGAGAAATATAGCTCATCATTTTCGTGGAATTTCTAGTGAAACATTACCTAGTTTTATTTATGGATATTAGTATTCCCAATAATCTGGTTATTATTAGGTTTGAGTTTAAAATAAAGCGATTCAGTGGTTTAATGAATAGAATGCTCTCCAGCCATACAAAATATTCTTTATTCGATTCCCTGTAAATACTCCCCAGAATCACGCCTAGCCCGAATGGATTTTGCAGTTTGCTGATAAATTGTCAGTAGTGTAAATTTTTACGCAGAATTTTGTATTGCCCACCTTATTGGTGAAATATTTCTTCCTGAAATAGTTTCCACTCGAAATTATATCGAAAACCAAATAAGTACTACACATAGCTTTCGAATGCTACCATCACACATGGAACCCAGACAAAGTTAGACCTAACGGAATCTAGCTGCCACTAAGCTTGGGCTCCTAAATACACTTCAGCATTACTTTTAAAAAAGACTGGGTATCACTTGAAAGCTTGTCAGCCATTTTAGTCATCCTAACGTCATCAATGGTCAAACCAAAACTAACAAAGAAATCTATGAATTCTCTGTCTTTTAAGGACACTTCGAACTGTCTGAATTCGTCCTGATCTGCCAAATGGAATCCCACGTAGCGATTATCTCTTGAGGATTTACAGTTTCACAAGGTGAAAAAGTTTCAACTTTTGATGATTATCAACAAATCATCTGTCATTTTGGCATGCTTTTACGTTAAACTTCACCAACAACGACATAGTACTTAGTGATTTGCGATTCGTTTCCCGTAAGTTGCCCTTAGCATTCGCATGGCACATTGACCATGCGACAACAATTCAAAACCTTGTTTTCGATAGTTTTAAGAGGAATTGATTCTGGTGTCCTGCAAACAGTAGCCCGATGAGATGAAGCCGTATCTTTCATCACCCCTTTGGTCAAGCAGTCAATGATTTAGCTTTATTTAGGATATCAGGAACAATTTTGGGGTATTTCTCCAGGAAGTAGGCTAGTGGGTCTACAGCCACAAGCTTTTAATGAGTAACATTGAATGAAGATTTGACTTGCTCAGTAACAGGTCTGTTCTCCGTTATATTTGAGAGTGACCGCGGTATGCAGTCAGGCAGACCTAGTCTAGCGTGAAGTCCATTAATATACCATCAACTTACCAGCACTTTAGAAGGTGACGCGTGAAAGGAGATAAATTTCAGCCTAAATTGCACATGTAGACTGCACAACTTTAAGGTGAAGTTAAGAAAACCCCATTCCCGATTTATATGTTCTTAAACACAGTACCAGAAATAGACTGAGACACTAAATGACTAAATAGACTTAAGAAATGAAGATTTCTATTTTGTTTCTGAATCTTTATGACAGTAAACAGCAAAATGTTTGGAGTCGTGTCATTAATCACTTGTTCTTAGGATGCGATTGTATAGTGTGATTGTATCTCCGTAAACTATTCATATTATCGCTAATAAATACGCGTTCGAGCGGCAAAAACGGTTATATTCTACTTTGACTATTTGGGACAGTGTTAAGAACTCCCTGGCCACCAAGTAAGGTAGCTCAGGATAAACAGCCAGTAGGTACTGTGGCCAAAGCCTAGGGCTAGGAGAATAGATGGCTGCTCAGCAATCAATCTAGTTGAAGGCAACCGAAAGAGAGCTCAAAGTACTCCATATGGCTTAACTGACTAGTTTCTTAGGCTATGACACCCTATGTGACTGAACCCTACGGCTAAATGCGTCATGTACTGGTGCCATACTATCCTGAACTCTTTTTCAGCTCTTTATTTTTCGCTAGGATTTCTCTTCGACTTGAATAAGCTTCCATTGTTAGTGAACTAGTAAATACCTTATCCGTTTCCCTTCCTGTCCTTTGACCAAGAGACAGTATAACTTAGTTCATTACTATACCCTTACATAAGACAAGGTTCAGTTACGTGCCCAAAATACCATTGTTCTTATTCTGAGCATTTGGAAGAACTCGAATTTTGTCAGCGACTTACAGAACTGTCATAAGAAATTGTTTGGGAACATGAAAGTACAACTTTAGGAAATTCTGTTTTCTGGAATCAGTAAATGTCGCATCTGGAGTTCCAAGTACTTTAGAGGTGACTTTGCTTTCATCGGCAACCGCTGCCAACGACGACTCTGGCAAGTCATAAAAATCCAAGAACTTTGGAGAGTTAAGTTAGAGATAAGGATAGATTTGAGTCAACTCAACACTGTGAAAGACGACTAACTTCCTATGTGATCCCAGCGTGCTTCGCACAGCATCATAGCTTTGTCCGACTGGTTGATTTCTTATGTGGCTTGAAGTATCCTGAGCTAGTTAAACTCTTCACATCAACTAGAAAATACCTTAGTAGCTGTTTGGAAACAGCCTCTTCCGATCGATGAACATGGTTTGCAGAATCCTTATTGTGGTTCTCCCTGACTCATTCTCCAGGCTCTCCCTAATATCACCCACACAATGAAGAGAGAATACTGGACAAACGCCGCCAATGGGATGTATTTAAATTGATGGAAAAATAGAAACATACGAGAATACACAACCGTCCTATAACATAAACAACACGTTGTTTTTCCTCATTAATCTCACTCTCGCCGACACTGCTTCTTTGAATTTCAAAAATACAATCGTAGAAACTGATATTTTAAAGCGAAAAATCTAATCTCACTAAAATCCCCATAATTTCACCGGTTGTTTCAATTACTCCTCAATTAGGCACAACAAATATCCTATCGTTTCAATGCATGGAAGTGCTTAAAACAAGCAATAAAGGTTAATAAAGCAGGATTTAATGAGTTCATCAAATTTCGGTAGAACTCGTCAGCTGCATACTCTACATACACGGATATATATACCTTTGAAACTAGATTGGGAGATATAAGACTGATAAGTAAACAAACTACATTGAATTAGTCATGCAGAAAGACACGTGCGAATGTTTTCCAGGTCATGTTCAAATAGCTAAGGGGAGAGAGAGTATGAGAGATCGAAATTAAGATAAATTGCATTACGCTTCAGTCTTATATCTGCCAATGTAATTCCAAAGGTATATATATCCGTGTATGTAGAGTATTCAGCTGACAAGTTCTACCGAAATTTGATGAACTCATTAAATCCTGCCTTATTAACCTTTATTGCTTGTTTTAAATTCGTACAGGGAAATAAATGTTTTCAATTTTTGAAGAGGCATAGAAGTGCATTAGTGGGCCAGCAGTATTCACTGAGAATTGCGAATCAGAAACGTTAGGTTCAAGAAGAGTAAGAAATGATTGTAATATGACAGTCATCAGTGTCAGATGAGTACAGCTGACTGAGCGCATTGGCTCACAACCAGCATGTTCACTTGAGGCAATTGCCACAAATCTATTACAGTATTGCTGAAACAAACGTGAACCTTCTGAAAATGTTAAAAGGTACGACAACAAACTTCACTATGCTCGCGAAAACAGAATATGCTTCTTAAACAACCCTCAGTGGTGCTATTGTTATTATTACCTCGGCACCCTTAGTAATTCTAAAGGACTAACCAGTGAAGTGAATGACCTCAATAACAGGAAAGTCACGGTTTTACGCAGACCACGAACTTTTTTCCACATTTAATAATAGTTTCAGCACTTGCAAAGTAATTTGCGGAAACAGTATACGTGTCAGTATTAACAAAGGGAATGTGTCCTCATTATCCGGGAGCAAATGAACACTCATGAACACTGCACTGTATGAAAGGACCGTTGATAGATTTAGTCAAAGTGGGGAAGAGAGATGTTTATAGTGGGGCCAGTAGGCGAAATTTCTAAGATAGTAACGAGTGCTTCACATAAAAGGAATGGTTCGCTCGCCAACAAGCACAGACTCAAACGAAATGCGTATTGATCATAAATGACACTTCAGAAATGGATTAAAGAGCAAAAAGTTGCTTTCCAAACTAATGATTAAACTTAACAGGGCTTTCAGATGTGTGTAGGTAAAAAGTACTACATGAAGGAGCGAAATGCTGTGCATTATCGTGTGCAGTATGGATATATGTTCTACGAATCGGTAAGAGCGGTGAATGGGCTCATTCCGTCTGTTGCCCGTATCATTGTGACATTGATGGTCGCCAGTATAAATATTACTTCTAAACTAAGGGCGTTTATCTGTCTGGGTAATAAAAAGCCAGCGTTCGTCAGGATGGTTAAGGTACTTCTGCGTATTAACAAGATCCACAAAGCGCGTGGACACAGCACGCGAAACAGGAAGATTTTGGTTCATATCGGATGGCTGCATTGTATGTGTGAAAGTCGTATAAAGACATCTTATGCAATAGATTACGTATGACAGCTGTTTGTCTTTATCGAATAGCTGGTTTATTACACTCAAGAATCGATGAACAGTTCAGAAGCTAGATAAGTCTCATTTATTGTGCCTTTGTAAGACATTTCTCAAGCAACTCACATCTTGGCTCTATACGGGGCTGTCCCTTGTTAAATCTCGTGTTCATTACTGGCATGAAGGGAGTTTATTGACCAGTCGTAGATCCACATACATTTTCTCAACATTATTACCCCTAGTTTAGTCTAATTCCAACTGTCTCACGGAGTTTGGTGGACAAATATTACAACCAATTTGGGTTGAGCTTCTTTTGTTGACTGATGAACTAATATGGATAAGGGCAAATTTAAGAATGCACTTGAAACTGTACAGTCTGATTTCAACCGTCTGGATGTTTTCTATTAAGCTAACTAATCGTCTACTACGGGCAATATTGAAGGCCTATAAAACATCTTAAAGGTACAGAAAGGTGATGAAATCTCCCCATGTCCACTGGTCTGTGAATCAGTAATCATTGTATTGATGCACATAAATCAGAGCGGTCTGCACCGATACTTGGCTTCACTCTGTTGACATCCGCTGAGTATGAACATTGAAGAGTGATCCTACAACTACGGTGATATATTTTAATTTGCTTTTGCCTGATGGACGCCAGTTTATAGGCATCAAAATATTAAGTCGTAAATTATGCATAAACAGGAATAAATATATATATATATACATATGACTTTCAATTTTTTGAGGTTACCTAATCACAATAATATGAGTAAGGTGTAGGCAATGAAAAGTGTCGATAAGTTCGTTGCGTAAAGGTAGGAGTGGATCAAATGTTATGACTTATGACCAATAAACAGCTTCCGACTACAAAGTCGCAGCTGTAGAATATGTCAGAAATTTTCAGATTATTCTTAGGGCCGTACATTCTCAAGAACATGAAGTCCCACATATGTGGCGCCCCAAAAAATTCACTAAGAAGTACTCAGGAGACAATAAGAATTGAAATTGGATGAACAATAAAGGTGACATGTATGCCAAGTATAAACAGAAAGGTGAAACCACCAAGAACAGCGTATTTAAAATATCAGTAGCTCCACTATTGAAAGAGAGCACTTCTGAAGCCCTACGCATAACCTGGCATTTAAATCAAAATCCACCTCGGGACAAACTATATTGATTAGAGGATCGTGCGTTGCTCATCAAACAAAGACATTTATTGTGTTTGGTAAATACCTTTGATTGGGGCTAGGCGCATATGTCTAGGAATCAGTAAGCGGAATCTAGAGTAGTAGACATTATTAGGGAAAATGATTAGGAAAGAGTTCATATATGCTATTTCCTTCGGCCAGACACAACTATAAAATAGGGTGGTTGAAAGCCATATTACTTAAACCATTGATTGATAACTTATTCTTTGCTTATCGAGTTCGCACGTGTCCTAGGCATCTGCAAAGCTCTGTTGACTTTAAAACAAATGGAAAAGAGGATAACCATTGAAGTGGGGCTTCAAGCTGATCCATTACAAACAGTTTGTGGCTGTAAATAACTCCCTAAATTTATCAGCTTTCGGGTTTCATCAACATTCAGCTTCATATACTAACATTCGCCGGTTTAGAAGACTGGCTGGACTGCAGACTACTGATTTCGCATTTAATCGCTTGAGCCTTGGTTAGTCAAATAGGCATCATAGCTGCAAGCTACCGATTCCGAAATAGATTTCACATTTGGGCGACTTAACTGTTGCCATTATTTGATTCAATAATTTTTCTGCTGTCCATGTTAAACAACTATTTCGTTGGCCTGGAAGATAACACACTCACATTACTTTATCCTTGTATAATCAATATATGTCTGCAAGCCTTCTCCAAAATGTCTCAAAAAAGGAAGGACTTTAACTTCCCTGGAACTTAACTCCTCAAGCATGGCCGCATTTCGTCCAATCATTTTACTGAAAGGCAACGGGCTGAATTCCTGTGATTATTCCATAGGTATAGGTGTCTTATTAGCCAACTAATTTTTTCCCAAAGAAACTCCTATTTGGGACGACAATACCTTGGAGTCAATGTTTATTATTAAATTATATTTGTTTGTAATTTTCTATCTAGAACCGAATAACGATTCAGTAGAAGTCTGTATCTAAGTGCTTCTTCCCTATGTCTATTGTTGGTTCATTCATTGCAAATCGAAAGGATTCGTAAAGGTTTATGGGACATGACTGTTCCAGTGTGCAATCTGTGACGAGGAGTAGAATAGCGAAGGATATTTTTGTAAACTATCGCTAAGGCTTTACAGCAAACACCATTTACTATAAGGCCACAGAAAATGCCAGGAGAAGTTTAATATTATTGTCATCTCGCAACAAATATATTGAACTACATCTCAGGGAGGGAATCGATAAATCGTGAAACTTCGTTGGAGCCTTTTGTAATCGGACACATTCAGTGTTAAACTGTTCAGAAATGTTAGATGTTTACGGCGAGGTGATATATTTACGTAGAAGGTACCAGTATAGCTTTGAAAGATTGTTTTTGACATTTTGAAGCAGCAACGACAGTAATCCGCTCCAAAGTAGTAATGATACGGTATGACCTTTAACTTCCCGTTTTGCAATTAAATTTTTCTTTTAACTTTTTTATTCACAGATTATCAGTTTTAATGATGACTGTGAGTGAATAACCATTCAGAATCATGATGTCTGAGCTGCCCGACTCTCCTGTACGCTGACGACGTAAAAATATGGAGGGCGATAAAGTGTCCGGAGGACTCAGATAGGCTACAGGAAGACCTAAACCTTCTGGAAGACTGGGCGGTGGCCAGTGGCATGACTTTCAACTTGAAAAAGTGCAAAGTAGTGAAGTTGCGCACCTGTAGACTGCAGAATGCAAGTTACACCCTGTGCAATGAAAGCTTGTCCTGCACAACGTCGGAACGCGACTTAGGTCTAGTTCTAACGGAAAAAATGGACACAAGCGTAAATTACACAGGGGATGTAGCGAGGGCATATGCGGTCATACACTTTACGCATAGACAGTTAGGTGCACTCACTCCTGAGCTCTTTCTAATGTTGTACAAAACATACGTCAGGCCACACCTTGAGGTGCATAATATTATTGCACCCCCAATGCTGAGAAGAGATGCCAACCTCTTGGAAAGAGTCCAACGACGGGCAACAAAAGGAGTGGTTGGTCTCCGAAACAAACCATATGATGAAAGGCTGAAGAAATTAGGCCTGTTCACACTTAGTTACCGTCGGCTTAGGGGGGATTTGATTACTGCCTACAAAATAACAAATGACCAGAATCACCCAAACAAAGGTGTTCTGCCATTGAGTAGGTATAGGCTTCCACGTGGAAATCCCAGAAGGATAGCTCACCAGAGGGCAAGGACCCGGGTGCGCTCCCACTTCTTTTCACTGCGGGTTTGTCGTCCCTGGAATTCCTTACCGGCAGATGTAGCTATGGCACCGTCTTTGGACGCCTTTAAGCGAAGGCTGGACAACCATGCAGCGATACAAGGACTGCATCCAAATGGCCTATCTCCTTAAAATCGCATTTACCAATCAGGGTAGATAATTAAACTCGTCATTTTACTTCTTTACATTCTCTCCCGTCTTACTCTCCTGACAACTTATTAATATTATAATTACTATTATTATTATTACTATTACCGATATATATATTATTCTTCAAACTTAATGAGCTGACTGTTGTTACGTTTCCTATTTTCGTTTCTGTCTCTTAGTCTGAATAGCTTCACTAATTATATCTATTATTATTATTATTACTATCTCTTTTCTCTTGTCGACAATACCGAAGGACTAACTGGCGAAAGGATCAACTCCAATCACAGTAGTAACAGTCTTAACATACCTCATACTACAAACCACATATAATTAATCCCAGCACTACTCCCTTTGGAGTCAACCAAAGCTACGACAGTCGAGTGGCGGGACAAGCTACGCAGAAGTTTACCGAAGATCAAGAACCTATACCTCACAATCAAGAAGCGAGCACAAAGAAATCAAATTGGTTTATACTAGCTCGTAAAAACGATATTGGATATTGGATGTAGGGGATATTGTATATATTTTACATTAGGAAGAAGCTAATTCAATCTCAAGGTCACTTCGATGAGTAGTGTGGATAATGTTCCATTCGCCAATGCTGTACGTTTATTTTCATAAGTCTAACATAAAACTAGAGATCAAACTATGGAGTGGCACTGTTGGATAGACTGACAAAGAGCGTGTTGGGTATTCCTACACCTGAGACTGAGTTAAAGCCTCAAAAGCTAAAAGAGCATTTTGAAGGAGCATTATATGAATTATTTCTTCTCAAGTCTCGGGTGCAAGAAAAATGTACTGAACTAGAGGTGAGTTTCTGTGCTTTTACTAATGTAGACTAGTATTGTTATGTATGACTATATTTTAAAACAGTCATACAGGTGAGTTTGTCTCGGGAGATCCAAAGTTTTTGAAATTCTGTGCAGCTTCTCTCTATGTATATTTAATGTAGAAGTTGTTACGTGTATTATCTCACCAATATTCATTTAATTTATTTAAACGTTTGTAACTACCAGTAATTAATGTAATAAAGTATCCTCACTCCACTTAAATATTTATTTTTTTATTATTTTTTTATTTTATGGTTACAGCTTGATTCCACACCGTATTTTTGGTACAAGTGTGGAATTTTCAGCGTGGATATCGGTAGCCCAAAATTCGCAGGCCAACCACAGATATCAGGTGCGCGTCGGCGAGGGCTCGAACCCCGGACCATGTGCATGGTCGGCGAGAGTCTAAACCACTGTGCCACCGACGCAAGAAAACAACAGTTTTTGTTCTTAACATAGGGCCTAGACCATGGGTTTCATATCATAGGGATACAAACATTTTTGGCAAAGTTTAAGCACCACCGCCAAAGTCATTTTCTGTCAAAAGTTGACTCTCAAGAGCTTATCAGGCTTAGGGCACCCTATGAAAGACCATTCCAAATCAAACCATATGCACCTTTTTAATATGGCGATTGCCATATGTCTACCTTTAAAGGTAGACATAGTATACTTATTGTTCCATTAGTGCTTTTTCTGTAAATCTATACTGTTAGGTGGGGGCGTGATGTGTTGAAATTAGGGTTCGTAGTCTAGGGTTAAAGCCAAGATTATGGTTATAGTTAGGAGTAGGTTAAGAAACTGTCAAAAATTCCAGTGGATCTCAGTAACAAGATTTATTGTCACCTTGGTGAATGCATTCGCACGCCTGGTGTGATTTCTCTATAGTTCATCCGTTAAGTGACTGGGAGACACTATTTCAACACAAACGACAGTTATACAGTGTGGTACCATTGGTTTAAGGATAAAACTGGGGCACTGTGGTAGAGTATAACTCCACTATGGATAGAATTTTACTTCAGTAAAATCGTACGGTGTTATACAGTGATATTTACTGATGATTTTTTCGAGAACAAATTATTGTAGTAATTTACGATTAGATGACATTATTTTTTAGTTGTGTATCTCAACAGCAAGGTGGTATCATTCGAGTTTCTTAGAGTAACAGGCATAAACCACACGGGTTGATAATTACACTAAATTAATTTATGTGAAAAAAGGACTAATGGTGTAATTAAATTTAATTCATGAAAAATTCCCATTCGAACATTAATAGACAGGAGGCCAGTAGTCCAGCGAAGTCTCTTTTCGGCGAATTCATTTTCATACCTGTATAACCGCATATATATGAATTCCCGGAAAAGAGACTCTTCACTGAACTACTAGTCTTCCGCCTACTAATTAAATTTGGACGTAAATTGAGAGAGAAATCCCCAGTAAAAAATTTATCGGATCCTTATTAGTATTATTCGTCGCTCACAGCTGGAGAGGAATATGAGGCTTTAGCAGCACATTTCCATCATACTATGTTATCTTCAGTCGTTTTCTCCTAGATCCACCAATGCCCACAAGTTTTCACTTTTGCATGTTATAATCTCTTACATTTTACCCTCGGGTTCCACTAGAGGGTGTGCTGGACGTGTGATATCACTTGATTGTCTTCCGTGAGTATGTCTAATCCATTAGAATTTCCTTCGCATATTTGTTGAGCGATGGATTTTTTGTTGGCTCGATACGACGGCTTTTGTTACTTATGCGTTCTGGTTAGCCATCTGATCTTCAGTATTGAGTGAAGGCAGAGGTTACTGAGAGTCTGCAGCAGAATGTTGGGAGTGCTTTGATAACGCTCGCGCTAAATCTAAGTCATATTGAAGCATGGACTTGACATTATTGTTGAAATTCTGCATGTTTAGCCTTGTGCTAGATGGTGTAGGTCTCCACACTGTTTTCGGTGCATGCCTTGCTTCCCCGTTCTTGTCTACCTTTGATGTCCTTATGCATTCCGTATGAAGTTAAAACGATGTTTCTTGAATACGTGTAAGAGACGACTTCCTTTAGATTTCTTCCACTGTTATTTATTAATGATTGCTGTTGTTGGTTTGGTATCTTTATCACCTATGCCTTCTCTATGTTCATTTGAAGTCCACTTTACTGCCCTCTGTGACAACTTGTTGGTTTTCGCTTGTAATATCGAGTTTGTGCTACGTTAAACATCAGTCATCCCCCAAAGTTCAAATCTTCTACGACCTGTTGCTGCGACGTGTGCCCATCCTCTCATTCCCAGAGTTTGTTGCATGTCCCAGTACGCTGCAATCATGAAGATTCCCGGTGATAGACAGCCTTTTTTTACTTTTATCTTCACTTCACAAGCCTCACTGATATTTTGGTTGAGTCACTCTGCATGTGACATCAACAAATAGTTGTTGAATTCTGCTTGTAAATGTTTGTGGTATTGCACTCCATAGTGTTGAAGTAGCTGTCAAATTACTTCAGGGTTGACTACATCAATGATTTTTTAAAATAAAAGGGCGTGGAATTGTCTGATGTTGTTGGATCTGTTCATTGATGACGCTTAGTGCAGCAATTTGATCCGCATGTAACTTGTGTCTGCTGAATTCAACGTGTTTTTAGCGTAGTCTTCGACCCAGAATGTCTTTAATCGTTCTAGGTTGGCGTGGCTTAATATTTTTCTTGGGATGGACAAGAGCATGACTCTGCTCTGGTTACTGCATAGACCTAAATCGTCCCTCTTTTGCATTTTGAAAGGTAACCATTCTTCGGATCTTCGGGTACTTGTCCTTCTGCACCTCCTGCAGTAGTGATGTTAGTATGTTTTCTGAGACATAGTTTTGTTTCTGGTGCCTTTTGAGGTATTCCATCTGATCATTCTGCTTTCTGTATTCACAGTAACTTTGTGGCCTTCCAGACTTCTATTTTTGTTGAAAGGTTAGTATTCACTGGCACTTCTTTGTCTGCTGGTAGTGGTTGTGATATTTCTGGATGAGGTGCAGGTCGTGGTCGACTCAAGAGTCGTTTTAAGTGGTTAGCGTTTCATCTGCCTCACCTCTTTTGTAATTGGATTCCCTTTACTATCTTTCACCTGTTTCATCTACACTAACCTCTTTTGGGATGGTGACCTAGTTATTTGATATAATGTCAGGTATCCCTTACGCTCAGCCTGTTTTGCTTCAGTTTCCACTGTATCGTTAAAGCATCTTTTGTCTTACTCAAGAGTCTTCTTCACTCCTTTTTTCATGACGCTGTTGATTATTTACTTCACTGAGCCCATCTCGACCTATGATGTCCTCCTAAATTGTCTGCCCCAGCTTGGTATTTATATCCATTAGAATATCTATGTTCCCATCTGACTTTGGTCTTGTCGGCTTGCAGTCATCTATAGAAGTCCTCCACTGAGTCTGTGTTGTTTGCAGTATTATGCGTAGCATTGTATTATTGTCACTTTTCTTCTTTTGAGTCGAATCTTGCTGTTATGGTCATGAAGGAGGTTGGAACATGGGAACATTCAATGTAGTGACATCATGATAGCCACATTCTCAGTGCGCTTATGGTTGTTGTTTGGATGATCTATGTAGATCGCTGACTATGATGTTCACTAACTGGTTGGTTTTAACGTAGAACTCTGCACAGATTTGCGGCAATTCGAGTTGCCACACTCCATGTAGCACACAAACCAAGAGAAGAGAGTAAAGAGAGATTCAAAAGTGAGAGAGAGAGAGAGGTGATAAACAGAAATATGAGGCAAAAAGTATAGTAATATTGAAGGACAATATAATTTTATTGGGTATTATAAGTTATAAAGAGTGAATGCATCTGCGCCCGCCATTGAGAACGATATTGAGCCATATCATCAATTGTCTCCACCCATCGGTTTTTATCATCCAGAGGACCCCAACCAGTCAGCAAGTCTACACCTCCCAACCTGATTGACTTAAACTGTTGTGGATTTCATTGACTGATAAAGCCATGTTTTGGTTTGACCATCACTAGCTCTTCTCCAACCTAATCTTATTTCATATAACATTACCCATCAGTTGACGAAGGCAGTGGCTATGTTATGACGTTAACAATTTGGGGGAGGGTCCACTTCCATACCATCTACTCTCATAGCTTCCTAACACTTTTCGTTTCTTCTGCAATCTGAACAGTCTTGGCAACCTCACACATGGTGCGGCTATTCCATGTTCCTAAGCTTACTTTCGCTTTTATCAAAAGATGATACATCGGTTGACTGAATCTCTGAAGGCTTTCACCACCTGGCATCGTCTTCGATTTCAGTGGGGGAATAAGTTTTTTTCAGTTGCTTGAAGCTTCAGTAGTAATAGGGTTGTTTTAACCGGATGGCATTACAGGCCCCACACCTAACCTTCAGTCTTTTACAGGCTTAGGACCTGCTGATAAACTAAGCGAGTTTGTTAAATCCATAATATGCAACAGTGAAAACATAAATCATCCACACAACTGACTCTATAATTAAAGGCCCACGGACTGAATGGTTTACATTTATTTGTGCGCCTAGTAATTTCATTATTCCTGGTAGTTTAGGCAGCTATAGGTGGGTGCAAGATATTTTGATTCAGAAATCGTCTTTTAATTGATACCATTCAAACTCTACTGTTAAAATGTTCTAGATATCTGGTATAACTTTGGAAAAGTCTCGTCGTGATTTTAGGTAGAATAAACAGCAAATCTTACTGTATCCCTTTGTGTTCTATAAATCATAAGTACGATATATTAAATAGAATTATTCACTTAGTTCAACGGATTCATTTTTTTGTTGTTAACAAAGGTAAAATGTCGAGAAGACGAACGAAATTTTCGGTCGTCTATCGAAAGATTGAAAAACGATTTAGCTGATCTCAATCAACAATTCTCTAAGCTAGATACAGAAGTTCATCTTGTATCTGGAAAGCTGGTTCACTTAGGAGATCAACTTGAAAGGAAAAACTTACCAAGGAAACGAATTGAAGAAGCACGCGACTTAATATTAGAGTTTTATAAATTTTTGGGTCTTGGTGGAGGAACTACCGCTAGTTTTGTAGGCACCCAGTCAGATGAAGCTCAGGTAAGTTATCTCTTTGTACTAGTATTATTAATGCTTCCTTATAATATCATTTAATGCTTATAGGTAGTTGTCTGTTTCAGATTTTGATCGCATAGGAGAATATTACCAACATTTTAATTTATGTTTCCTTGTTGTGAATCAAAGTATATCACTTGTGATGACTACCATACTTCTCAGACTTCTGAAAGCAGTCACTCTAACCCATATTTAACTGAAAGTATAACTCTAAAATTTGGTAAGCAATTCGTTTCTGGTGCAGCATATGTAAGGTAAACTGACTGACTTTATAAGACGTACTGCTAAGTTGGTAAAAAATGCAAAGGATTATGAATGAACTAAAATTCGTGAACACATTTGTTTAATATAATGTCTTTGATTAGGGCAGTAGCATCTATTATGCCGTCACCCCGAGTAAAATCAGTCTTTATCTAACCTCGAAATGCAAATCATGATTCCATCTACTGTAGATTTGTCGTTATGATGGTCTTTTTGTTCTCTTTCTCAAAATAGTTAACATCACTAAACTATGATGAAACAGCTTTCCATTAATCCCTAGGTTTCAGTCAGTCTGTCTGTCTGTTTTCGACATAGAACTTTGCACAAATGTGCGGAAGTTCAAGTCGCCACACTCCGTGTAGCACGCGAAGCAAGAGAAGAAAGTATAAGAAAAGCATAATAGAAACTGTGAGCAGAGGGGTGAGACAAAGGAGGAGTAATAAAGAAAAACAAAACAGTTTCATTGGAGATCATAAGTCACAAGGAGTGGATGCATCTGCGCCACTGAGAACGATTTTGAGCCATGTCACCAATTGTTTCCAACCATAGATTTTTACCGTCCCGAGGACCCCAGCCTGGAAGTCTACACCTTCCTACGTGGCTTAGACCAACTGTTGTGGATTTCATTGACTGGTGCCAAGTTTCAGTGGTTCTCTAACTGATATCAATCCATGGGTAAATTCGAAAAACAAATCTAATCCTCACAAATCATCTCTTGAAAATTAATCTGATGCTCGCTAGAAACTGGCTGCCGGAAGGAGTTTCCTGGAGCTCTAGTGAGAAGTCGTGACCACTGAGGTGCATCCAGTTGTGAGTGGGAATAGATTTCCCGCCGATTGACACTGGTTTGTGGTCTCACTAAAAATCACTGATTGGTGGAAGTTAGGGGTATTGTTATTATTATTAATTTTAAAATCCTTCAAAGTAAAAATTTTGTCTGGAAATTGTAGTATATCAATTTACATTCTTGTTTTTTCATTTCAATCTATAGCTTCTTGAAGCTGCAACCCGTTTCAAAAATTTAAGTTCTTTATGCTTGGAGTTACCGGATGATGAACGCTTTTTAAGTGCTAAACAAAGAGTGACAGGTTAGTTTTCCCTTTCAACCTAACCAGTCTATCCTACTTTCTACTGTAATAAATAATAGTTGCTAGTCAACATTTAGAAACAGCACTGTTGGAAAGATTTCGAGTCAATTTCCTTAAGGGGAATGTTGAAACAATGAAAAGTATTGCAGATGTTCTTCTTCTATCGAAAAGTTATCCTCATTGTGCTGGAATTTTAATTGAAGAAACATTAAAGGTAGGTTTATTTCTCTTTTTATCTTATGAAATACACTTTGGTTAACTGACTTACTGAGTTTCAACATAGGAATATGCAGAGGAGCATAACAGTTCAAGTTGCCATACTTCGTATAGAGTGAACACAAACGTAGAGAAAAAAGATTTGTATAGGGAAAGGAATAATGGGCGGGGAGGGGGTTAATGGATGTAAGAAATCATAAAGAGTGAATACATCTGAGTTCTTGGGAACGATTTTGAGCCGTATCTCCGACAGTCTTGAGGCATTGGTTCTTAGTATCTCGAAGACCCTAATGGGGCGGCCCATATCTCCCTACAAAGCTCAGTTTTATAGTCAAAGACTTCATGAATTGATACCAGATTTCGGTTTGACCGCTCCTAATTTTATGTCAAGTAACATTTCCCAGTGGAGGAGGTAATAGCTTAAACTGCGTAATACGTGTCCTAGTAATCTCAGTTGATACGGCTTCACATCGTCGATTTACTTCCTTCACTACACATAAACCCGATATCACCCACTATATTATACCACTTAACACGCTGGATGGAATGCAAAAACACCTATGGTCGAAGACAGTTAGTCTTCGGGTCTCCTACTTTCAACGGTCGTACCTCATCGGCGTAAAGAACGGTAGAACGAACTGCTGCTCAGCACACACGTCCTTAATCGATAGCCGGATAGCACTTCGATGCAACAGATGAAGTAAGTTGGCAACTGCCACATAGACCTTCTGTATTTGTGCTGAGACTTCGTCAGTAGTATGTCCATTAGGGCTAATGCAACTTCCCAGGTAAGTGAAGTGGTCATTACTCTTTGAACCACTTCCACCCCCCCTATCTTTAAGCTGGGAGTGGTTGTGGATCAGTGCTGCAACATTTACATTTAACTGTGAAAACATTATTACTCGAACACAAGAACAAAGATGAAAATAAGAAACAAACGGAGAAATTAACGTGGGGATAGATATGCAGGTCTCCTAGTAGATACAGTCGCGTCGATAGAGAGTATGTAGTGTGCTTAAAGACTGTAACAAAATGCAGAATCTTTTAAACGCATTGAGTAGAAATCTTGGTATATTTGACATGGGATTCATGTTTGTCAAATGTAAGGTGATGTTGCATGACTGGTCTCCACCGGCTCCAGGTTTAAAGATAGTGGAGTGGAGTGGTTGTTCGTGTTGACTTCACTTAATTGGGAAGTAAGTTGCTTCAGCTCGAATGGAGTTATTACTGAAGAAATCTCAATCTGGATACGAAAGGTGGGCGCAGCATTTACCATCTTATATCATCTCTGACGTAGACATGATATTGGGCTATCAATGAAATGCTATGTGTAGTGCTCAGCATTTCTCTGTCCTTTATGACTGAGAAGTGGCCGTTAAAAGTGAAGGATATGAGGAGGCTAGTTGCCCCTGACTATAAGTTTCCCCTCTTTATCTTCTGTGTTAAACAATATAGTGTAGTGAGTGATATTGAGTGTGGGTAAAGCTTGTTAGGCGAGGATAGTAAGTTAATCGATGAGGTTGTGAAGCTGCATCTATTGAAATGACCAGGATATGAGTTACGCAAACCAAGTCATCGTGTTCCTTGTGGTACGTTGTTAGCTGGCACAGAATTGGGTTGGGAAGAGTTAGAGGTGGTCAAATGAAAAGGTGGCATCAACCCATTCAGTCTTTAGCTGTTGTTTTAAGCCACGTAGGCAGAATTCATATTATGATGTTATTGCACGAGGAATTGTTGTAAACTGATTGATGTTTTTATGTGTTGTTCTACACTGACATGTTTACAGGGTTTTTAGAAACTTCTCTAAATATGTACTGTAACTTTTGTTGACACCTAAAATACTCTCTTATGTGTATTTGTATCATTCAAATGGAATAAGTAATCTTGAGATGTCACAGTATCGTAACTATCAATAGACACAACTACTATCTTTCACCACTCTTGAATCTAGTATACCTCATATCTTGAATATATTATCAGTGTGAAAAGGATACTAGAAATATCCATCTTAAAGGTCTAAATAATGAGAATGGTGAATACATTTCAAATAATAACTACAGTAATGTGAAAGCCCCTGCCTAATATTAATTATAATATACCTACTTGATCATGTGACATTTCTTTTTATTGGCAAGCGGATTGTTGCTCATGTGTTCCTTCACACATACACACACACACTGTATGTAGCCAGTATCACTGTATGTGTTGTTTATCGATCTTTCACAAAATTTCTCAGTACTTGAATTGCATTTTACTGAATCAGTCTAGCATGTATTACACAAATCCTTTACACGTTTACTTATGGCTTAAGAACTTAATTCAGTTTAATTAAGTATTAATTTCAAGGAGTGTTAATGTAAGTGGATCTAATCTGTAACAAAAAGACTCATAAACTTCTGATCTTTTCAGAGGACTTGATTAATTTCAAATTAGATCACGCGCTGACATCAGTATAAAGAGCCATAAGAAAATACCAAGGAGTATTAAATAGCCGTTTCGTCGTAGTTCAAGACCCTTCATCAGTATGCATCCTTGAATTCATCACCAAGGATTGAAGTTAGGACCTTCAGTTTATGAGGTGAGCCCGTTGATCATTTGGCCATTGTGACAGGATCTAATGCTTCATGAATTATAACTTCTGCGAATTCGTGGTATAATGCGTGCTACTGACAACCAGAGGTTGATGATCATCCACAACTTTCTTCAGAGATTTTTGTGGTAATATGCGAATGTAGTACGAATGGCTCCAATAAAAAGGAGTGAAATCCACTGAATAGTCAATGACACTCATAATTCAGTAGCTTTGCATCTGAAGTAATTATTATTTTCGTTTTAAGTCTTGTTAGGAAGCATTCAAATCCATTGAAATGTATGCGTATTCGAACTGACAAGGCCTAATTGCAACTTACCATTACCAGTTATCTCTTACAGAACCAATTCATCTGTGATGATCTGATTTTGCTGTTCGAGGATACCTATGGACTCAATATACATTCACATAGTCTTGTGTGTTGAGTTACTAAGCAAGTCTTGTATAGAAAGGAACCAACAGTTCTCTCTCTCTCTGTGACTACTTAAGCCAAAACAGATGTAGTGTTCACTCGTTGACTACTACATTTTTCAGCATTGGAAGTAATTTATTCAATCTCTTTTTCTTCATTCCTTGAATTTCAAGCTTTTAGTTAGCTAACCTCACACTTAACCTTCTGTTTTTTCCCCGTTAACTTACTGGTTAGTAAACTAGGCGATGTTTCGAGGTGTGTTGGTTGGGAATCGAACCCTGACCACGTGTATGTTTGGAAAGCATTACATCACCCGATCATCGATGCTACATGTATATTATTATTTATTTGTTATTATTATTATTATTTCTGTTAACAGACAATTGATCCAAACACAATTAATTTTAAAGATATCACACAATGTTTGGTTTCTAGTGAAAAGCTTATCATGGCTATCTTTCTACGGCCTGATTCAGTACTTATGCAACTGATGCATAGTATTTTTACAACTAAATTAAAGGTAGGTGAATTCGCCTAATGAAATTATGCTTTATTATGTGTTTAAACTGTGCGTTGAAGTTTCTGCAGTGATTGGATTGATTTTCTAGGTTAGAGTTGCTAGCCCCAGATTGAATCTTCCTTATTTTTCCGGGCTTAAGACCGCCGGCTAGTAAACTAGTTAGTTAGTTAACTGGTAAACTGGGTTCATCAACAAAGGCGTTTCCAACCAGCCGTTTCAGCTACTTTCACTTCACACTGAAAGGATTAGAAACAAGGAACTAGGGCAACAAACTAGCTGAGAACCTATTGCCCATGAAATACACTGGAGAAAGTGCAGATGGATTAGACACACATGTTGAGGAGACCGTTGAATGAAATCACGTGTGCGAGGCCATCCCTTGAGTGGAAGAATGCGAACAGGAAACCACCAGCTGAGCGTCTGTGGGTGGTGACATGAAGGAGATCGTGTGAAATTGAGATGATAGTTTTTACTGGCAATCATGGAGCTAGCTAATGAACACTGTAGGGAAATGGAGATGTGCTATTGGAGCCCTGTATTCCACTCGGAACCGAAGGGAATAATAGTAGACTTTTTCCCCTGGTATTATTTGCATTCGACTTTTCAAACAGAATTGATTTATCTGTAAACATATTATGATTACAAATCAGTTTCACTGCCTAAAACTGGTGATAACTATCATTGGTTAAAAGTTTGTACATCTGTGTTTATTAGAGTAAAGCCTAAGGATTTAATTGCGGAATGTAAATGACAGTTAATCCGTTATTCATTCACCTTGAATTCTAGTGTAAAAATAATTTAGTCTCAGTAGAGTCGAACATGCGTATTTTGCCATGTTTGAATCTCTTCAACTGAATGTAAATGCGTTTCACTAAACGATGCTGTTCCCACTGAGACTTGACTGGCTGTAGAAAACTACTGGGTATTGAGGTTTTAACGCCAAAGATCCAGTTAACTGACTGACTGATTGGTTTCAATGTAGATGTGCAGCAATTCGAGTTGCCACTTTCCATGTAGCACACAAACCAAGAGAAGAGAGTAAAGAGAGATTCAAAAGAGAGAGAGAGAGAGAGGTGAAAAACAGAAATATGAGGCAAAAAGAATAGTAATATGGAAGAACATCATAGTTTTATTGTATATTATAAGTTATAAAGAGTGAATGCATTTGCCCATAGAACCCGACCGATAGCTGCTACGTTGACGTGGTGGTCGGGCTTGCATATCACAATGACCTAACAAGCTACACTGGCTGGAACTAATGTTCTTGCAGGTCCTGTCATACCAGAAAGATTGTTAGGATGGCAGTTACTGGCATAGTGTAAGATGTTTTTCCACTATGCTGGGTATTTGTGGGCAAAGTCGTACTGCTGAGGAATAGGAATGTAACAGCAGTAAGGTGTTTCCCTCAGATGAACAGCATGCCAGCCAGCTATGTTGTTTCTTCACTCTGGAGCGGGTGAGTTGGAAAAGGTCGACCCCCAAAATTGTACATCCCGACTTACTCTGTGGTGGTCCGTAAGTTACCAAACCTAATAGCCAGTTCATACAAGCTGTGTGTGACCGGCCTCAAACAGTTGTCCCCTGGGCTCTGCAGTTACGCAACACTAATTGTACTTCTGTTTCAGGTACCCCAGGAAAGAAAACCAACATCCATACTGTGGGCAGCCGGGAAGTAACAACCGCCCACGCACTTCCAAAAGTACACGAATCCCATAGATCCGATTATTAAGTAGTCCATCCACGAGAAGGCGGATGTAACAGTAAAGCATAGTTAAACTGGTCTCCAGATATTATTCAGCTACTTTTTACTGAACTGCAGCAAGGAAGGTTAATTGACATTGAAGCTATATTGTTTACAGATATGGAAAAAATATAAGCAACCTTAAATAAAGGAGGTTAGTGTGGTGTATGACCGGCCATTTCCAGAAGTACCTAAGGATAGTGATTTAAATTTTTTACCTATCTGAGGTATACAAGGCAGAAAGTGATTTTCTCTGGTCACTGTGAATCAACAATTGCCCCAGTCTTTAAGAAAGAGAAACAATCCTTTCGTGTTAATCACAAAAGAATAAACCTTATCATTGTGTAGTTTCAGAAATCCTAAAGTCTATAATCATGTAATAATAGTTAAGCAACAACAAACTTACAAAAATCGTCATGGTTGCTAGCATGTCAGTCAATTAGGGGATATATGCACGTCTATTGACACCTGACATTAGCTGTATTTTTTTTAACCAAAAGATGTTTTGTGATGTTGTCTTCCGCTAAAATAGACTTCTATCATACTTTCTGTCTTATTAATGTCTCTATTTTACTTTATGCTAATCAATACACTCTGCTCGAATTCACTTTTGTTTGAAAAATAGTCATCTGAAGGGATAATAACCAGTTGTTTTCATTCAGAAAACCTTGTATATCCAGTTTTATTGAAGTATCAAATGCATTGGTTGATGCTTTCATGATCATTTTTGATGACTCAGAGATTTATGGAGCTGTGACTCATTGGTTTAGGGTGCTTGACTTCCAACCAGTGGGTCATAAATTCGAGCTCCGCTCTACCTGCCGAAGTTTGAGCAGTCACTAGCCCTCATAATAGGTTTAAATTATTGCCAACTGCATGGAATTGAGTAACAATTCACTTCTATTCAATTCAGAGATTGACTTGTTACCAGAAGAGTCTCGATGAATTGGATTTTAACAAAATTCAAAGTCTTTTAAACACATTGATATGATTGTGAGCCATAAATTGTGCTTGAAACGTGTATGCGTTATATCATTAAATGAACTTTTCTAATATAAAATACTGAGCAGAAGTCTGTGTATGTTTGGCATGCAGTTCACCTGTTTCAGGCATAAAATGATAGTACATAACTTGTCTACACGAATTTGTAGTTTAAGGATAGAAAGGGAAATGGTTGAGCACGTCGAGTATTTCGCATTTCCTAAGAAGTTGTGATGGATTGATGGCTGGTAAAGTATTAATAAAGATACAAAACGCGCTTGCTTGACTTACGTGATAATGTAAAGTATCCATCCACTTGCAAGTTAAGCGTAGAGTGTACGGCAGGGTTAAGCTAAAGAGTTGACAGGATCAAGTTGAGACAATAATTCATGTTCTCACAGATTATGATTGGTCAAAGTCATCTCTGGGCGAGCATTCTCGGAATATGATTTGCAAGGTTCACTTTTGACTTTGAAACCGTCTGTTTCATATCAATATATATATATATACGTTATGCGAAATTAAAAGGAAGGATAGGTCGTTTTTACACTCTTTCTTACCTAACGTCCTAAGGTTTAAACTATTCTGTGGAATACAGGATGCGTATTTGGATTTACCTGCATCCTCAGTGAGTGATAATGTCCACAGTATGACTTACAATCAACACCTACCATTTCAAACTCCCAAGCGTAATTCATTAGATCAGTGAGACATTTCTTGTCCAAAAAATGCCAGTTGGCATCTAGTATATCCCAAATAACTAAATACCATCAAGTTAACCTTCATACATCGTCTGAGTGTTCGTACAAGCAGCTGATATGTCATAAGAAGTCGAGTATTTGGCTTCCATGTAATTCAGTCGACGTGAAATACTAAATGAAATTTAAACAGGTTATTCTGATCATTCCTTGTTATTTTATACTCCGTTTTTTCTAAATATTTGAAATTTTATGTATATTAATATCTTATCGTTTAACTTAGGTTCATTTGAACAATCACATGAAAGAAGAAGCGAATGCACAAGTATTTTTGACAAATTTATACAATGAATATCGAAAGTAAGCATATAGTAATATTAATAATATCACTGTAAATTTCACTAATCAACATGAGCTGGTGAATCAGTGGAAACTAAAGACCACTGGACAGCTGAATATCAATTTACAGCTCTTTAGTTATTGCGGGATGGATGGGTCTCCTGAGGTTCTAATAAGAAACTGCAGCCAGTCAGGCCTACCACGTTAGAGTAAGGCGGATGCCTGTCGATGAAATTGGTAGCACTTTGTCACGAATTCTTTAGAGTTAGAATTCATGAGTCACTGAATTCCAATCCAGTGGCTGAATAGTGGTCAACGTTTTGTTTTTCCTTCACGTTTCCCAGTGGAACATAGGGCTTCAAGCTAGTGGCCTGAAGTTTCTGTAGCAGTGTTTATTTTACATACCCAACCATTCCTCTTTACCAGCATTATCTCTGGCTTAGCGAGGTAAAGGAGTGAGTCGGCCGGGGATCAAACCCCGGACCGTGTGAATGGTCGACGAGCGTCCTAACCACTATACCACCGTTGTCAACGTGCTCACTTTGTAACCTAAAGGTCCTGAGTTCGATCCTTGGCAATGTGGTCATTGGTGCGCACTGTTAAGAAGTCCCAAACTAGAATGAAGCAGCTGTTCACTACTCCCTGGTGGTTTTCATCAATGGTTATCTAACTGACATTAATCTCTGAACAAATTTGAAACTAATCAATTCTCTACAAATTAACGCAGAATGATAGCAATATCAACAATAAGGAGTTGAAATCATAAGCGGTGCTTCCATAGAAGTAAAGAACCTTGGAAACTTTACATAGAATTCTTAACAGTGCAGAAATAAAATTGGCATCCAACACTGTCTTCATAAACTCGCTTAGAAACAAACTTCGTCGGTTAAAGGATCCTGTGAAGCCCATTAAAGAAAATAGTTTAGTTTATCTAATACCCTGCTTGAATGATTGTCAGGTCAGGTACTTAGGTTAAAGTAGTAGAACAGGGTCATTGAGACTATCAGAGCATAAAAACCTAGCAAAATCTAGTTTAGTTGACCCTAATAAGATAAGAAATCTAGAAAATAACTTATCTATAGCACTACATGCAATTATACACTGCCATATCATAGGAGGGGATAAGATGACAGGCCTACAATCTAATATAAAAGGGTGGAGGGAGAGATTGGTAACGGAGGTCTTATTATATCCGAATCAGCTAAAAATAACTGCAACAGAAATGATTTAACAGCTGTCCACCCAGGCATCTGGAAAATTCTACTACCCCTACGACGAATAGGAAGGAATAAAGAGAACTATAAAACGAAAGTTTTCTAGTTGTATAGTTGTTGTGAACCTGATATACGCTCTTTCCTCGAGGATTCGGAAGATATGCGGCGGGGAAGTGGTTGAAGAAGAACTGTGTAATCGTCGAAAAACCCTGATGGAAAACGGTTTCCCACACAGGTTCATAGACAAGAATCTCAAATCTAAGAAGACTTCCGAACAAGTCAAATCCGTTCCAAAGAAAATACTTCTGCTTAATCTAGAATTCAAAGGTGATATCAAAGTAGAAATCCTTCGCAAACACCTCTCCGAATTGCTGAGGAAAACATACTTCGCCGCCAGCCTACGACTGACGTTTTCCTGCAAGAAACTGTTCAACCAGAACGCGAAAGACAAGCTGTCGCATTGGGCCACCTCAACGTGCGTATACCAGTTTACTTGCTCTTTTGGAGCTGAGTACATTGGCCGTACCATGCGCCGACGTGAAGAACGCGCTCGTGAACACTACCCAGCCTGGGTAGTAAAAGGAGACCAAAAGCATGTATACAGTTCAGTGACAGAACATCTGGTCAATTCAGGACATTCAGTGCCTTTCGAAAAATCCTTCAAAGTAATATACAAGATTCAATCAAACCTATTAAAGGGAGTGTAATCAAGACATCTGAGCATAGCCGAGGCGCTAGCTATCCAAAAGCTCAAACCCACCCTTTGTATCCAAAAGAAATACGTCCAACCCCTGTCCTTGCTATGGTCATCATAAACAAGTAATTTTTTAGTGATGACTATCCTATCGCCTTTCTTATCTAAACTTCCTGTTTGTTCATGTTATTTTAAGTTTATAGTTTATTATTATGTTATCCCCTGTTTACACTACCATATTTTCATACCCAACCTTCGTGTTTATTTTGCCACTTTACTATTTCTACATATTTAATCCCTGATTGCATAAACAATTATTCATCACATTAGTTCTTATCCAAACATCCTGTCTATTTCGTTATTTCTACATTTCTAACCCCTAATTGCACAATGTCAGTCTTCTTAGCTATCATGATGCTACTTTGCTTGTTTTATCCATCCCCATGTTAATTATAGCATTCTAATTCCTAATTTTAATTTTTACTAATTTGACCCTTAACCGGATATTATTCTGGAACTTTCCCATCCATTTGATATAAATACACGAATGTACAGCTAACTAGTTGATGACTTCGTGGAAAAGAAAATTTTCTTCGCTGCAACTGTCTTCTTAATAACCTTCAAGTTAGCTGTTCATGGCCCATGGGGTAGAAGAAAATCGAATGGACTATGAATGGTGATCCTGTTTAGGGTTAATTTAACCTACTAAGTTATGATTCAACATGATTTCATTTAGGCGCAAATTTCTCTTCAACTTTATCCTCCTAATTGATATATAAATTTTCAAGTGTTAGTTGCACTGGATCAGAAATTAGCAGAAGTTAAAATTCATGAACCTTTGGATTGGGTCCTAGTGGCTTAATGGTCTACGAGCTCACCTTGTATATCCAAAAGGTCCTGGGTTCGAACCTCAGTCGGTGCGTACTGTTAAACAGTCCCAAACTAAGACCAAAGAAACAGCTGGCTGTTCAGTACTTTCAGATTATCCAGTTCATAATGAAATCCTGATATAAAGTTTCGTTGTAGAACTAAATTGTGAACTTTTCATATTTCTCATCGATAATCGATATTTTAACACATTATTTATTGTTTTGTTTTTTGTTTTGTTTTCTTCTCAAAATTTAAAGTGTAGAGAAGTTGGTTGTTGAATTATCAAATCAATTAACATTGGTTACAGATCCAATGCAATTGTCTAAATTATTTCGTGAATTATTTTCATCTTATTTAACTGGTTATATGAAAAGAGAATTAGATTGGTTAACTGAACGTTTATCCGGACATCTTGAGCATTATTATCAAAGTCGAAAGCATCAAAAACGTCCACTTAATGTTTCTGGGTAAGAATATAAGAGAATTAATCCGACGGACTTGTTATTATTCTTATCTTATAACTTTTTGAGTCGTGGTAATACGTGCTTTACAATAAATTTAATGCCACTACGGTAAATAATGTTTGTTTGCTAGTTAGTATTGTTATCGTTCATCTCTTGAATTCTGAGTGGAAAATAAGGCTTCAATAGCGCATTATATTTCTGCCTCCGTGACTGTCTAGAAGCTTTCATTTCCTCTTTTTAACGATCTCTTCGTTTCGGTAGGCAGAACAAGTAGTCCTTGTAACGTTTGTCTAACATTTTCAATATGAGATTTTGTAAGACGAATAAGGTTAAAGATATCTGGTTGTAATTTACTGAACTTGTTAACCTTAGGTGTAAAATTATCGTCGAACGTGACACGTTGGAATTTTATGAATTATGTATTAAAAATCATTCCTTCCCGTGGCAATTTTGTATAACTTTGAAATTTAGTAAATTACAACCAAATATCTCTGATCTCTTCGTTGTCACTGTCAGACACGTACCCAAATCGTCGTTCCCCCGTCTAGAAGCTTGACGGAGTGATGTCACTCGAAAGTCTTCGCAGTGCATGCCTACAATCCAACTGCATTTCCTTCTGCATATTTTAAAAGACTAATCAGTGAACAAATCAACTCTTGGAAATTAATCTGATGCTTGTTAGCGACTGGCTACAGGACAGAGTTTCTTGAAATTATAGTGAAACATCGTGATTAGTGAGTTGCATCCATTTGGGAATGAAGATGGAGTTCCCGCCGACGACACATTCGTTGGTGGTTGCGCTAAAATTACGAATTGATAAAAGTTAGAATTCATGGGCCATTGAATCAGATTCCAGTGTTTGAATAGTCTACCTGCCTGCCTTGTAACCGCAAGCTCCTGCGTTCGTACCCTGGTGGTGGTGCGTACTGCCGATGATTCCTAAAGTGGAATTAAATAGCTATTTAGTACTCCCTGGTTTTCAACAGTTCTTTTACTGATATAAATCTGTGGCCAAACCCGAAAAAAGTATTCTTTTTAGTGATTTCTTCATCAGGTTCTACAGTTATATGTTCATAATAATTCAGGAATTTGTGTTGTCGTTATTAACAACAACAACAACAGTGGTTTAAATAACATTGAATCAATGACATCAAAAGATTACAATTCAAAATCATCTGTAAGTGATAATATGCATAAACATAACACTAAAGTGAATATCAGGTAAATTGAGAAAAATAATACAGAATTTATAAGTTGTACAGAAGGCCAGGGCTGCAGTGGTGGCTTGATCCTGTTTCTGCATGTTTGCCGGGTAATAAATTCTTGGTTGGTTCACTGTCTGCCAGTATTCCTTGTTGCTTATCGTTTCTGGTAGGTCATGTGATCTTCAGTATATAGTGAAAGCAACCTGTAAGAAATGCTTTTGATGACGTGTGTACTGATAGTGTACTAAGTCTCTGTATTGGATTGGCATTATTTTTGAAAATTCGGATCTTGTTTATTCTTCAGTAGATCTCCTCACTGATTTCAAATTGATGAACGCTTGTCTTGTTTTCTTGATCATGATTGGCTTTAACATCCTAATCCCTGTGTGGGCGAGTGTGTTTGAAACGATACTGCTTAGGTCAGGTAAGTAAGTGAGGAAAGACACCGCTCCTGTCCGACTTCTTCCAAAGATCATGACTGGTGCTTGTTGTTGCTTATGGGGAGATATCTTTATTGCCTCTGTCTTGTCTGTGGCTGCATGTAGTCTTGTCCAGTTTGCCTTCCCTGCCAAATTGTTGATTTTTGAATTTGTGTAAGATGAGAACATTTTATTCTGCCGGATAAAAGAACGATGAAAGCTTCTCAAATAAATAATTTAGTTCAGACAAGACAACTATATATATATATATATATATAATTATTTAATATTTTTACTTTTAGTCTAGCAGAATTTCGTCGTGATCTTCAAGCCAAGTTTCATATAACTTCAGGCGATCGTTCACAGAATGATTATGAAATATCATTACTATCTGAAGAAGTTGCTGTCAATATCATTGAAGATATTCGACGAGCTGCTAAACGATGTTTATTGGTAAGAATATTATTCTTGATAAATATTAAGCATATTATTTTCATATCACTGTAATTGTAAAATTCTTGTTGTAACAGATTTCAAGATAAAAAGAAATAAGCGTAAATGAGAAGAATACACTAAACTTCATAACAGCTGCTGATCAGTGAGAATTATTCCTGTTGATCTCCACTCAGCATTTAACCTAGGAACTAATATTTAGTTGGTAATTAGTCACTTGGTTCCTGAAAAAGACGTGGTACAGTCGGGGGTAGGTAGACTTCGGGTTTCTTCTAGAAATCCTCTCATGTGGTCACGTGTCCATAGCCTCTGCTAGGTCTGTCTGTCTGTTTTCGACATAGAACTTTGCACAAATGTGCGGAAGTTCAAGTCGCCACATTCCGTGTAGCACGCGAAGCAAGAGAAGGTAAGTCCTATTTGCTGTTTTCACTCGGTGTGGCTGTTCCTCACAAAATTGGAAGGGCGAATGCGGCTATCTGGTGCTTACAACCACTCTACCCAGTGGGCATATGAAAGTCCACCTAGTTGTGTCGGGAAACCCTGACCCCAAACTTACGGTGTACATAGGTTCGAAAATCCTCAAGGGATCGAATTATGCATGAACTTGTTTTGTTCAATGGTGACTGTGTAAACGCAGGTGTTGACTCTACTCTGTTGCCTTGTGGGAGCAAGGGCCTGAAGGTGACCCGTTAAGACAAGCACCTACTTTGGTCTGGGCATCCCTAACAGCATCCGAACCCTAGCACAGACTATGAGGCTTTGTGTGGTGCATCTCTTGTGTTGCCCATAATGTACCAAGTTTTTGTTTTAATAGTAGTAATAATAACACGCAGTCACAGACTATGATAACAATACTACCCAGTTGTCCAGACTGAAGCAAGGGATACGAGATTCGAGTATGGGCTATTACTTCTGAAAAAATTTAAATTTACTTTTTTGAGATATCGACACTGTTCTCAACCAACAGTGGAATTAGACAGGGATGCCCAGTCTCTCCATTTCTCTTTAACTTTGCTTATTGATGACATTGTTAGGACAGCTCCGAAGGAGGTGACTGGTGGTGGCGTAGTTCTACATCTTAGAGAAAGACTCTTCTACCTCAAGTATGCAGACAATATCTTCTTACCTTGAGACAACATGCTGGCTGCGTAAATCAATTGGTGATCAGTGTCTATGAGTGTGGTAGGTTGTTTTCCGCCCTCGAAGTGCAAAGTGCTGTTGCAAGATTGACAGGAGCATGGACCTGCACTCACCCTTGCAGGTGAACCACTTGAAGTTGTCGACAAGTTCGTTTATCTAGGTAGTTGTATGAGTAGTGGTGGGAATGTGACGGGCGGAATCTCTAACCGTATAGTGAAAGCTACAGTGGCATACGCCGATTTGTGAACCTCTGGGGACGTCAGTCTGGCTATCAAAGGTTGGGTTTACAATGCTTCAGTGCGCGCCATCTTCATTGGCTTGGACATGGGCTGCGAATGCCATCCCAGAGGCCCTCATCCTGCTCGCTAGCCCTGGGACTAGGTGTAGAAAGCGGCTAGATGGTCACCCATAACCTGATGCTATGAAATGAAGGATATCTGTTTTAGGTCAGCACCAGTTGGTGCATTACAACTCCCTGGTTTGCGTCGGAGAGATAATTTGAATCACTGGCTCAAGACATTATCAAATATGGTCAACAGTTACAGTGAATAGCGAACATGTTGCAATTTCCTCCTTTCTTCCCTTTCTGAAAGAAATATGAAGTAATGAATGATCTTGACAATTATTCTTGCTTGCTTTCTGGATGACCTCCAACATCCATTCTTCCCCTACTTTCCTCGTGCATTGTTGTGTGGCGCATCTCTTGGTGCCTATAATGTACCAAGTTCGTGTGTACTTTAATAGTTTTAATAAGTTTACTTATGAGGTTGATACACCAGAATAATGAGTAGATACAACGGTTTTTCTTTTCATTATTAGTGGGTTTTTTTGCTACGTTTCTAATTGCATGCATTTTTCCCCAATAATCTACAGCTATCGCAACGTACTGCTATCCCAGAGAATGGTAAATGTATATTCAATTGTTTGTATCAATATCTGATCGATGAACATGTTGATTATGGAGTTACTTTAGCCTTACACGGTAAGTTAGTTGTGCAATACATATTGAGGAGTGTGAATTACTTGGGCAAATTGTAAGTGGTGACTAGCAATAGAATCTAGTGCTCACACGTTCACCTTACTTGAGAGTTATCATTTGATGTGATTGATCGATGAGGATACTACCGAAACTCTATATTGGTTAGTGTAACCGGCATTAATGATGATGATGATGAATGCCTGAAGGCAGTAAACAATTCGTCCGAAAATCGAATACCAATACCCCAAGAGCCCACATAGACAAGGGCAGAAGGCAGACTGGTCCGAGCTCGTGAGAATAGTCGATCTTTATTATACAAAAATACATTACATACAGGTGTTACAGACCTCAGAAAGTTAAGCCAATATAACTAACTAATTAGATTGGTAGCATGAGTTCCGGCTTCAAGATTGTTCAATCGCACTATAATTAAACAGTCTACCTCTGTTCTATGCTTTAAATCTATCCAGACGGGTTTTAGTTGCTTTCGACCCGTTTCAGCCGGGTTTTTTTAAAAATCATCCTTTGTGTGACGAATACCGGTTTTACTATTATATTGAACTTGTAATTTATTGTTTTGATTATAGCTTGATTTCACACAGTACTTTTGGTACAAGCATGGAATTTTCAGCATGTGATATCGGTAGCCCGAATTTCGCAGGCCGACCATTGATATCAGGTGTGCGTTGGCTGGGGATCGAATTCCAGACCATGTGCATGGTTGGCGAGAGTCCTAACAGCTGTGCCACCGACACTTGACCAAGTATTTATGAGTACTTTTGAACACTAAATGAACATTGTGTTGGTTAACAATGTTTCTCATTTATATTTCTCCCATCTAACGACTTTCTCCATCCTTCAAATCTCAATCAGAAAAGCAAACGAAACAGTGTGATATCATGTACTACTGGTTAACTGATGTGAATTTAGTGGTTGGCAACCACTTCTGATATTTGCATTACTTTAATCTAGCTAGCCGACGGTAAGCGTGCTTTCCAACTAATCAAATCAATCAGTCTGTCTATCTATCGATCACCAGTACATGGTATCACGCTTTCTTAATTGCCATTTACCGTATCAAGTAAGTCATACGCGCACATAGTCTGGCCTGAATATTTTCGGTTTCCCGAGGAAACTGTAATGATTTCTTACTTCAGACTCTGTAATTAACAAAATGATAAATTCTGTTTCCCTATATCCTTTTGTTACCGTTACTAATTCCTGTTTATATTTGACGGTTTTTCAGCGTATTTCATCATAAGTGCAGCAAGTTCTCGAAAGCTGAACCTATGCATAAGTATGTGCGTCGGTGGCACTGTGGTAAAATGTTTGCCGACCACCTAGGTCGTTCGGGGTTCGATACCCAGTCGACGAATTCCTCTACCTCGCTAAGCTAGTAATAAGACTGGTAAAGAGGGAATGTTGGGCATGAGGCTAGCAACCCAATCGTGTAAAAATAAATACCACTGCTACAGAGACTTCAAAGCTCTAGCTTGACGCCGTATATTCCACTGGGAACTTAAGGGAATAAAATACAAACAATATACACAGGCATTCTTTATCATCTGATTCCATCGAATTTACATTCTAATTTTGGCGCATGAATGTGTACTTCAATTGAGAAAAGACACATTTATAAAGAACTTTTATTGCTTGAGATGAAAGAATCAGTCAAGAGCATGGAAATAATTATTTATATATACATATCTCGTCATCATACACATAATTTTCCGGGAACAGGACCATCAGCTTTGATTGACAGTATAGCTGAGTGTTAGAAAACCTATTCTACTTGGATGCTTTAGTCTTGTGTACATCCCTGATTGTGTAATATGATATTTAATTATCTTTTCAACGAATCATTTTCATGAGCTGTACAATCGTATTTTGTATTTAACGAAGAATTCATAAAAGCAGTCAGATGCTAGTAACTTTATTCTGGAAAATGTATTGCATAATGTTGATATCTGGATATCACATTCTTCATCAAAAAACAGCTAATCCAGTCATGCGTTAATGACAAGATACCACTTTGGTCAAACCGAGGAAAATAAATTAAAGTATCTTCCCTGTTACTCACGCCTTCTTTTGTTTCTTTTTTTTTCAATATTTAATTACGTTTTCTACATTTAAATGTATTCTTTTTTAGGTCTACAAATAACTGATCCTCGACACAGTAATCCAAATTTGGTCTTCTTTTCAGTTATTCATGAAGCTACATCTATTTTTCACTTTTTTGAGAAAACAGTTGATGAGTCAATCTTACCATTGGTTATGTAAGTATATTAACCCCCCCCCCCCATCCCACTCACTTAAAAGGTATTTGCCTTTTCTTAGAGACACAGGTCGGTTTTATCGACTCTACAGATGATGATGGTATTTTATAGCTATCAAATTTAAACATCTTTTTAAAACAGTGATAATTGTTAGTTAAACATATGTATGCATCACTGGTTTAATGTTAATGCGCCTGCGTCCTCAGTGAATGGTTGATGTCCACGTTGAGAGTCGAACGCAAACATCAAAACGTTATTCACTGGGCTACAAGATTCATCCCTTTTGCAACGAGTATTAGTTGTTTGTGTTTTTCTATATTTCCTGTTGGTTGGTTTATATTGGTCTAAAATCTTCGGTCTCTGTTGATATGTCACCTAGTACGGACGCTACATTTGCCTTCATGATCTCAGTGTAAGCTTTGTCAATGGATGTGGCAGTTACATTTAAGGTATAGAATTAGTCGTATGAAATGGGATGTGTTAAGATTCTCCCTACGCTTTGGCGAATAACTATGGTGACTGGCTTACTAACTTCCTCAGTAAGACCACTCTAGATGTGATGAATTTAACCACTAGAAGGTGAAAACTGGAATCATGAGTCCAGATGATATCTTACTGGAAATATACTGAGTATAATCCACGATTTATTTTTTTAAACTTCAAGTTATACCCGTGATATAAAAGTGAGAGTATTATCTGACAATCACAATGGTTTGTCGCTCTCGTTCCTAGTAGAAAATAGGGCTTCAAGTTTTCGAAGTTCACGTAGCCATAGTGTTGATTTTACTGGGTGTGGTCGCTAGCTTCACTCCCGACCTCCCCTACTTCCCTCGCTAGGGGACACTGTACAGTCCCCTTTAGCTGGCCACATGATTGCCTATAAGCCTTCATCTGTTCTTCACACGATCTCCTCCATGTCACCCTCGGAAACCCAACTCTTTTTTTCCATTCGAGTTCCACTGAAGAGCCTGGCACATGATGCCCCTCAACGGTATTTTCAGGTTATACCCAATTCATCTCCATTATCTTCCACATATTCACTGAATCAACCATAAGTTCTTGGTTAGTTGGTTTCCATAGTTCCTTGTTTTCAATCCTTTTTGGACATTTGACCTTCAGTATGGAGCGAAAGCAACCGATGACGAAAGTCTGAGGCAGGCAGTTGGAAGTGCTTTTCCTGACGCACCAAGTCTGTGAACTATGTAGAAGTGATGTGGCATTAGTGTTGAAGACCCAAATCTTGTTTCTTAACATCTGTGCAGTAAGTTTCCGTATCGATTTCCGAGTAATGAATGCCTGTCTTGCTTTCCTAATCCGATCCTGCCTTTTATACTCCCAGCCGGGCCGCCTGAAGTTGGAACGATGCTACCCAAATAACTGGGGGAAGTAACCTCGTTCGAATTTCCCCGGCTGGTGGTTATGGGTGCGTGTTGTTGGTTAGTTATCTTCATCACCTCCGCCTCCTCTATGATCCCTTGAAGTCCTGTCTTTTCTGCTTACTCTGCCGGTTTTTTGGTTTTCGCCTGTGGATCTTCGAGTTTGTGTTAACTTAGATATAAATTATCCACGAAACCCGAATCTTCTAGAGTGTCTTCTTATCAGTTCAGCGTATTCTTGTTGTTTTATTTTTTTGATTACAGCTTGATTCCATACCATATTTTTGGTACAGGTATGGAATTTTCAGCATATGATATCGAGAGCCCAAATTTTGCAGGCCAATCATAGATACCAGGTGTGCGTCGGCAGGAGATCGAACCCCGAATCGTGTGCATGGTCGACGAGGGTCTTAACGGCTGTGCCACCGACGCACAGGAATATCATCGGTGGTAGCAGGCAGCCTTGCTTTACTTCTCTTTCCATTTTAAAGGTTCCACTTAGGTTTCTGTTTTGAAGGTTCAACGAAGCTTTAATTAGCTAGTCTTATTTAGTCCGAAAACACTAGTTGATAAATATAGTTCAGCAATGATTATTATTATCACATGGGATATTATTTATTAATTTATAATTAGTATTATTAAATTTCAGAGCAAATCCAACTTTTGCAAATGAAATATCAACTAAACGTGAAGAATTTAAACAATATCTAGAAGGCAAATTTTGTACTGGTTTAGAAAAATGTTTAAATCTCTCTGTTACACGAATTCAATATTTATTATCCAGTGAACAACGTAAAACAGATTTTCGTCCAGATACAAATGTCAATTCAGGTTTAAGTGCTGTTGGAAATCCACCGTCGATTGTAAGTTGTTTCATTTTTACAACAGTTTGAAAGAGAGACTTCCTTGGCATGTAGGTAGTGAAGACGTTTTTACTCTGTTTCTTGTAAAGAATAACTACTGAACTTTGTGTACGTAAAAGTTTCCGTTGGTAGGGATTCAATCAATGTCAAGTATGATCACGAATTGATATCAGTCAGGGAACCGTTGAAAATTACGAAGGAGAACACTGGACAACTGTTTCATCCTAATTGGAGGCTTCTCATCAGCACTATTCCATAACCTCACCATCGAGGATTGAGTTTGGTACCTTTATGTTACGAGGCAATTGCTATTATTAATATATCCTTTAATTCCTAGAGGAACATAGGGCTTCAGCCGCGCGTCTCCATTGCGTTCGGTTTTCTGCCAACTTTTTCACTCCGCTTCAAGTCTGCCCACATGCTTTCATCTCCTCTTCACATGACCCCCTCCAAGTCACCCTCGCACTGACGACCAACTCGCCGCTTCCCTTTAGGGTTCCACTCGAGGGCTTGTCTAGTGATGTCACTTGATGGTTTCCTCAGCGTATGGCAAGCTTATGGGCTATTCAGCCACTGGGACGAAATCCAATGGCTGACGCATGAATTCTAGCTTCTGTCAGTTGACGTTGTTTTTGTTGTAAACTATAATTTCGGATTAAAGGATAGTTCAAATTGAACGTCTGTAGCTACTAGATAAAGAAATTTTGTGGTCATCCTTATATACTACTAAAATGAAGTGGTTGATCTGTTGACATGTACTCACTCCTAGCTATTATATATAATTGTTTATTTGAATTCAATTCCTGAGGATAGATTTGTCATGTACCAGGTTATTAGCTACACTTATTGTGTGATGGTTAATGATTCCATCGAGTCTTTTAGGTTTGGGAAGGAGTCGGATCAAGAATACTTAAGCCTGTAAGTTATCTATGACTTTCGCAGGATCTAATGACATTAGGTGGTGGTTTGTTCCGATAAGTCAACTTCCATCCCATATCTTTTTGATTGTTTATATGACAATTTCACCCTCCATCTTTAAGAACTTCTTAAGTTTGAAATCGACCTGACTTATCAAGGTTTGGATAGCAAAATTAATAACTATGAGTAACCGTCGTTATGATGAAATAATCGAATAACTTGTTTGTTATTCTTCATATGCATGAATAAAATGCTCACGGTTAAAATGATATTTGTAGTTAATCTGCCAGAACTACAATGCTAATTGATTTATTGCTACGCAATAGGGTGATGTTTGTCAAAGACATGATGCTTACAAGGCTTTATGTGTCCTTTACCTTGTCCTAAGTTGTCATAAGCTAAACTGCTTTGCACTAAATCATATAGAATCAGACCATGAATATACTTTTTACGCTATAAAGGCAGTCAGTAAAAAATAGAATGAAAGTAATATCATGCAATGTAAGAAAAATAAGAGAAGATATATTCATGTTTCTGTTAAATGTAAGATATGTGACTACTAATTAACTGACTGGTATCAGTAGCGGGATACCACTCTCACATCAATCATTGATGAGTACCTAAACACGGGACAACCGTTTCTCGTCCCGCTTTGTTGTAGTCCAGCTCGTCAGCGGCCTGCCCGGTGTGATTGATTTCAACCTACTTGGATTCCGGTTCAACGGAATCGCGAATTCGATTCCATATATTACCAGTTCACCCAAATGGCTCTCTGAGCTGAGTTAAAACCGGGTGCCCTACTGACAACTTCAGCCTCAAACGGACGAAACGGCCCAAGTGTTATTTAAATGACTTCGCTATGACTAACAAGCACCAGTGGCGTTGGTATGAGTGGTAGTACATAGTCTCGTGGATTTGTACTTACTATCTTGATTGGCATTTATGATATTAAACAGACCACACACATGTTGTAATCTGAATAACTTCGGCTTCGAATCGAAACTGTGATGAAATCTCACCCAGTTGAACTATAATAGGAATTTGCAAATAAGATTCTGTAAGACAAATGATCCCAGAGAAAAGCCCCAACATTATGTGTAAACTAACATTTTACTATTATTAATGTTCTACAGTTTAAATTAAACATAAAAGTTTCAGCTGTCCGAATGTATGACTGGTACTTTAATCACTTTTTTAAAAGGCATGTCAACATGTGGTAGGCTTTTTAAATCAAGTCAATCGTGAAGCTCATCAACACTTAGATGGTCAAAATTTGAAAACATTTTTACACGAATTTGGTATGAAATTAAATCGTACACTGGTTGATCACTTTTACAATTTTACTTTCTCGGATACAGGTAAGTAGAACTCAGTTTGCACGAAAGCAATCATTATAATTCTGCTAACCAATAAATTTTCAAGCATTTTTTAAAAAATTTTAAGTTAGATCGTAAACTGACACCAGTTAGAGAACTACTGAAAACTAAGGAGTATCAGGTAGATAAATGTTTCATTCCAGTTTGGGACTCCATTAGTACGAACAAATGTCCCCTCCGAAAATCGAAGCCATAATCTTCGTGTTATGGGGCTAGTCTGTTAATTCAATGCTTTATAAATCCTGACTTGATCAATTCGCTACTGCCAGCCAGTCACAATAAACTTGATGGATTTTACTGATTACGACTTTCCGCAAGGACTCCAGGGAACTTCATCCATCGTATAATCAATCAGTACTGTTCATTAATGACTGGATGTGTACTCCTGAAGAGGAACAAGCACTGTTTAGATTTTTTTCAACGACAAGGGAATCGGCAATCTTTGTTGGAATAAAGACTAAGGGAAGAAAGGTATAATTTATTCAGATTGGAAAACACTAAGAACTACGCACATCGATGCGTAATCCGATCGAGTACGACGCGTCTAACTCACTAATATAACTAGAGTTGACAGAAACAGTGCATCCAAATCTCATTTAGTTTACGAAAAAGTAGACGAATGTAAATGAAGATGAACTATAGCAAGCACTGAAGACCTTGACAGTAATCTTCAGCTAAGGCCTATGAATCCCATTTATCTATCTTTTAGAGTTAAGGTTAGATTTAAGTCACGAGTTGGGTTTAGGTTAGGTTTAACAGTTACGGTAAACGCAGAATTGTTCCTCTTATCAACAAACTCCAGGAATGTGATGCACATCAGCTGGTATCTTACAGGTTTGCTGAAATTGTTAAACTCCCTAATTGATGCGTGTTTTTTACCTGTATAAGAGAACAGTACTACTATATTATAGTTCTCTATAAACCTAATTTACTTGGTATCATATGGATGACGTTTGGAATACAATTTCTCTCTCGTAATATTGCTGTATAAAGAAGACGTTATATGAGATTTTTAGTGAGGTTGGAGTTAGTGTGGCATTTAAACCAGTCGACTCACTCAGAGACAACTTTAGTCGGCTTAAGGACTCGATAGACCCAATTAAGGAAGTAATATAATTTACTAAACACCAGGCAATGACTTTTAGATTAATTACATAGCTTAAACTAGTATGTTGGGGTCGTTTATATTATCGGAACATAGAAGTTCAGCTAAATTTAGAATGATTGACCCTGGTAAGTCAAATAGCCTAGAGGGAAAACTCTGTCATTGCAATGAATTCACTTGCATGCAATGACACATTAGAGTGGGATAGTATTAAAAAGTAATATAGTTAGGTGATGAGAAAGGATAAACACCAGATCTTTGTTCATCAAATCAACACCAAACACATGTAATCGAGATGACGCAACCCCTACACCCGGATATATGGATACATATGATTGTGAGCGGTAAATTGTGCTCGAAATGTCATCCAGTTATTAATACTGTATTACTGTGAATGTCGCGATGATGTCCAGCGAGATACATTGGCTGAAAGTTACGTTCCTGCAGGTTCTTCTTTTCCAGAAGGTCGTTTGGATAGTGGTTAAACTAAAAGCACTTACCATCATACTATATGTAAATCGTGTGTACTGTATCGGGAATCCGTGGACACAGTCTTATTGCTGGCGAATAGGGATGTGACAACAAGTGTTTCCCTCAAACAAACAACAAGCCATCTATGTTGTCTTCCCGTTCTAGAGAGGGGGGCTCAGAAAAAGTCAACCCTAAAAACCGTACAGTCAACCTAACTTGAGGCGGTAAGATCTTATTAGTGGGGGCAGAACTTCAAAGGCCGCTTCAGACAGACTGTGTGCGCCCGGCCTAAAAAGCAGCTGACCTATGGGCTCTTCTATCACGTAACACTAACGCTGTTTTTGTTCCAGGTACTCCAAGAAGAAATTAACACCCACGATGCGAGCAGCCGGAATGTAATAACCTAGCCCATAATATGTCTAAATATTGTATTTTACAGAAATTTAAAGCACTATCATCACTTTTTCAGGACACTTCATATTGATTGGTCATCATCTTTAATATGTTGTTTGTCATGAAATATCGATCTAAAGTGATTATTACAAAACTGTTTGCATTATGGGAAACTCTCAATAGGTATAAATTTACTATTTGTCTTTTTTCTCACAGCATATTACTTACTACATGAATGACAGTCTTACGTGTCCATATTCTTCATTATACTCTCTTAAATTGATATTTTCAATTAAATTGGTATTTTTCATTATGTATATTCATTTTTAGGTGGATTTATTGCAATGCAAGATGTGACAGCCTATCGAGAAGTTGCAAAACATTTTGAAAGTCCAACAGTTGATCTAGTTTTTGATGTGCTATTAAAGTTAATGAATTTGATGTTAATTAAACCGGAAAATGTACAACAAGTTGTCCAAGATTATCTGCAATCTGGAATACCAAAGGACTTATTAATGAATTTTATTCAACTTCGAACTGATTACAAGTCAGCTAAATTACAAAATGTGATACAATTGAAACCAAAAAAATAATAAACTTTTTACAGTTGCCTATTTGCTTGTTTGTTTTCTACCCGTTATTCTGGCTAATTTTGTCTACCCTAACAACAATTTGTTCTTTTCACATATTCCATAATTTCTTCTTTACTTGCACCGTTTTTATACATTTCAGTGATTTTTTGTAAATATCTTTGTTCGAATAAAATTTCAGGTGTCAATGGTCCTTCTCCAACTTCTTTTGATCGCCATGACACATAAGGCTTCAACTCAGACTTTTCTAGGTCGTTGGGTACAATAAAGTCTAAATACATTTCAGGGAATTCAATTTTCTGTCCATCAATTTCCATGCTTGTTATAGGTTCTCTGTAAACAAAAATGAATTTAAAATTAGGTAGTTTAGAAAAACAAACTTGGGAATCCAAGGATTTCTAGAACGAGCTCTGCTCTTTTTTAAATCTAGCATCCAATGATATCTTGTTTTATAGGCAATCTTTTGTCTAAATCCTAAACCTCCCGTCGATACGTTGAATGTTCTTATTTGTTGTTGGCTGATGAAAGGAAGTATAGAATTTGAAGTCAGTCTGGCTAACTGCATTTTTGGGATTGACATTAGCGAATCTATAAAATTTGAAATATATTTATTAATTCAAAAAGATGGTTGATATCAGTAATTCGTTCAAATGAAAACTGAGTTTGACGATGAATTAATAACAGTTGATTGACTGTCTGGTTTCAACGTAGAACTCTGCACAGATGTGCAGCAGTTTGAGTCGCCACACTTCACTTAGCACACAAAGTGAGAGAAGAAAGTAAAAAGAAATGCAAAACATAGATATGAGGCAAAAATAATAGTAATATCGAGGAACCATATAGTTTTATTGGATATTATGAGTCACTGAGAGTGCATAGATCTGCGCCAGCCATTGAAAATGATTTAGAGCCATACCACCAGTAGTCCACAGCCAGTGGTTTTTACCGTCCCGACGACCCCAACCAAGAAGTCTGTACCTTCCTACGTGGCTTAAACTAACTGTTGTGGAGTTGATTGACTGTTGAAGCCATGTTTTGGTCTGACCACCACTAGCTCTCTTCCAACCTAATCCATCCTATGTCAGCTAACATTACCCGTGAGTGGAAGATGGTGATGGCTAGGCAGGCATACGTAAACGTGTGCCCTAGCCATGTCAATAGATGTCTTCACAACCTCTTCGATAGATTTTCCCTCCTTACCTAGTGCTCCACGCCTAACCTCAATATCGCTCACCTTATTATAACAACAGTTAGAGAAACATTGAAAACCAGGAAGTACTGGAAAGCTGTTACGTTTTTAATGGTTTTTTAACTGATATGAATCCGTGGTAAGACTTCAAAAACAAGTCAAATCTTGAAGAAAGTGAGTTCTTAGGCAGTAAACAATACAATTAGGTGAAGACATTGACAAAATTCAATCTTCTGCTTAGACCTTATTTTTCATTCGAACATTTCCACTAACCATTAAATTATCCCCTGTACCATAACAAGTTGTGGCACATCATTTTTCTCTTTTATGAACTAGCTGGCCCTACTTACTGTGGAAGTGTAAAATATGGTCACCTAGTACAGAAAATTTGAAACGATTGCAGATTACCTAGAATCACATATTAAGTAGTATTAGTAGTAGACTAAAGTGTTGAATAAGCTAACTAATCGAACAGGTTGTGAATTTTCCCCGAGTGAGGTGGTTACCATATGTGTTAAACTTGTGAATTTATCGCTTTCCTGTGTAAAGAGTCTTAGATGACAAAGGAGGAGAGTTACACATGTATCCATACTAAAACATGGTATCAGTCTCTAATGTCATTTTCAGCCAGTATTACGTAGAAGAGTTAAAGTTACGTAATTCATGAATCACTTTAAGTGAGACGGCTGACAATCGTTCACAATGGTGCGTATGTATTTACACTCTTTATTGTCTTCGAAATTCTGAATACTCTTTCTTGTTTGGTACTTGTTTCTGTCCATTGTATCACTGTGCTAGATATTCTCTTCTCTTTGCATGCTGTTTTAAAGTGCGAGAGTTTGAACTAATGTACATCCACTTAGAGTTTCCTATTGATCTCTTCTACAGCAAATGTGGTAAATAACCTAAACCTATGTTGTGCTTTATGTCCACCAGAAATCTATACACTCTAATATTCTTTAGCCAATATAGGGTAAAGAAAATGATTAGACAATAGAACATAGGTCTTAATTGAAAGGTGGTGGATTGCTATTCATACAAAGTCCGTTCAATTTGTTATACTGGTAATATTTAAAATGAACCAATGCGTTGCTTATCTGTCTGACGCGAACTAGTGGTCTGCGGATTTATGGATCACTGCCTAAACTTGATCTCAACACGTTTTTAGCCCAGTTTTGCTATACAGTCCTCGATTGAAAATAGAAGCTCTTCTTTTAAGCAGTCATCGCTGGAAATTCTCCTGGTACAGTGGGCCTGTGAGATGAGAGCTCGCTTAGAACTGATAGGTATCCAGCTGCAGAAAGTTGTCAGTTGACCATTCCATGTTGGTTTTCTGTGGATAGATCTTTCCAGAGTTCCGTCATATCTTCTTGTCAACGCGACGTCCAGGAATGGAGTCTTTGATTGGTTTTCAACTTCCATTGTGAATTTAATTGGAGGATTGTAATTATTAAACTCCTGCAAGACACAATTTAAATCAGAATCATCCGGACAAACTACAAAAGTGTCATCGACGTGCCATTTGTTCAGCAGCAATTTGTTCATTGTTGATTTTAAGATCCCATTCTCCAGACTGGCCATGATGCAGTCGGCCTAAAGGAGGCCAAGGGGAGAGCTCATGGTAATCCCGTCTTTCTGTCTGTAGATTACGTCTTTGAATATAAATATTACGTTAAGTGTACACCTTAGTAGCAACTCTTTCAGATGAGTGGTTGGTATTCCGGTATTTACATTCTTATCGTCCATATGTTCATACATTCAAACTTTCATATCAAGTTAAAATCTGTTTTGACCCCTAGTCATCTTCGCTGCTACGTGGAACTAAACAAATAACAATTGTATCTATGTAAGCTTATGCATATAAATGCGATTTTACAGCTTTTGAGAATGAAATCGCCGGAAGGATATATTTGGTGAACTTCTTTTTCTTTTCCCTCTAATGTATCATAGGACTTTGCTTCTTTGTCTTATGCAGGACCAGAGCTTCCGTAACCTCGACTACACTGCATTCCGGATAGGTTGGGATAGTGGGTGACTGTTAGGCAGTACTAGATAACGTCACATTTGTCTATTAAGAGTTCTCGGAGATCACAATTTACAATATTAACAGTGGGCTGTCACCCGAATAAGTTAAAAATACTCAGGGTTCTCTCCTAAGGTCTTTTTCTCCAAACGAATCAGACAAACAACGGACAGATTGTTGTACCAGCCCTTCTTGTATGTGTTGAGGTTGCGAAACGAAAAAAGTTATTCAGCAAGCAAAATGTATTGCTTAATGTCAGATTGGGTTTCCGGTGTCGGACTAGATAGTGTTTAAAAGATCTACTTTCAACAAAACTCTATTAAATAGCAGAGTGACAGATGTTGAAAGAATGGGGAGTAGAATCACTTACGTTCGACAAAAACAGTTCGTTTGATAAAAAAAATATAGATTACAGTTAAGTTTATTCCATAACCAATGATTGTTGGCCATTAGATTGATCTTGACATTTTAAATCATTCCATCAGAACGTTAACGCATTTGAGTGAGATGGTTATGCGAGTTTCATTTTATAATACAACAAGCTTGTATATCAAAGTGACTGTAGAAAGGCACTTATATTAGATATGGGGAAGTCAAACTAAATAATTCATATTTGAATTCCCGAAAAGGTTCTCTTTTACCTAAGAATTTTCCACATGACATAAAATGAGACTCACTGGAAACTTCCAAAATTTTGGATCGCCACATATCTGTCAGAAACTTGCCTGACAGAGATGCGCATTTGATGATATATATTATCTAGTATTAGATGGTCGGAGGCGACAGGCAGGAAGCCTTGGACCTAGAATGGTGACCACGTCTCAAACCTGACCGATAGAATTCAGTCTGCACCAAAGAAAGGATTAGACAAACCACACTAGTAACTAGTGCATATCTCGAGGTATGCACTTTTAAGCTATGTGCCCCCGAATACGTAGGCACACGGAATGCAATTTAACCTATTTTGTACAAAATGTGGCTTAAATGATTCCTGAAGACTGGTTAACTAAAAAATTACAAAAGGACAAACTGTGGCGGATATCATCGGCTTTTATGATGTACCGTTCTTATTTGAAACGGCACTCAAGGTGAATATCCAACACGTTTCAATATCCAATATCCTGATTACGAGCTAGTATAAACCAATGATTTCTTCGAGCTCACTTCTTGATTGTAAGGAAGAGGTTACAGATCTTCGGTGAAATCCTGTGTAGTAAGTCCCGCCACTCGACTGCTTTAGCTCTGGTAGACTCCAAGAGGAGTGGTGCGGGGATTGGTCAAAATGTGGTTTGTAGTATGCAGTATGCTAGGACTGAGTTGCTGCTGTGAATGGAGTTTGACCTAACTACCGTTGGTCACTCGGTGTAGTCATAAAAGCAGAATAGTAATAATAATAGGTTGTAGTGTAGATAATATAGGTTGAGATAAGTGAAATAATAAAGGTGACCTAAGGAAAAGATAGAGTTGTCGGTACAGTGAGAGAAGGCAAAACAGGTCGTGGGGATTTAGTTTGTATGCTTATCCATTGACAGTGTGGTTTTAAGTTTTATGAGGATAAGCCATTGGGACACAAACCTTGCATTTCTGCATGATTGTCCAGCTTCCGCTAAAATATCTCCAGAGATGGCACAGTAGTCATGGCCGCCGGTAAAGCGTTCCAGAGACGGCAAATTCGAAGAGAGAAGAAGTGTGAATGCACTCGAGTCTTTGGTCTCTGGTGTGCTATCCTTAGCGGGTTACCTCGTGGAAGCCTATAATCACTTAATGACAGGATGCTTTTATTTGGGTGGTCCTGGTCATTTAAGATCTTGTAGACGGTGATGAGGTCTGCCCTGAACCTGCGGTAACTAAGTATGAAAAGATTTAATTTCTTCAGTCTTTCCTCGTATGATTTGTTGCGGAGGCCGATCACCCATTTTGTCGCTTGTCTCTGGACACTTTTTAGAATGTTAGCATCCCTTTTGAGTAGCGGAGGAGCCATGATATTATGCACCTCAAGGTGTGGCCTCACATATGTCTTATATAACCTTAAGAACAGTCAGGGAGTAAGAGCTCACAGGACAGCAACAAATCAAAGATTGCTCCTTTTCACACTCTAGCGATTGTCGTTCTTCATCGAAAGGGTGCTTATTTGGTAGACATGACCTTTGCTGCACTACTGACCCTTTATCTTGGCCCATCCAACCCAGTGGCCAGGCTGTTCTTTATACCATCCCAGCTAGCACAGCGGGAATCTAACTCTCACAGGTACTGCAAGTGCAAACAACTGAGAAAACTGAGTCCAAGGAGTCGCGCTTACCTTCTATAGGAACAGAATTGAGGAGAAAGGTGTATATATTCTTCAGATATCGCAGAGTCTTATTTCGGATCGAATGCTATAGCTAATCTAACAAAGTTCTATATCGAATTGCGCATCCTGCCGTTAAAGGACAGTCTTTGTGTAACTGATAGAGGTTCAGTTATGAAAAATACCAGTAAACTTTAGATCACAATGTTTTTGAGGGTCATTACAGACGATGAAATGTTTTAACGCCACTACGCAAAACTACTCTACTTTAAAGCACTGCCATCAACTCACTTTTCAAATGAAGTGACAGTACACAATTAGATATCAAATGCCCACGAATGCGTGTTACTTTTCAGGCAGACCGCCAGTCCCGGAAGTTAGTTATTGCTGTTTGGTGTATAGAGAGGGTTTAACCAAGAAGCTTTAATTGCTCTCTTATTGAAATCTTTAGCGCAGGTTCTACTGTGAATTCAGGAGGTCTGAACTAACTCTGCCCTCTAACATGAGTGAAGTCGGGAACGCTGGTGATGAGCTCGTCTGCAAGCAAGCGAGATAGCCGTTCGATGTTTGGATCACTGTGGTTTGGATAGCAGGCACTGCAGGTTGACATGAGTGGTATACAACTGTTTACTTCAACCTTTCAGTAGTATGCGGAAGTGGAGTGAGTTAGAGCAGTCACCGTATGTTCCAACAGGCACTTAATTTATTAAAATGAAAGTCATTTCATGGTGACGTTGTATATGAATGGGGGTGAGAAGATTACGGAGAATAAAATCGCAAGTTTCAACGAGTGAAACGCTTAGCCGGTAGGTTGCTAGTGAACACTCAGCTGTTTGTTTCCCATTCAGTATTGACGCCAGAATCTGTCTAGCCTGTAATGTCAATTATAGGTCTCCTCAGCAAGTTTTCAGTCCATCACCATTTCTTTCCGCATATCTGTCGGACAAAATGTTTTTGGCTGGTTTCTTCCCAGCTGGCTATCTCGTTATCAATATCAGGTAAGGGTATGTGTTAATGGGAGTCTTCAATAGACTGGCTGATACACTCTTTTGTAACGCACTAAGTCGCCCACCAGAAAGGAATCAGTGACTGAATTGACATTACTATTAAAAATTGGAGTTATGTTCCTTGTGCTGTAGATGTTCTCAATGAACTTCCTGTCTTACCCTTTGGATGTCGGTTGATTTTGACATCTTCATCCGGCTACTACCTAAGTTAGGAGAGTGAATGAGACAACTTCCCTTAGGTTTCTTCAAAAGATGATAATTTGGGCTGAATATCGTTTTCTCTTCATTCAAATTAAGCCTTCTCTTCGTTGCTGTCAATCGCCTGGATCGGAGAAGATACTGAACCTAATGCTGTTATCAGAAAAACAATCGATGCATTATGATAACAATTGCGGTAAGCAACTTAGAAATGTCTGAACACTGACTGTTAATCAGGAGATTATTTTGTCCAATAGTTAACAAAGACCATATGGCTATCACAGCATAAAGTTTATGGATGAACCACAGCATAAATCACATAAATACTTCTGATCGTTTTCATCGAGTCTTCTACCAAACAGCGTACGATTAAGCCACTGCTGCCATTATTGCCTCCTGCACAAATGGAGATACGTTCGAATGAACAAACCATATGCTGCCGCTTCAGTGTTCACCAACACTGACAACTCCGTTTGCGTGGCGCTGTCTCTCACACAAGTTCTGTGGTCTGAATGAGTTTTACCAACTTATCATTGCATAATGAATTTCAAACTATTTTCTAAGCTTTTGAGTGTAAATTAGGTGCTTTAGCTGGAGTTAAAGAGAAAACGACTATTTGCATCTATGGAATCGAATACAATGACGCATCTTAATCTCACTGATGCTTAAATTCACACCTCAGCAAGTCACTTCATTTCACTATTATCCGTAAATTGCCATCACTGCAATAATGAAATGACTGGTGAGATTTTCTTCTGTTTTAGATTTTCATTAATTGACTGACTAATCACATTCTTATTTTTGTCCTCTTGTGTTCCGAGTGGAGCGTAAGACTTCGTCAGCTGATCTTCATGTAGCTCTGTCCTTTGCAGTCCTTTTAGGACGGCCCTACGACTACCCAGAAGCTTTCATTTTCTCATCATACTATCTCCATGTCACCCATGGGCCCCCAACTAGTCATTTCCCACTTGAGTTTCATTTGACCACCTATAGAGTAACTTGACTCCACGGTGACCTCAGAGTTTGTTAAATCAATCTCCTTTTCCCTCTGGATATTTGTTGAGTGACAGGTTCTTTGATGGTACTTTGTCAGAGATCCTTGTTTATAACCCCTTTTGGCCATCGGATTTTCAATACCAAGAGAAGACAGCCCTTTGAAAAATACTTTGTTTGACACTCACTCTGTGTCTCTGAACCACATGGAGGCATTGATTTGGTATTCATATTGAAGATCTAGATCTCGTACCTTAGGTTGGGCACAGAAGATCTCCACACTGATTTCAGACTAATAAAGGTCTATTTTACTTTTGCAATCTTGCCTTTAACTGCCTCATCTGTGTCACCTGTTGTTGAAACGATACTGCCTATATAAGTGAAAGGGGCGAGTAAGGGAGTAAGGGAACATGCTTAATATGTCCTGTGAGGGCTGGAACAACGTTGATAAGCAAACCCAGTAGGTTCGATTTAGTGCCACTCATGCTGAAACACCAGCGCACAGTTTCACTGTCAAATAATGGCGAAACAGTAAGGGAGTTTACTGTTACTATTATTAGCATAGTATATTAGCGTAGTAAACGTTAATTAGCTCAATGATTGCAGGTTTACCATAATCCTTGACTACCAACGTAATAACTGGAAACTTCAGGATAAAAATAAGCTAAATAGTAGCATCCAGTGACAAACACTGACCTACACACTGCAAAATGAGAAAAACATCCAGAAAAACCTTTAAAATTCATTGAAAAACGAATTCACGAAGACATATAACTAGCCGACGCAGGAACTCATCATGACTTAGAAACTGATTGTAGCCCCTTTCGAGAATAGACGCTGCTGCAAATCAAACTTGCCGCGCCTTCGTTTCGGTATAAATGTTTAGGTTGAACGCAGGCGGTCAGTTAGCGTTTGGATTTCCTAAGGTAATTAATTTTGTATTACGGGTGTAGAGGAATGACGTAATCATGTAAAATGTTATGTTTGACTATTTTGATCGTTTTCTACCAAATTTTTGCACAGCTAGAATATGTTGTGACGTTTTCCACACAATGCCTAAAAATACCTCACGACAGCCTTTATTCTCACTCAAGAGAAAAAAGTGACTTCCTTCAATGTTCTTCCACCCTCATACATACTTCTTAATAAAATTCTGTGCCTAAACGAATTATCTGAAGAAACATTGAAATTATATTTTGAATACAATACTATTTAGATAAAACAATTACGTGTCTATTTTAAAAGTTAACATTTTAATACACAGAAGCTGTTTGTAAATCTATCCACCTGTATGTATATGTATACATATAATTAGAAATAATGATGGAATAATTGTAATAAAATTTTGAAACTGAAGTACAACTCTTCTATATACAACCATGAAAGCAGTATTTCTCGTTTCTTTGGTTTTAGAAGTATTTATTTGAAAGACATGCATTTATACACTATCATCGAAGATATTGTTATTGAAATCACATTGTTATATGTTTTGTTTATACCTGGATCTAATTCGTGTCTTTGAACTTTTAGGTGACTGTATCGATATTCTCTTCTATT